AAGTTAGTCCAATCAATCAGTCTCAGAGTCCTAAGTAATTCTTAGGGGACCCAAACTCATTTTTTATACATGTTCCCAGGCTTATGTTTTTCTTCTAGGACTCTGATTAGACAAACTTCAAATTTTGCTCTAATTATACATGTTCCTGGGTCTACGCCCCTGGGGACAACCCACTGGGTCTGGTTGGCAGGTGTAAGTTATGCTTATTGGGATGCTGGTCAGAAAATTCAATTCAAGTACACAAAACAATAAATATATAATTACTTTTCATAGATTATATTTCTCCAGTACAAAATATAAATATATTCAATATACATGATTTCATTATACACATACTGTATATATTTGTACTTTAATTATGATAATTTTGCTAATAAATAACTGATAAAACTGTCAAATTGATCCTGTTTTCAGATTCCAAAAATCTTAACTTGCTAGCAGGTAATCTGACATTTTACATCTTGTATCTAACAAGCTGTATATTAAATAATGCATGTAACAAGCGTTCTTACTAATCTTTTCATTATTTAAAATAAATAGTTCAATAAATACTAATTTCCTAATTTCTACATTCTACAGCAGAACTACATTATTGTATGATACTACAGCTAAAACTTGAATATACACATTTATATCTACATTTTCAGCGGGTTTTTAGCTTATAACTTATAAATATCTGTAAGCTGATTGGTCGAAGTAAGGCTAGTTGCAAATTAATAGACCAATCAAATAACCATTGATAAGTTATATGTTATAAGCAATCAGTTGATGAATAATGGAAATGCTATTTTGGTGACCTTGGAAAAGCTTACAGTTGACATGGTTAAGGTTACAGCAGTAAAGTCAGTGAACGTCAATGTTGCCATTCACAAAATATTCAGTTTCAGATCATTTCATAGAATTTCATAAACTCAGTTTCAGTCATCTGCATCTTTTATCCATCATTGATTACCATAGTAATCTCTTCATTTGGAAAAAAGGTGATGCAGTTTGTATTAAAATGTCTTTTATCGTGTTTATAACAGATTATAAAATTTAATCGTAACATTACAGATTTTCAACAAATGTCTTATGTTTTACCCATAGGTGTTTGGAACAGTGAATAGATGAATATACAATAAATACACTGTCACAGATTGATAATAACACATCACTTATTCACAAACTACATTGTCATACTTTTTTTTATCCGAACCAAATCAAATGAAAATATATACCAGACACAAATGTCTAATTGTGTTTACTTCTCTTTCTATCAAAATAGTTTTCAGAAATAGATTAGGCATCTAAAAATTTACTGATCTGTGCTGTATAATGTACATTGGTGACATGGAGCTGTTACAGTTATACAATCTTTGTTACAAAACACCTCAAAAATACTGAGTCACACAACTCATCCATTCATCACATGTAAGATATTACATATGTATATGAAATTATGTGCCATAATATTGCAGTAAGACTGTGATGAATACCATGTTTGTTTGGAGTATCATCTATAGATCAGATACCAACAGTGATGTACATATCATAAGTTAGTCAGTGGCATATGAACAAGTGTAATAATTTATAATATGCCTCAAGACAAATTGAGGAAAACTTTCGACTTGTGACACACGTATACTACACTATTGATTCTATTAGTGAATCAATTTAGCACCAATTACTCTATATGTTAATTCGCTGGAATAGCAATATTGCTCCACTCCGAGTTGTATTAATAATGTGGTCCTCTATCCTCAATATTTATTGATTTACACAAACTGGCTGATTGGCCTCGGCTTTATGAGAGCAATATCACTCCACAGAAAACTGCTTAATTATAGCAGTTGTTAATTTAATGTACAAAAGAACCAGTTCTTTCAGGATGACACTAGTTGAATCGTTCTTGTCTTTAAGACATAGGGAGTTGAACAGGGTACGCTAAATAATGTATTCTATGTGTATTTCTGATAGTCAATTTAAACTTGGAATGTTAGTCCCTGTTATACATGTTATAAAGAGTGAAGTCCAATATTTATCTATTGGTGAACTTTGGAAGAATAATGTACTATATTATGTACTATGCCATATAAACCTTTACTTAAAACTAAAATAAAACTCCCGTGTGTTGCGATATTGAGTGCATTGTAAAATGAAAACACGAGATTGCATAAGCTAAAATGTATATAAACTGAGACCATGCCCAAAATATCTCTTTTTAGCCTTCGAGTTTTTTTTATCAAACTCTAGTTGTTTTGTGTTATTCAAAATGATCAGTCCCTATGCGTGGCTTCACCTACTGGGCTAGACACTAAAATAGGTGGAAATGACTAATGCTGTGTTATTTGATACTGAAAACTTTTTCTTTGTTCTAATCAAGTTCAAGATAAAGTGTCTTACCCCAAAAGTATTACCCTACTCATTTCCAGAGTTATAATTTAATGTACACGACTTGTAACTTAAGAAACATTTTTGAACATATAAAGTCATAAATGCAAATTGTTGAAAAGTTATGAAACAAAAACATTGCACCAATACATCATTATTGAATGGAAGTACAAAGTTCATTGAGATCTGATTTCTTTCAACAATAGACAGAACAGTCTCCCCAGTACTAAATGGGCATTGAACCCAGTTGAAAAAATCTAATTGTACTGAGTTGAAAATAGGAAAAATCATGAATGTTAGATATTCTCATTATTTCCTCGTCAGAATAGTTAAAATGTAGTACTGTAGATTGGGTTAATTTGGCGCCCGCTTTAATTTGGCGAATTTGGCGAAATTGAAAAATTCGCCAATATAAATCTTCGCCAAAATTTAGAATGAATCCCCGGGAATTATCTAGGGTATTTCGTCCAGTGTAGTTAGGTCACTTCCGGTTAAGTTTTTTTCCAAAAATATGAAAAAATGTCTTTACTAAATTGGCTTAGAACTGGTCAGTCACTCATTAATACTCAGGGAAAAGGTGATGTATAGTAGCAGCATCGATCGAGGTGCAAAATGTAAAGGATGATCTCACAAAAATGTACAAACGTGGTGAATATCGCCAGTGGTCCTCAACTTTTGAGGACTTTAAAAAAATAAACATGCCCATTTTCATAGTAATTCGCTAACAGCGCGCAAGTATAACATTGTATTAAATTTTTTTTGCATATCCGCCAAATTAAATAGCCGCCAATATGCCAAAAATGGCAAAATCGCCAAATTAAGTAGCGCCAAATTAACCCAATCTACAGTATCAAATTGAGAAAAAATCTAGGGGGAACACTGTAAACTTCAATAAAATAAAATACCCTTCAATGGTTTCGATTTAAAAAATTATGAGATCTACTGGTACTTAAAATTGAGACCAGGTCATTACAACACTGTATACAATAATGAACTGAAGTGGGAGATGAATTAAGCAGCCACTCAAGCTGTACAGAGTCAAACTTAATAGAACCCAGTTGGATAGATGCATATTGACGTCAGTTTAGTTCTAGAACACAAGGTCATAGATCGGAACACGCGTGATCAATCCCTGGGAAACAATAAGCTAGAAACAATGAATGTATTTTATAGAACTGTAAAGGAAAAGAACATTTCTTCTGTTCACATCATGGATCTAATGGTATTGCACAGCCTAGGGTCATAATCTCAAAGGAGCTGAGGGTTGCTAAGATGTGTCTCCTTTAGGAGATCATGGAACAAATTGAATGTGGTTACTACATAGTTGCCACAGTAACACAATACCACTTCAAAAACAGTACATGATGTACTAGTATGTGTATAAAATCTATCAAATACAATAGCATGCCCATCAATATTGCTGACTAGCAGTTCATATCTATGCTTGAAGGCCTGAGACACATAACCTTACATTCTATTTATATATAAATGAAATCATATTCTAACACTAATTTCACCTTGAAAACATATGCACCTGATGACTCTAGTAACCGATCTGACCATACATAATATCCTGGTATAAGTGTTGTCATTTTAAGTTCAGAATGACAAACAATATTGTTTACTTAAATAAGTAGAAAAAACCTGAATAACAATATCATGTAAACAAAAACATAACATTTATCTTCTGTTTGAGATTATAATACTTGCCATGACAAAGCTATTGCTCAGATATTGTAACTGGCAATATTGATCTTGAGTCTCTATAGCATCATAGGTATGGCAACCTACGCAACAAGTATAATCACTATCGACAAATCATAATTTGAAGTCATTGTTCAGAGGATTATTTTTACGTAAAAGGTTTAAACTGTCATATGCAGAAAAACCTTCATGGATTATTGAAGCAATGTCACAAAATACCTACAAAAAAAGGCTAAGGTCCAAAGACCAGTTGAGATGAAATTTGGAAATAATTATCTAGCTCCGTAATATCTTTCACCTAAATGATTCCATGCCATGATTTTTTTCTAAAAGGTTCACCAATTCTGACTTTATCTCATGACAACTTTCAAGTTGACATTTAGTAATCTAACCGATGAAAAAATCATTCCAGGGGTAAAAGTTGAATATCAAAGATGAAGATTGGAAGGCTACTAGGAGATATAACAAGTGAAGCTGATACATTCTGCTATTATATAAGAATAATATTACTCTACAATAATAAATTATTATTAATACACTTAAATACTAATCTGTAATATTGATATATACTAGCGAAACAGACACAACACTCAGGGCTTAATAGAAAAATAAATAATTAATAAATAAGAGCCAAAAATGAAGTGCCTGTTTCATAATTTAAATACTTTCTCTTTGTGACCTTACTGTATTATGACTGTCTTTCTGCCATGTTTACATTAGCAAGAACCAGGTTGGACTATTCCACTTGACTTCATATCCAGGTGTTAAAGTCACTTGGATGAGATAATAGAAAAATACAGATTGAAATAATTTTATACAGATAATTTTTCTATTACATCAGGGGTTTCATAAGCAGGCGACAGGCGATTTTCACTGGTTGTTTTCACAAAATTGCCCATTGTTTTTAGGGACTTTGCAACCTTTCCATGTTAAATTTATGATTCCCATTAATTGCGCTTGTTGTTTTCATTTATTTAGTCTGTTGTGAGAAATTCTATTGAAACCCCTGTAAACCATCCTTTATATGAAAGTCGAGACCTGGTCTTACCTCCAACCAATCAAAGTTCTCTGATTCTACATCCCCACGAGAACTTGCATGATATTGTCCAATTCATCGTTCAGTAGATCTCCTTTACATGTTCCATTATTTGGTGGGTAAAGATTTGTATAGTCCTCAGTGGAGGTGCGTGTGTTTGTATTACTTTGGGCGGCACCATTAAGAAATAGGTCAAAGTCGTACAGACTGAGATCTATATCTGAAAAAGCGTCTGTTGTTGAGGAAGCGCTACTCCATATGGATGTATTCCAAGTTCCAAGTTGAGCAACATTATTCTCAGTCCAGGCGCAAAGGCTCTGAAGGAGTTCATTGCTTTTGCATTGTCTTTGGGTGACACTGGGCAATATATGTGATAAGCCTAGGTCCATGTTTGTATGTGATGTGTCTGTTATTGCATCCAAAGATGAATTAAGAGGTGTTGTGTTTATGATATCAGGCACAGTAGGGACTATCACATTGTCAGTATCCATGTTTGATTCATTTTCAATTGATTGCATCGATTCATCAGTCAATCGAGTTTTTGTAGCCAGTAAACTATCAGCTAGACTTAGTTTCTCTTCTTGAGCACAAATTGTCGCACTGTTTTCAGTTGCAACTTTTACAGTTTCTTTGGGAGTTGTGTCTTGAGCAGGACACATATCTAAACTCTCGACACTTTCAGCGGGAATTGTTGGCATGGAATATGGCATCCCTCTTGAGCCTTCATGTTGAAGTTCAGTTTCAATATGGCGTAGCGTGTTGTAAATAAGCACTGATCTTCTCAGAGACATTTCCCGTTTCTTAATCGAGTGAGGTTTCTTGAGCTTACACATTGATATGTCCAGAATTGTTTGTCTTCGTTGTGTATATTCAATGGGCTCTGTCTCAAGTTCATCGTGTTTTCTTTTCTGTCCTAACAGAACACTGCTACTGCACTTGTTAAGCATGGCTAACTGGAAATACAAAAATACAACCATGAGAACAAATGACTACCATCAATGTTTAAAGTTCTAAGTGACCAGGTTACAGGTAACACCATCGTGGTAAGCCACGCCCTCTCCATCTCTATCCTTCTGTTTGCGATGCAACAGAGAGAGATGCTATGAGTATCAGAATGAGGTAACACTGAACCCAAAAAGTGCCATGGCAACAACAATACCTTACAAAACATAATCTTAATTTAGTTTTATGTTACCTTGACAACATTTTAGGTGGGTGTAATAATACAATATTTCAATGTTCAGTTCATATATACATGTACATGTAATTGCCACTAATTGATTACCATGCCAATGGAGCCGGGCTGCAAAACTGTGATATAGTCTATACTAGGCAGAGGGTAGTTTATAACTAAACTCTGCATGCAGGCCGCAGGGTACATGGATTGATTCATTGAAGAATACTAGACATGTACCTATAGATATTAAGTTGCTAATACTATGAATAAATCACAGATATCATACATTTTTAAAGTTTTATTACATGTATTAAGGATAATGGGAGATCTCCTGTTTAATCCTTACCAGATCATATTTAATTTGGTCGAATGGTTTACATTTTTTGGATGGTGTACTGTAATTCTTTGAACACTAGTTCAATGGTACCTTATGCAGTATAAATTTTTTATATCTACAGTATTCATTCTAGTATTTTTATAGTTTAGCCAGTGATGAAATTTTTATCCCCAATCCGATATGTGTTGTATTACCTTTCATGCAAATGCAATTCTATTATTAGAAAGGTGGTGCAGAATATTCCAACCCTATCTTGTTCTTAATCTTCAAAATAAACTACTAGTCTTAATTCTTCGTTCTTACCTTACAGCCAAGGCTTGCTATATCCGTACATGGAGGTAATGTCATTCGTAAGTCAGATAATCATTATCTGTTTATACTTATTCCCTAAGATTTTTTAATATCACAGCAACCCAACTATATGCGTCTTTCACTGTCTTACTTATAGAACAATAATGAACATCTATGCTAGTGTATTGATTCCTTATACAACATGTAGTATCTAGATTCACCTTAAAAGTTCAGAGTACGAGTAGGCTATTTCACTGGCTCACAGTTTATTCAGATAAGAGGTTTTCATAACTTGAAAATGAGTAAGAAGACTAAATTGTCCTTATATTACTTAGTAAATGCATTGACATCATACTGGTAGTGGTAAGTAACATTTGCATGGAATATATGTGTGTTAACATGGTTAAGGACACGACCCAGTTCCCTCAGAAAATCAATACTTTGAATCTATTCTTATGTCCTTAAATTGGAAAAATTACAAAGTTCAGTGTAGAGTGACCTTAAATAATTCTCTTTTACTGGTCATCTTTTCTTTTTGCGTTAATTGATAAAAATTATGGTAACTTAAACCAAATAAGGACATATAATGTCAAGTATAAGATCACTTTTTCCATTTAGAATACAATGATTTATTCAGCAAGTGAAAATTAAAAAGGCATTAATAGTTATAGAATTTGACAAGATGTTCAAAAATAAAAAGCACAATAAGCCATTTTATAAGTCCAATCCAAGTCGACTGACATATGCATGGGAGAGGGGGAGATCCTAGCCTTATAAGTCCAAGAAATGTTCAGTAATGTTTACACAAATATTCATCCACCTCATAGAAAGAAATATTTAAAAAATATCCCCCTCCTTTACTATTGGGTAGGACACAACAAAAACACCATGACATTGAAAATGTCCATTATTATTTGTTTTTTGAGCTAAGTTCCTGTTAATATTACTTATCTCAGCCTTATATCCTGATGGGACTTTTTTAAATTAATCTTGTGTGGAGCCCTGCCTACAGAGTCAATGAGTCATTCCTAAAATCCCACTTGGTCATAAATTATCTTACAATTTTGATCAATTTTTGGTTACCTTTTATTTTGACATGATTGCAATTTTAAAGCATAACGCCTAGTCCCCTGTTACCTATTTATATCTATAATTTCATTCCTGCTAAATTACTGTAAGGGCACATAAGGGCACACAAGTTCCAGAGACTTCATAACTTGACCTGATAGGCTCATTCTAGTTAGGTCATGAACTTCTATTAACCCAAGCCATAAGGCACATCTGCATAATCAGAGTTTAAGACTAGGTCAAATTTTATTGTTGTCCAACAACATAAATGAACACATTTCAGATTGACCCCTATGTTCCCTACAAAACCACCCGATAAGAGTTTTTTAAATTAAAAGTTGAATTGTTTTTAATGCTTGCCTGTTTATTTCAATCAGTATAACATACACAGGTTAGAGTAGCTATAAGCCCCAAAAGGGGCTCAATTAAAACACCTGACACTCTTGTAAACACTCTTTAAACACCCTGAAATATATCAGAAGGTATTTACTTACCCTTTTATTTGTTTCTCATAATATATAAGTACATGCAATTCTTGTATATCCACAGATCCCACTGTATCACTATTATAGACTACCTTACATTCTCGTATATAGCTAAATTGATAATGAGCTTTGCTTCACAGTAAATAAATGTCTTGTTGACTCCACGGCTAGAATGATCTGCCTTCTGAGTTAGAAAACATCCAATTCATAACATGAGAAAAACACCTATGATTCAGATTGGGTAAAACAATCAAAACAACTCAAAAAACAACAAGGTAATAGTCATTATGTATAAAGATATAATAAAAGAGAGTCGAAGCGACCCAATACGAAGCAATTGTAAACAAGGAACTGAACTGATTTACCGGCAAGGTCACAATGAAAGAGTACACACACGTGGCAGATAAAATAATATATTGCACAAAAGATTTTTAGGAATTTTTCAAAAGCCTGATCAAATACCCAACATATATTGTAAATAATATATCATGCATCTTATTTATTCTATTGTATTTTAAATGATATAAAATACAGTTGAGTAATATCAAGTATTATTAAGGAAGTTCTAATATATTCATGAATCATATTTGGTAATTATCTTGCCTTACAAAATTACCAAATTGAGTAATTTGGGTAATTGACACGGTCTGTCATGATGTCGTTGTATATATATGTACATGTGTTGATATAATGATGGAAACTTTACATTTTATTTTTTGAATTTTCATGATTCAATGAGAAAGTCACAAAAGTTCAATACAGATATCCACTGAGCAACAACACTACCATACAGGATCGACATCCAACACATATAGTATTTTGATGCAATCAATAAATCCTTGTGAACTGTCATTTCTCCAGAAAGCAATTATTGATAAAATAACTCACTTTCAGTATTTACGCACAAATGACATTTCCATTCACTTGCAGGGCTCTAAATATTAGAATGGTTATTCTACAGGGACCACTGTGAAACGTCTATGCAAACATCATATTCAACATGCAAAATGTCACCACCAGCAATTTGTTAATAACAGACGCTGACTGCCAAACACGAATTGCTGGACACCATCCAGAAAAAAGACTGCAGTCAGACTGTAACAATATGTCACCACAAGTGACTTCTGTCATGGATTCTGAAACGTCGGTGTGGCTCCAGTCTAACAGCCCAACAATTTAAATCTATCCAAAATCATAAACCAAGCTTTTCTTAGACCTCAGTAGATGCAGTCATCATCAAAATCTATGAATGCATCATGCCTTAGTTACCGGGATCATGGTCCTATGCTGAGTGAATGGATCCCACTGACAAAATTTCTTTTAGTATCATAATTAATACAATGTTTTTAAATCATGAATTCATTGCATTATCCAAGAAAGCATTTGCATGACAAAACCATCACCTAGTTAACTATCAGAGAGTGAAAATATAAGATTTCTAGAAAAAACAATCTTAGTGTATGTCATTCAATTCATGGTGTCTATAACATACCTATTAGATCAGCTTTTACAGAATCAACCAACCCAACAGTTTTGAAGTGGTTGACTTTGAATATTACTGGAAAATTTTGAACCTACCTAACTATCTACAGCCAGTTTCTAAATTTAAAGTCTTGAACTCAGTTTGAGACTAGAGCAATTCTGATATGATCGATTTCAAGTCAAAATGACCATGACTTCAAAAGTTGGCACTAAGCGACAATGTTAAGAGGAGCACCAATCATCTAGAAACGACACACTGATGTGATGTTTAAATTACACTAGACATTAATTTCCTCACGTTATTATTCATCTGAGTGATGCTATGGATAATATTGCACAATTAGGCCAGAAATGAATATTTTGATGCAGAATTTAAAAAAAAAATGCAGATTCTTTTATTTTTATGAGTATTTTTCATAATCCGAGTTGAATTTATTTCTGCTATAATTCCCTTTATGGAGTTTGGGAATTCATTCCATATTATTTGTCATTTGCTTCATTGGCTGTTTGTTGTGATGTAACGTAAATTGACAGAAGAACAACATCAGAAATTACCAGAAACTACCGAATCCGGACATCATCTTTCCGCTCTGAAAATTTGAAATAATTATCCCGGAAAAACTTTATTTACAGTGTCAAGAATTGATATTATGTAACCATTCAAACTTAAATATGAAGAAGAGATTACAGGGCAAAACTGATCCCTCAATGCTTGAGATGATAAAGGCAGAGGTCATATTTTCGGTTTCGTGTCCGTGTACTTGATCCCTCGATGCTTGAGAGATGGTAAAGACAAAGGTCATATTTTCAAGGTGCTATTTTTGGTTTTGTGTCCGGTCTTCTAATTATTTCATTGAGCCCACTACCAATGGGGACTGGATTTGGCTTGGGGTTTAGTAAGAAGCTGAATTCAGTAATTCAGTTTCGTCCGCAATTACTTTTTAAACCAACCAACCAACCGACCTATACTGTGCATACAAAGGCTACCCTATAACTTACAGATGAGATAGAATTTGAAATAGGTAACCAAGGGCGAGATAAATATAGATATCAAACCAAACTGGCCAGCGAGCCAACCCAATCAATTCAAATCTTCTTGAACATCTGATCTTGGCTCTACATGTTGTTCAACTTGTTTCTCGAGAATCTTACACGTACCTGCACTTCCTCAAGAGACCTATGACTTGAAATATAAAAATGAAAGAGGAAGAGCTTCACCTCAGTTCAAAGCGAATCAAAGAAAATGTTAGCCTACCAAATCAGAAAATCGTTGAAAAAAGAAACAAAAAATACTCACCCCACTTTCAATCTTTGATATATTCAGTTTTCAAGAATTCCTGGTCTTCAAACTCGCAAAGAATATCTGCTGCACGTAGAGGAACATATTCCACATCTCTATTTCACAGTAAAAGTTCTATTAGTAAGTAAAATTTAAAACATTTCCGTGTCTTGAATCACGATTTCAAAAACTCTAGTAATTAGCCCTCTGACGCAAGCTCCTAAGCTCCGCCCACTTCCGCCAATGAAATATTTTTGATTGGCCAAATCTTGATGGGACAGATCATTCTGCACAATTTCACTTTCGGTTTGATATCATGGGTTAAAAATTATTATTAAATCAAAATGTTATAAATTGACCCACGGACCTCTGCCAGATTACCTCTTCTTGGTGTCTAGGCCCCGGGTCTAGGCTCAATGAATATACTCATTTATTCTTTGAGCCTACTACATGTACCCGAATCCGTGTGACCCAACTTAAGCTAAGTTAGTCCAATATAATGATTTTTTATATTGAAGAAAAATTATCTTTTACCTTTACCTTTGCGTACCTTCCCGAGTACCTTGTGCAATTGGCATTGAACGGGGACTTGTTTTTCCTTATCTGTAAATCACGTCTATCCATTTCACCATTTGTTGATCAGCTTGCCGCCCGACATCTATCAATCCAAAAATTAACCAAAGCTATAACACCCATTCACCATCGTGGTAAGCCACGCCCTCTCCATCTCTATCCTTCTGGAGATCGATGCAACAGAGAGAGATGCTATGAGTATCAGAATGCCCATTCACACTTCTGATAGAGTCAACTAATGATCTTTCTGACTTACACTTGAAATATTCACAAGTTCTGAGTTGGTGCAATTTGAAGGTTTTGGGCCTATATAAAGATGGCAGTAGCGATAGAATCGTATTAACCCTTCTCCCCATCATTCTCTCTACTTTAGAGAAGTAAAGATAAACAATAACCCTTTGTCTGCAACCTTATTTCTAAATACAACACTAAGTCGCAAGGGGAGAGGGATGGGGGTCATTTAAACCCCCTCTGCGATTTCTATTACTTGTCTGATTTAAATCATATTGGTAATGTTGTAAACCTTGATCAGAAAAGCATTGAATTCTTTGAAAAAGTAGGAAGAGAGGTCAAATCGAGAATACCGTGACCCAGGGAATGTGAATTTATGACATTTTGTGATAAAATGTCAATTTTCATTCATAACAATTTTTGTTGCCAAAAATGCTTCGCTTCTTAAAAGAATAATAGGTAAACACTTTTTTATAACTAAACTTCCTATTTGCATTTTCAAAGATAGCAGGTATCGCGAAATCCCACTTTGCAATTCGAAATTGAATAATCAACAATGCAATTTCAAGTTCAACTTTTTTGTCTTTAGCATTCATATTTCAAGGTGTGCAAACAAATAATCAGTGATTTAGTAAGAAAATAGTTACCTAAATACTTGATTTGGCATAATTTCAGTATAATTTCGGCCAATGATTTTGCTAGAGCAATCAACTAGCAACGGTATATACAAAATACATCAAATTAGTGAACTTGAAAAAATTGGGGAAGGGAAGGGGAGAATTAAAAAATAATCTGAAATTTGGAAATAGGTATCATCATTATTTTGTTAATACAATGTGCATCAACATTCAGGAATATGCAAAAAATTCAAAAGTATATATGAAGTCGTTTTTGAATTTTTTTCTCAAACTCGTGGAGAGATTCGTGAAAATTCACAACATGGTCAATAATGGCTCGATTTTCATGAAATGAAGCATATTGGAAAGATAATTCAATATGCTAAATGATTTTCTATCAAATAGAGCAATAATCATCACTGTATGAGAAACAAAGTCACAATCAATATTTTATGAATTTCAATTTTATTGACATCAAGTTCCAACTATCATAATAACAGAGACACAAAAAATTGCAAAAAATACTGTTGAAAAAATCGAGGGGGGTCAATGTGGCACACTGAATGCAGGTATATATAAAATTACTTAAAATAAGGCTATTTAATGACACTGGTATAGTTGTTTGACCAAACAAAAAACAAAGGAACAGGTGACATGGATATATATGTACATTTATGATTTCAATTTCATAAAATGAATCTCTCAGATCACCTTAATGCAAATGACTCCATTCTGTTAAGAAATGTTTTACATGTCCAATACAGTGAATCAATGTTACTTTCCCTAATGTCTGCAACACTAAGCCGCAGGGAGGGATTTGTTTGTCTGATATCAATAATGTTCACCGGGTATAATTGAATACGGTTTATTCAATTACCAACATTATTGATATCTTCAGAAAAGTATTTGTTTTTCAGGAAAAGTAGGTCAACAAAGGTCAAATCGAGGTCAACATGACCTAGGGGGTGACTTTTTGACATTTTGGGAAAATTGTTTTTCTTTCAAAATAATTTTCAAATTAATAAATTGAAAAAAAAATTTGGGGGGAGAGAATAGAATTTATATCTAAAATTTCGAGAGAGTTATGATTATTCTTCTTATACCACCGTTTGCATAAACATTCAGGAACATGCAAAAGATTCAAAGCTATTCGTCAAGTGGTTTCTGAGAAAACCCGCTTTTATTTCTCTCAAATTCGTGAAGAGAACACGAATATTTGTCGATTAACTGAATTTGACCTTTAAAAATTCATAAGATAGTCAAGAGTGGCTCGATTTCGTCATGAAATAAAGCATGTTGGAAATGGGATTCAATATGCTAAAAATGATTATTTAACAAACAGAGCAATAATGATCACTTTGCATTGTCTACATTATTAGAAACAATGTCACTGTCAATATTTTGTGAATTTCTTTTTATTGGCATCAACTTCCGACTCTCATATCTCTACCCCAAATCACCTTGATCTTTACGTCAAAAAGTGTCTTATACCTGTGGCCCAAGGTAGAAAAATGACTGAGGCACAAAAAAGCTTGCAAAAAGTACCACCGAAAATATCGAGGAGGAGGCAATTTGAACCCCTCCCCCCCTGGAGAAAACCAATGAGAAAGTACCACTTCTAAAACTGGCAATTGCCCCACGATGGTGCTCGGTACATACTTTGATATGTAACTGGCTTTATGCAAATATATATAATATATATCTGGTTACACGCTGATTTATTTAATCCTATTTAATTCCACAACCGAGCCTTATTGTTGAGTCAATACAATGAAGATTAAAATAAAGGTTAAAATACAGCAAATCAGACTTGTAATCCAGCGGAATAAACGCTAACGCAAAATTACACATGTAGTTTACTTAAAAAGTTAACTTTCAAATTACCTTGCCACTTTGATCATCACATTGATTCACAGAAAAGGAAGGATTGGGATTCCACCAATTGCGGCATTGATCTTGCACTTGTGTCGAACTTTGGTGTCATGATCAAAATATGCCAGGCACGAGAGAGACGTGCATGTCAGAGGAACTGAAAGTTGTAAAAGTTACAGGACAAGAGGAGTCTATAGTATAATTTAGATAAGGGGATAGCATTAAACGGTAGATATCGCCACAGAAATGATAACATTACTGAGATATTTATTTACAACAAGCGCCGAGATTGTCTATTTTATACTCCTTGAAAGTTCGCAATTTTGAAGGGTTTAGTATGAACAGGTACACATTAACATTTTAAAATTTGTAGGATATTAATTTGGATACATTGACAGTTGCACGCAAGTTTGATTTGGTTTACAATCCATGATTTGTTGCAATTCAATTACAATTCGTCAGTGCGAAGAAATGAATGCATGAACTTATAAAGTGAATTTGAATGTATTTACGTTTGGAAACTGGCGGAATTGACGCAAATATGTCGTCACCGAAGATGATCCAAAGATTATCAAACGTCTCTAAGAAGCCGTTCAAGGTTGTCGTTCTTGGTCAAAGTGGAGTAGGAAAATCAGGTCAGTAAAGATAATCAATGAGGAAGTAGTCATTTTATGCAAAAGCAGCTATCCATGTCATGTACCGCCGCAAGTGGTAGCATTTTGTTATAGTCTCCAACTTTTCTGTGGATGGTGTTAGGCGTTCGGCGGTCGGTGTTCGGTGACAAATTAGTAAAATGCCTCGTGACCTAATTTTATGGAAAAGATTGCTTAGCCGTAATTACGAGGTGATCGGTAATATTGCATACTTGCTTGCTTTCACTTTTACTCATTACATCAGAGACGTATAAAAAGTTGTTATTACATATCTCTCAAATGGTTTTGAATGTGAAAACTATGAAATAAAAAATTATCAGGTTCAACATGGGCTTTCAATAGACTATTGAATGTCCATGGGTTCAAGGAGAATGATGGAATCGTTACATCACATGAACTTTTTCTCTGTACTGACCCCCAATGGTCAATCGAGGCTCCGGGACAAATATCTGTGTGTCACTTTGCTCAGGTATACGTTAATCTACTCGCTTCAAAGCAGATTAACTACGTCAAGATGCCATCTGTCCAACCGAGCTTAGTCGATTCATACAATGCTAAAATGTTTATTGCTCCGCATGAATAGCAAAATGTACAAAAACATTAACTCAACGTGAACATTAACGTCGGGCAAACTCCGAACACAGAATTTATCGCTGATAGGAATTTCCAGTAAATAAAAGATACATTGAAAAATTGAAGCAATGGTTTATGTACATGTTTAGTGGTCATAGTGGTAAATACCCAAATGAAAACAATCTGAGGTGAGGTCAGAGGATATGTGTAGTAAATACCTAAATAAAGTATTATTGCTGGGTGTTTCTTTAAGAGACCTCTTGTTATGAGCCAATCATACAATTTAGAAATATATTGAGTGGTAGCAAAATGGGTGGCACGAGTGATTATGTCAAAAATCAAAGAGAAGTAGATATAAATTGTTATTCAATATTCTTGAAATATACGCTAATTTATGTTTTTTATTAATTATTTGATTAATAATTGATTAATTTGAATTTTGTGCGATCTAAAACTTATGTTAATATTACACGCAGTGCGTAGCAGCAAACTTTTAAGACATACAAAATGAGAAAGAAAAAACTACCCGTTTACTGTTTAGCTTGATTTTCTTCTTAAAAAGAGTATTGTTGCTTCCAGACCCTGGACTATCTACTCTAACAACAACTGTTGTTGAAATAGAAAGACAAGTCCATAGTCTTGTACCCTTTGCATTCGTTTGACTTCACTGATCTTAAAAGAGAGCTTCGTCTTCAGTTTAAGTTTAACTAGACTCTGCACGCAGGGTAATAGTCTTGAAGCAAGGCAGTTGTAAAAACAGGACTTCGTCTTCGTCGTTAGTTTAGAAGAAGACTCTGCACTCAATTAGAATGAAAGCAGAAAATAAAATAAAACGATGTAAAATCCAAGTATACTAAAACATGACCGAGAATCAAAACAGTGTAAAAAAGGAAAGCATGCAATACTCTACCCCGAATGTATTACCAATGCTTGAAACTTACTCAAATCACAACCATCTCGCAAAATACCACGGATGATTCCCACAATCCCCAGATTTGTAGATATAAGATATTTATCAAATAAATAATTGAACATTATACAATTATGTTTTTTTAGCGTTCACCGTGAGATTATTGACGAGACGATTCATCGGGGAGTACGACCCGACACTAGGTAAGGATATGCATTCTAAAATTGCAGTGTTACTTGAGATGTGAAGTAGTATCGTTAATGTTTACATCTTGTAAAACTTGGTTTTTATCAAAACACAAAGCACTTATCATCAAAACAAAACAACAATTAGATATCAATCCAAATGATTTGCTCATATATTTTCTGAAGTATTTATGTCAATGCATTTTCGTTTACCAAGATTTATAGCAATCTTGACAAATACACATCTTCCTGCCAACTGAACTATATTTCACGCTTATTTGATGTCATGTTTGAAAAAACAGTAATACTTGGACAGCTAAAGCTGAACTACTCATTATACAGCTTTTTGTTTAGTCAAAGGTCCCCCAGAAAACGAATCTGCAAATCTTTTAATATAAAGCTGTTACTGGGAGGAAAAATCTATCCAACTTGTCAACAACCAAAATTGTATGAAAAGCTAATTGTCAATTGCAATAGAAGGTTTTCTAAAAAGCTTTGAAATCTCGTTGAAGTCTCGCTTTGGTGAGATTTAAGGAGATTTGCATTTTATCAATTCATTATCTTATGTAATCCAAATTGACATACTTGATAAACCAAGCAATTAGTGACTTGCTCCCAGGCTCGTGCTATAGGTTTCCATGTATTATGGCCCTGCCAATACGCATACTGTCATCTATTTATCCATCTATTATAGAAAATAGCTACTCAGGTGTTAGTTTAGCATTATGTTTATGATGATTTCAATATGCTTTTAGAACAGAAATATGTAGTTCGTCTAGAGCTTAATAAAGATGACGTAGAAGTTGAAGTACTGGACACAGCGGGACAGGTAAGTGAACGGCAGGTAAAGGTAGCTCGACTCTATTTTTCCACTTCTACGATGTCAACTTGACGTTCGTGTTTATCTCGTCCAAAGTATCGATTTAATTACTCTTTCAAGCAGTTCGCTGTGACATTAGTCTCATATTAGTCTCTTATCATCATTTCAAATATTCTAGATAAATGCGCCATCTATGAATAATGTAGACTGAATAAAAACGGCCCTATGACAGAGCTCTGATGTACTCCATAAAAATAGGTTTATCCTGGTTATTTTCGATATTTTCGATTCTTCGATTATCTACATGTAATTTATTGGGTATTAAAAACATTTTGATGAGTTTTCATGTTTGAATCGTAAAAGAGAACTCAGATCAGGTGTTCTATCAAGTAATAAATACCTTAGAGCTAAGCACAAAAGCTTTCGAACCCTTCACTCCCTTGGTCGTTCGGGGTACAGAAAACGTTTGTGCCTAGCCCTGCTGTATTTATTCGTCGCTATAATACCTACTCATCGGTCTATAATTCTTAATTATACAAGCAATCAATTCGGAAACATCGATCATTTCGATAGACTCGATAGCATATTAATGAAATCGATATTTTAAATATTTAGAGCCTTAGAATAATGTATTTCGAAAACTTCGACAGGATTGGATTATATTCTTTATAAGGGTGTTAAATCAGAGAATATGTTGCCATTTGTGACCCGAATTTTTCAAAGATAGGCTATTCCACGATATCCAAGTTTCATATTGAATCAAACGCTTTTGATAAATCTACTTATTAAACAATCGCATCATGATACGGATTTCAAATTTGTTTCTCATAATTAACAACAGTCGTGTTGGCGATTGGCTACTTTCTCATTTAGTTTAACTTATTTGTATAAAGTATTTCAAACGATCTCAACAAATCAATATATAGTATCCATTACCTGTCAGTGAAAATGAGCAAAGCGGTAATTTGCTTTTAAATCCTATGTATTTTGAGGTTACACTCTCAATGAATTGTGTGCATTACTGGATCCTTGGTATGGTATGACTTTGTCGTATGTTCATGTTTTATTGTCACCAGCTTGGCGGGTGGGGGCGTTAACCTTTCTTGTGTCTGCAAATTTTCAGACAGCCTGCTAGAGGGACTGATTAAAATTTTTGAGGGATATCAATTTTTGTGTGACAGAACTAGAACTGATCAGATTTTGATGCTGGATGACTTTGAATGCCACCTTTAATTCTTAAATACGACAATGTTCACCTTGTGCTTTGTTAAATTTTGGTTCCTTGCTCCTGCGCTATTTAACAATGATCGATATTATTTCAGGAGGAAGAATCTCTACATCTAGATGGTAATCTCAAATGGGCGGATGGATTTATTCTCATCTATGATGTCACAGACCGATGCAGCTTTGATGAGTGTACCAGACTTAAGTTTCTAATAAATCGTGCCAAGAAGGGTAGAAAAAGTAGTTCCAGTGTCGTATCTCTCCTTGCAGATATCCCCGTGGCCCTTGTTGGCAATAAAAATGACAAAATCAACGAAAGACTGGTATCGGAAGCACAAGGAGAAGAACGAGCGAAGGATTTAAACTGTCCTATCTTCTTGGATACATCTGTTCGTGAATCAGTAGACAGTGCGCATGATATAGTCGAGCAACTCTACAGGGAGTTCCATACACGGCGTAGCCCTCGTCCGCCACAACGCCGTAACAAAAGTGTAGAAATAATGGAAGACCCAAACACAGATGACACTACTGGTGACAAACAGTCATTGCCCATGCGCATTATGAACAAAGTAATCCCGGTTGGATTGCGGCGCAGTAGTAGTGTAATAAGGCCAGGTGCATTGCCCCAGCGATCAAGTGATACCATACAAACAGACACTGATACAGATGATGGTTTTACTATTCCCATGTACAGGGAAAGACGAAAAGCAGTTCCATATATGGATTATCAGCATCCATTGTGATTTATGTGGAGGCTCATATTTAAATGTAAATAAAGTAATTTGTCTCGACGATATCCTTAACCAGTGTACTAAATGACACCTTAGTATCCATAGCATCTTTTAAGACTAATTCACTCATAAGGCCACTAAATTATGTAGTACAAACGAGCACATTCTGTGAATAATGATTTATTCCAAATTTAGTTTTCTATTACTAAATCGGTGCTAAAGGTGAAAAATTAAAAAAGTGAAAAAGGTTGGTGAAGCTTTTTGTGAATTTAATTTCCTCCTTTAGTTAAGGGTCCTGTGCATGCAACTTTTCATGAACAATAAACCATATGATAACATGAGTCATAAATCTTCTAAATCCTAGATAGTAGTTATTTATACTAAATTCCTATTGATTCAAAGACAACATAGATGGAGTAAAACACTGCTTTCATCCATACATGCCTGTACCACGGAGGTAAAGCAGATCCGATGATGCAATGAGCTTGCTCGGCGGTATCATGACTGTGTAACGGGTCTTGATGTATAAGTGAGCTCGGCGGTAGGTTCAAACAACGCGGATCCTCAAAGCATGTGCTCATGGTATCATCGTGGCTTAAAGGAATATTCCTTGCCAGACCCTTTCTCTCTTGATATGGTAGCTATAATCATATATATAGTTTCCATATTTAGCAAAGCATGGGAAAATGTTTTAATATGCTCAATATTGATCATTTAAAAATCTAGTGCTTATTTCCAGTGAGCTGCCATCTTTTAAGATTTCTTGCAGGAAGTGATGTCATCAACTCTCAACTTCTATAACCTTGCCCATAACAGTATAGGAAAGTAGCACAAAATCACTTCTAGACAAGTGATCATTACTTTCTGTGCAAAAATATTTTCAGGGCTTGTCAACTTAGAATAAAAGAAGAGATTTTCAGAAGGATTAAATAAGATACAAAGTTGAAAAAGAATATTTAGCTGGTTTTGTAATTAATAGCTCCTCACCTAATGCTATATGCAAAGTCAGAGAGGGAGAAACACCAGGGTTCAAAGATGACATACGCTTATAATGTAAATCTGTATTGAGATGACACGGTCGCTGATTGGTCAAAAGTCGCCAAACAAATGACGTCATCAATGGCGGTTTCAAAATTTTCGAAATACGCTTCGAATAATATTATGTTCATTTCTGGCGTGTTAACCAATATCATAGCTTCTCATTTCACATCAAGATAAAGAAAGGTGTACGGAATATGCCTATATCAATTATAACATACCATCGAAGTGTAGTATTTGATAACTAGCCGATGAAAATTCGAACGAACGAAGGTGGTAAGCAAGAGAGGTAATTATGTCTGTCATCTTGAAACTCTGGGGCTTTCCCTCCTCTTATGCAAAGTTGAGAGTCGATGACATCACTTCCTGTGTGAAATTTTAAAAGATGGCAGCTTACAGGAATTGAGCATAATATTTCTAAGTGATCTTTGACCATATCAAAACATTTTTGCGTGTTTTGCTAAACATGGCAAGCATATACTTGTATATGGTTATAGCTACCATATGAGGAGAGAGATGGTTTGGCAAGTAACATTCCTTTAACACCTGTGTGTACTGAGTGTGTCCAGTCGTTCATAGAAGTTTGGTGTACGTCGTGCTACGTGCATACTTTGTTATGAAATACCATGGGCGAGTTTTGTACATAATTTAATTTAATTTTCCGAATAATCCTGTTCATCGCGATATTGTAAGCTAGCACCAAATAAAATTATTTACAGTTTGAGGTAACAAATTTGCCATTAATAAAGATAAAGACAATTGACTAATCCATATTACCAGGGGAATCCCCTAGATAGAATCGAAACCAATCAAATGATTCATAAGAAAAACTGAAACCTACAGAAAATATGTTTGATTCATATTCATCAGATGAATGGATTAATATAATTAAAAAATTGAACTATATCTAATCGTTATGGTCACGACGGAATTCCCAGTGAAATAATTCCCTATAGTATTGATCAATAATCATTTAAACATTATCATTAATTTCTATAAAACCGAAACTGAACGAGGATCGATTTTATTTTTACTTGTTCCCTCAAACCAAGGGAAAGATCAATACCCGGTGATTTCAGCGGGAAGTGGCGTTTCGTTCATTGGATGAGCTGCGCGCGCACGCATAAATGTGATTATCCAATATAATTAGGGGAGGGCTATTTGAAGTAGTTTTTGGTCTCAGGCGCGACCCAGGGCTGTTGTCTTAAGGACATTTCGTTGAAAATGAGCCATTCGGCTGATAATTGGTAAGAGTTTGCGATCTTATAATGTATAACTGTTACTCAGACACATATTTTGACACGATTCTGTTGGAAATAAGCTTTGAACCGAGAGATATTCACGATTGATATGCACATTTTTGATTGTGCCATTGCTTTTCTATTGCACAACCCATGTATTGATAGAAGAAACATTAATAATACAGATTGGTTTACCTTCAATACATGGCAGACACTACATATCGGTCTATTAATACCAGTTTGTGCCTTAAATAGTTTTATATTTCCATCCACGGCCTGGAGCCTGGGTGTGTTTGTCTCTTATGTGTATGCTTGTGCATGGACTTCGAATCACTAGCAGAATTTAACATGATGCAAACTCGACATTATAACTCATGCTGTAACATTTTGACTTCGCTGGAAAACAATAGGAATTATTTTCTTGCCAATCAACCATGAATCACAATCAAAATTTCAGAATGATCAACCAGGCAATGATCCAAATCAAGTTATAACATTATATGATATTCAGCAAGAAGTCCGGTAGAAATACAGAATATTTAAACATCAAAGCTGAAAGTTAAAAGCTAATCTGTCAATTTTCTGTCTGCAAAAGAGCGTCCCAAGAGCGTTTACATTTGACACAATAACAGACTGAGGCTTTGAAATCTAGGATTCCCCAGGAAAATATGACGTCATACTAATTAGCATAAGGATTTCCCTATTGGTGTGGGTCGAGCCTTGTTCGAAAACACAATCCATAAATACATGCTAATTTCTAAGGAGATAGGAAGTGTATAACGTGTTTATCGATTTTGTTTAAAGATTTAATCAATTATCAAATTGTTTAAGTGGATAAAGTGGTCACACTTGCTTCAATTCATAGCGAAATCGACGGATAGAAACTGACCGAATTCCCGATATCCTACCCCGTATTACTGTAGGCTATAAGCACAGTGACCTACAGAGGGCGCTATCACAAACAAGTACTGGACGAACCGATAAATTCCCGGGTATTGTAACGCCCTTGCTCAAACCAAGGGAAAGATCAATACCCGGTGATTTCAGCGGGAAGTGGCGTTTCGTTCAGTGGATGAGCTGCGCGCGCACGCATAAATGTGATTATCCAATATAATTAGGGGAGGGCTATTTGAAATAGTTTTTGGTCTCAGGCGCGACCCAGGGCTGTTGTCTTAAGGACATTTCGTTGAAAATGAGCCATTCGGCTGATAATTGGTAAGAGTTTGCGATCTTATAATGTATAACTGTTACTCAGACACATATTTTGACACGATTCTGTTGGAAATAAGCTTTGAACCGAGAGATATTCACGATTGATATGCACATTTGTGATTGTGCCATTGCTTTTCCATTGCACAATCCATGTATTGATAGAAGTAACATTAATAATGCAGATTGTTTACCTTCAATACATGGCAGACACTACATATCGGTCTATTAAATACCAGCTTGTGCCTTAAATAGTTTTATATTTCCATCCACGGCCTGGAGCCTGGGTGTGTTTGTCTCTCAAGTTATGTGTATGCTTGTGCATGGACTTCTAATCACTAGCAGAATTTAACGTGATGCAAACTCGACATTATAACTCATGCTGTAACATTTTGACTTCGCTGGAAAACAATAGGAATTATTTTTCTCGCCAATCAATCATACGGTCACAATCAAAATTTCAGAATGATCAATCAGGCAATGGTCCAAATCAAGTTATAACATTATATGATATTCAGCAAGAAGTCCGGTAGAAATACAGAATATTTAAACATCAAAGCTGAAAGTTAAAAGCTAATCTGTCAATTTTCTGTCTGCAAAAGAGCGTTTACATTTGACACAATAACAGACTGAGGCTTTGAAATCTAGGATTCCCCAGGAAAATATGACGTCATACTAATTAGCATAAGGATTTCCCTATTGGTTTGGGTCGAGCCTTGTTCGAAAACACAATCCATAAATACATGCTAATTTCTAAGGAGATAGGAAGTGTATAACGTGTTTATCGATTTTGTTTAAAGATTTAATCAATTATCAAATTGTTTAAGTGGATAAAGTGGTCACACTTGGTTCAATTTATAGCGAAATCGACGGATGGAAACTGACCGAATTCCCGATATCCTACCCCGTATTAATGTAGGCTATAAGCACAGTGACCTACAGAGGGCGCTATCACAAACAAGTACTGCACGAACCGATAAATTCCCGGGTATTGTAACGCCCTTGCTCAAACAGGATGGATCGATATATTTTCATTTGCTGCATCATACTTTATGTAAGTAGAAAAATATTTTTAAAATATATGTTGTTACCATTTCTTCTTATCATTTTTGGATTTCCGACAACGAATTTACGAATTTTATGGACCTATTACACACTTTTTACAACAATGTTTTCATTGATATTATTTGAGGAAATATGATAAAACATTTTTGATTGTGTTATGGGGTCTCTGTCACGTCATAACCTTTTGGTATGAAAAACACTGTTAACAACAAGAACATGGTTCTTTATTTCTTACATCGCTCATATTACGAATTGTACCGAACGGTTTGAATACAATCTAATCACACTCGGTCATTGTGATCTTAACATTGCGATAGTACTGGTGTAGCAATTGTTAATCCAAATAATGGGTTTAATGTGACAAAAATGTTCGTTGGTGAACCAACACTTTTGGTTCTCGTTGAAAAAGTACTATGAACCATTCCTTCCGATCGTACTTTGTAACTTTTGAGTTTTTTAAGGATAAACAGCATTTTGAGGCAAATTTTATTATACAAGGGCCGATCAAAAAGTTTCTTACCGTTGGCTCTAGATTTTATAATAAGAGGAGTTGGATGCTCAAACTTTTACAAGAGACAGGGTAGTAAGTTTGCTTGAGACTGTCTGAGTTTCATTTAAATTGGTTCATTAGTAGCGACACAGAGTCAATACATATTTTAAATGATTGAATTAGGTGGAGCAGCGTTTTTTATAAAAAATTGTGCTAAGCTGCAGTTTTGAAAATGTCTAACATTAAGGAGTGTCATCTGTCAACAGACTGTAGTTTAATCATGTTTATATAGTTTTTCTGCTAATATTTATTCTCCTTCAAAATATTCAACCCCAGTTGCAATGCACTTCGTATATCTGTCCACTCGATCCAGAAACACATGTTTAAGGCCTTCGTATGAGAGGTTTTAAACGATGTCGGTAAATTTCCAGAACCACAACTTAGCAGATATTTTATATATAACGCTGCTCCACCTAGCTTAGTCATTGAAAATATGTATTGATGTGATATGTATTTAAAAAGTTGAATAGTGGGGCAAAGATATTTATCAGGGACGTAAAATGTACATCAAAGTAATATGGAAACTGGCGTGGATCAACATTTTACTCATATGGACATTGACTGAAACTTACCCTAGTTTATCATGAGTTCACCTTGTTTTACTTTCAGATCCGAATCCATGCTTGTGATTGCACACAACCTAACTTCATAAGTAGGTTTAATGATATGATAAAGTATCATAACTACGTTGTGAAGAATCATATAAGCGCTGCCAACAGGGGGCACATTAAACCAAACAAACCAGTATCCGCTAGTACCAAATTGGGCCAAATTAAACCAGAGAAAAGCGACCTTCAACTCCAACGAGATTCCCCAAGCCTGGATGGCACGCCTGCTTCATTGGAACATTTCAGTCCGGTCAACCAATTTAGCACCACAAAGAGTGGGTCTAGTACACGCAACCTGTATGTTGATAAAGGTGCCCAATCAATGAACAATCCTTCAAAAAATAAAGGAGTCCAAATACATGGCGGTGAAAAGACATCCGTCCAAGATACTCTTCCCAACATTCCAAATTTGCTTTCGGATGATGTGGGCAAAGGTGCACAGGGCTTTCGCGAATCCCCAGAAAAAGCCACACAGGATGAATTCACAGCTGAAAATTACGACACCCATACACGAGTCCCTCAGAAAGACCGGAACCAAAACACATTTGAAGACGATGCCACTCTTAACAATCAACACGACTCAAAGATACCGAACAGCACGCCTAAATACAATTCAGAAGTCTCTCTCATCCAAAATGGTGACATTACAATTGTAATTGTAGGAGCTGTGTCTGTCTCCGTTCTCATTCTAATAATAATAGTGTCTGTAGTGCTGGTGTTATTGCGCAGAAAAAGGAAGACCCCGAAGGAAAACAGTATAGAGCTTGATATCTTCGAGGGTGTTCCTGATAGGTCCTATCCCAATACGTTACCAGTAGAACTAAAAGTATCTGATGACAGTACAGAAATCGATAGAAACATAAGTCATGCATAATATTACTTAATCTTCAAATTATATTTATTTATATCATATTTATAACTCGAGTGGGTAGGCACTTTCATAAATTGAAACCGAAACGCTCTTATAGAAATTTAAAAGCAGTACAAAATATTTTAAAATAATCAAGGCCCATATTGAAAGCAATTTCATACCAGTTATTATACCATGGTCAGAGCAATATCAGGTATCCCTTTAATCCTGATAAATTTTACACTTCTTCAAAAACACTTCATTTTTCAAAATTTTTTCATTTATCTTCAAAATTTTCATTTTTTCCAATTTTTGGGTTTGAAAATAATTTTCATTTTTCAAATTCTTTTATGTATTATGTTTTTCTTCTTCCTAAATTCCAAATGCACGTTAGGGCGGGATAATATGTAACTTTAATATTCATAAGAGTCGAACATTTTTTCTGTTATTCAACATAGGACTTTAGTAGATATAGCTCTTGACCATGATATTAGGTCGTTATTCACCAGTCGGGATGGTATGGGGAATATCCCTCGGATGATATCAATATTTCCCGAGGGAATGCATGGACCGAGGGAAATATTGATACCATCCTTGTGATATTCCCCATATCAAATCCCTCCTGGTGAATAACTTCTTTTGAACTTTGCTTACGGCAACAGGTTCATGTTTCTCAAAAGAAACCAAACCAATGTGTACGTGTATATTGCACTAAACTATATCAGCAAAGTTATGCACCCTATGCAATTTTATACGCTTTCAATCAGTATAATAAATCGAACTAATCTATGATAAAATATTATGTTATTATAATCTTGTTGAATCGCATAAGACCCACCAAGGTTCAAACTATGATTGACTACGGGCGAAGTTGAACGGACAATGGGGCTGGTGACGACCTAGTGGTTACATACAGGGTGATCCAAAAATACAACTCTAATTTTAACTTTTTCAATTATGGTGACATTTCCTTGAGTTTTGCTGCGGAGATGAAATAGAGTAGTGATCTACTGTAAATTGTAGACTGAGATCATGGGCTTTCAATTATTCCGTCTAGATATGCTATGGAGTATGGACAGGTCGTTCAAAAACGTAGAAAAAACTTATTTTGTTCACTGAGTTGGGATTTCTGGATTTCTCACTACAACTTTTCATGGAAAAACTCTGACTTGACCGCCCGTGTCTTGCACAAATGTAACAGAAAATAAAAATATATCCATCTTTTGGAGTTAAAATCGGAAAGCGCGAGATAGAGGTAGAAACAATCATAGATGGCGACATCATCAATGGTTTCAGTACATTTTAGCGTTTCTTGATGATATATGACTCTAGTGTTATATACCATAGATAGATGGCAGATAAATATCAAATTGAACGAAGCAAGATTTCATACAAGGGGCATAATATTATGTGCCAGTTACTTGTATACAGTAATATTGGCAAATGTCAGCCGTTCAGGTTTTGGAAGGGTATGACGGGAACGGAGTCAAAACTCATAACTCATATTTTCACAATGCATGTACGTATATATATACAAAAGTAACAACAGCGTAACTCTATTTTCTTTCGTAGAATTGCAGGGTTACAAGATTCAGCCAGATCTATTGTTTTGCGGTATTATCAATTTTGATATCATATACTCTGGTATGTGTGGCCAGAGACATATAGTAGTTTTATATGTATCTGACGGGGCAATACTTTCAGGTAGAGCGTAAGTACCAGTCATGTCTAGTGTTCCCATTACACATTAAACTTAGTTTAAACCTGCACATCGCTCCAAAACGCAATATTTTGACATATATTGTTTTTACATTTTCAAGCTCTAAAATAAAGTTTTTGTAAATAAAAATTGTTTTTTTCTGTGTAATATCAAAGAACAATCACTTAGTAAAAAAAGAAAAAAAGTACATGCGGGATTCGAACCCGGGCCGCCTGTGTGCTCAGCGAGCATTCTACCGCTGGGCTACCAATTCATTAAAAGGCAGATGTAATTAATCGCTACTTATTTTGAATACTATAATTCGGAAGTGACGTCACGTTCTTAATTTAGAAATCTTCCAAAAATCATATTGTCGTCGACAGTCGAAGCAATTCAATGAATAATCGTTGTAATGACACATTTATCGTGAGTATTTATACACAAGATTTGCCCCATTTGTTCATCATTCTATAATCTTTCATTAAGCTCAAAATGATAAAGTTCACCCCCGAAACAACCCAAGATTGCGTTTTGGAGCGATGTGCAGGTTTAACTGAAATCGGAGGTTTATCGAAAACGAACGAATTTCGGCAACCATCTTGAATGAAGCTAACTGCAGTTAGAGTCATCCAGCTATGGAACAGTGAATACAGATGAACGCACGGTGTGCTTATTACACTAGTGTCTCCATTTACCTAAGTCAATACAATACCAGAGGGCTAAGGAAAGGAGACAAAAAATTAAAGGCCTTATATAAAAAAAACTCTAACTCTAACATTATCAACATAGAACTTTCATTCTTGTCGGTCATTCCCTAAAAAGTCTCTCGTAGTGCAAGTATCTTTTTGTTCGAGGAATCCTCTGGAATGTGAAATACAAATATAGAGCTTTTTGTATTTAATGTTGGCGGCAAAGAAAAAAACGTTTAAAATGTTCTCAGAAAGCATGCCAATATTTCCCGTACGATCCTCATTGGTATTATTTGGAAATTAATCGATCAAATATGAAAATTAGTGAAGATTTGAAATGTCCAAATTTATAAGATTGGTAATGGTCTCTTCTTAAAAACCATTTCCAAATGACGAAAGTGTTATCATGAAGTCAGAAAGGTTGGACAAATAGCTAAGTGTGATGAAGTGCTGTGGAGTTGAACAATCTTGTCTTTGCTCGTATTATAGAGAATATCTTATTCGATATCTGCACGAGAAAGCGAAGTTTAATGTTGATTATCTAGTTTTATAATGACAGTCATTTATTATTTGCCTTTAAAATAAGGCTCAAGAACTTATTTGGCGTGGCTTCTTTAATTATCAGCAACACACAATTAGCATCAAAATAGAAATCGAATCTTAAAGACAATCGGGATAAGGTGATTAGCTGAAACCATAAAGTAAATCTAAAAGATTCTTGCACAATAAACTGGGATCGGAATCGACTTCATAATTCCAATTGATTGATTTCATTTTTCAAAAATGGAACCTGACTTTGAATTTTCAAAATTTTCTAAATGTTCTCATTGATTTTAAGTGGTGTTATTTCAATCGGCGGGTCACAGGTTTTTAAAGTAACACATTTGCGAGCTGATTATGAGCGTAAGAAAGCGATGTGTTTGAACAGCGAGAATGAACCTGTTGAAATATGTTTGGGATATCTATGTTTTCACAGGTGTCCGCATCACCCTCTAACAAAATACCAGTGTGAACATACGTTTCCTCGGCTTTTAAAGTGAAAAGTATTGAAAAAGCAGGAAAAAGTCCTCAAAGACGCAACCACCACGCCCGATTGCATAAAAACAGAATCCAATTGCTCAGTCGAAATATTATCGAGAAATAAGTTAGATGTAGTCAGGATAAATATTTCTCGGTCCCATTCATCTATTCATTCGTGATCCGACCAGATGCAGGATTTTCGCACATGTTCTTACTCATTCACTCGCACCAATTGGACAAATTTTATTTTACTAGTATTTGTATATACTTACAAAAGAGCCCCACTTGAGAAAGAAAATAGCGAGACCTGGTGAAATTTACCCTGATCACCAATGTCCATGATAAATTATCCGCGTCTCACTTTAAGTGTCAGTAATGCATATTCATGACTCATTAACGCAGTACCACGTGACCCCATAATGTCAGCAAAGACCTGAGAAATGAAGCAAATAAACAGTTCTTGAAGAAACCATGCCAAATTAACTTTCAACCTCGTTATGACACTCGCGCAGACGACAATACACTTTTCATTACGTGATAGGAACCTCACCGACCCGGATATCATTAATAACCACATTGATGACTCCGCAGAGAAAGAAGCCACATTACACTGAACTTGATCACTGCAGGTGATTATAAGTCTAACCAACAGCCCCTAGGACTAATAACTCCGAACAGTTGCTCGATCAAGACGTGATGGATCAACCAAGAGCAGGGATCATCCTAATATGGACGCTATTTATTTTACATACAACGCTGGCTGGGTTGCCGCTGCAGCAGGTGAGTGACATTTATAAATTCATAATTCAATTCATGTTTACTTTGGTTGCGCTCTTCAAAGCGCATCTTTTGATTCATTCATATCACCAGACCTTAGTTATCAGATCATACACGTGTGTTTTCTTGGTATAACATAATATTCGTAAGTTTTTCAGTGACACATTTTGAAATCTTTTTTAATTTGTACGAGAAAACATGTATCCGCACCAACAGGTGTCAATTACGAAGAATTTGCTGATAGTCGTCAATATTAATAGTGCATTTATTGATTTGGAAATTTAAATGCTTGGTAGTATCTAATTGTAAAAAACGAATATAACGTCACCTTAGTAATATTTAATTGTAAAAACGAATATAACGTCACCTTGGTAATATCTAATTGTAAAAAACAAATATAACGTCACCTACGTCAACGTTCGACCGATTACGTGGTTATACTATTTTGAGAAATCGATGTTGATTGGCAAAACTGACTAATATTTTGTAATTTATCATATTTCATGTTCGTAAGTTAGCCCCCGGGACACCTCTGCTGGGTTTATTTGAATAGCTTGATAGTGGGTTTAATTCTGGTAATTAAAACGATAGCACTTGATTCAATTCAACTTTATCTTATTAATCCACACAAAACTATGCATTCTAGTAGTACTTTGAGAATCTTGTTTTTAAATTGAATACAAATTTTCACTTTATGCTGAAAGATTGAGTAATGCGAATTTGGAGGTGAAATAGCGTATGATGATTCAGTTTGAAGTTTGTTAAGTTCTTCTCACCTAAACTGGAGAAAAATGTTCCAGAAAGGCTTCATATGCCGTTGTGTACATACATACTTAGGTTGCGTTTCATTAACTCTTTCTAAAGTGGCCAAAGTAGTCCAAGTATACAATGTAATCCGAGTGGCATAGCATCAACATACAGTGGTTTTTCTTTCACCAAATTAAGTTTGCTGCTTTAACCGTGAATAAAATCAATTTGGCATTTCTGAAATTTACATTTAATCGTTTAGATTGAATTTGAAGTGACTATTTATTGGTCGTCTCGTGTTATATGAACTCTTCCTGTTTTATCCCTCTGTGAATTTCTCGAAAAATGTTATATAATTTTACGTTTACCGTAAAGGAAGGTGACCATTTTGAAATTTAACAATTGGGTGGTTTCTCAATAGAGGAAGCCTCATCTCTGTCTATCTAAGATTTTATTATAAGCTGTGAGTAGTTTTTATAATATCCTTTGCAGTACGTTAACCACTGCTCTTTTGCGGTAAGGAAGTTGAAAGCCAATTTAGTTAATTTATTTAAGGAATATATTGGTCTAAATACACATAGTCTGCGAAAACAATTATCACTCACTAAATCGGTTCCGCATAGAAAAACGGCTCCCGATGATGGAAAAATTCACAGGGCTGTTTTCCGTTTGCTGTGTTGTACATCTTTGGCAAGCCAATCAGAGGAAAATATCCTTCATCACAAAGTACAATACTATTGAATCCACTGCGTACTATTGCAATAAAATAGTACATTAGATTTGTTATATAGCATGTATAGTGAATATGGTTATTTAGTATTTGTTTGACTTGCTCCTTTGTTATTTTAGTTTGAGTCTATGGAATAATCAGCAAATTGAATTGATTTATAAGTTGTAAGATATAAAGTTTAATCTGTTTTGACCTGCTTTACCAAAGTTTTTCATTCGTACATCCTCTCAAATCCTGTCAGATACACATTGGTTTATGGGTTCGAACAAGCAAGAAGCAATAGCAAACAAAGCTAACAAACAAACAAACAAACAAACAAACAAACACACCGATCGTAAATAATCGTGGGGAAACATTCAATATCAAATGCCTACACACTTCTTTTCAACATTTTTGCATATTCTAAAACAAACTAAATCGAAGAGCTGATGCCCTTCACGCCCCGGGCTTCACATTCGTTTGACTTAGTTTTCTAAAGGATTATTTCATCTAGTTTAGCTTAGTTCAGAACTACACTTAGGGGAAAGAGTTTAGGATATCAATCTTGTCTCTGTAAACGTGCTGCTGTAGCTAGATAATCTACCTGTCAACATATTTATCAAGGCAGTTGGAAATCCAGAACTGATTAGGGCACCAAATAAAATTTAAGGAATTATGTCAGTTTAGGAAATGTTTAGTAACTTTATAAGTATTGTTTAACTATGTTTTGTAAGTTAATATCTAGAGCATACTCTTACACTCGTCTATACAGTTAGTCATATACGTGTACTGTTACAGACGAAATTCCAAACTCATTGTGGACAAATTTTGGTTTTTCAACATGTCTGTATGAACACTTTAAAACGCACCATAAAGCCAAGCAAAACTATTTTAAGAGGCGTTTGTAAATTCCAAGACGGTTGATATGGTGACTACTTTTATGAATGAATTTTTTAAAACATACAAAAATGCAAAATGAAATGAACGAACGAAGTATGCTCATGGGTGGGCTGTTTATAATCTAGACCTATGGCAGTATGCACCGTTTCGTGTTTTATTGGTGTTTTATTAGTTTGATCTTAACACGTAAGGTTTTACTCCCCATTTGTTAAAACCTCATAAAAAGCGAACTTAATTATGAGCGTTATTATCGACATTGATTATTTCCTTCGTTAAACAAATAGTTCCTTACAATAATGGTACCCGTCATTCAAAAAGAAATGAGAATTGGATTATCCGTCATTCAAAAGGAAATGAGAATTGGATTCAAAGAACTGTAATGGATGTCAATGTCGTAAGCTATGGTACATAAAGTTGACCTACTGGACATATAAGAAATCGTTTGTTTCAAATTATGCAACATCAAAAATGCAATAAAAGCTTCAAAGAAGGGGACCACCGTTGATTTTTCGATTATGGATTATTAAACCCCTCTTTAAGTTGCCAAGCTTTTGGAGGACAGTGTAACGATGGGGGACTCAGCACTGAACTATGAAATTTCTGTAAAAATACCAACATATAATGATTTACAGGTGGGCTAATTTCGAAGAGTGAAAACAACAGGTCGTGGCGTTCCTAGAATATCCCGTTACTGTCCATCTATTTTGTGCTTTGATTGATCGTCCTAGTAATAGCATCTACGTCATTCCATGCAACTACTTTCCCTCCAGTTAGTTCATAACAATTCACAAAATCACGTAAAAAGATAAAGAATGGGGGTAAATTGACAGACACCTCTGAACAAAATCAGAAGTGAAATTTTCGCCAAAATCTTATGTAACAGCCTAAAATCGTATTCCTCAAAAAGAAAGAAATCAACTGGCCCAGCAAACCATCGGAAGAATATGGCAATTCTAGTAGATTGTTTGAAGTAATTTTACTTCGGTAAGTCTTACACATACACAATTAATGAATGTAAAATTTTCTGCGCGGGATTACAACCCCTGTTTAACACACTCTATAGAACACAAACACAGGTGGCTACTGGCCCGGACTGAAATGACGTTCCCTTCCAAATGATAAATAATCATCAGGTTCATGGTTATTTCACGTTTATTCGCCAAATACTTAAATTCATTGACAGTAAACACGTTTTTGTCGTGGTTTGGCTTATACGTATGTGAGGCAGATGACCGGGACAGATGAGCTCCGCCGCGGTTGTACTGCTCGATACGAGTACGTCTACAGCCAAGTACATTTGTTTGATATCTTTTTATGGGGGATTAGCGTTTGTGAAGTGGTTCTGAGGGTCAATTGTGAGAAGTCCTAGATTTTTAGATTTATGTTGGTATAGCTGCTATAATACTTCCACTTATCAACAACAGACCGTATTACATAGTATACGATTCTTGATTCAATTTTCGCACCGTCATAACATTGCAAATCATTCATGATATTTTCACCTGCATCACATGATATGTTACCCTTTCCAACATGATATGTTACCCTTTCCAATATTTTAATTTTACTCTCCGACACAAGACTGCCACTGCACAAAAACGTATTAATGACATGATATTGTTCCGTTTTACATGAAGCGTATAATTGAAGAATAATCGTATATGGTATTAATGGCACGGTATAATAGCCGATTATAACTTCTTCTATCTAACACAATTATCTCCTATAATAGTAATTACATTATATAATATGACGAGCCTAAAGCTTGGTACCTTCCCGGGGTACCTTAAAATTGATTTTGTTAAACTAATTGTGATGAACGAAAATAAACGAGAAAAGGGGAATAAATCAGTAAAAGGAGCAACAGATCAACACCCATATTTATAGTACGGTTTTATCTATGTAACAATTTCATTCAGTTAAAGAATGTATCATATTTAATATTACATCCACGTCATTAACATACCAATGGAAGTGAGTCACCGATAATCAGCTCCAAATTATCTTGACAAAATACTAGAACAACATGATATTAATTGCTTGCTAAATATACTCTCTGGTTGTAAAAATGCCAGAAAATATAAATATAGCTACTTTGTTTACGTTGTGAAGTATTCTTATATCAACAATTAAATTCTAGCAGCTATATTCATGTTATTTGATTTAGTGGCTATTAATTATGATAAGACTCTAAAAGTAGAGAAAAGTGGTTAATTTTAGATTCATGAACATAGAACTTGACGTAATTTTGAATCTGATGAAAACTCCTGTAAACCACGATGCTAAAAGTGGAAAAGGTTTATCATTATCATTCTGTCTAGTATATTTATATGATTTATTTGTCTTAAACTGATTTCTTTTAATCTTTTTAATTACGTTTTATTTCTAACAGAAATGGCCCAGCCCAGGAAGTCTTCTTAACGACTGTGATGTGTCGTGTGCTGATGCCAAGAGACGCCTGGTATGCGGAAGCGACGGTAAAACGTACTCCTCAAGGTGCGAGGTGCAGAAATTGGACAAATGCGACGGACGGAATCTTAAGGTCGCCTACAAAGGGAGATGTAAAACTAAAACAGGTATTCAATGGCCATGTTTATATCATAATGTCATCAAATCCATGTGTCACTTCTCTTTCACAATCTCTAAACATCGTCTCACTTCACACACTTGTGAAGCCATCCTCCTAAACATCTCAAATCCTACACAGCAATGGAGAAATATCTAGAACATGAAAAAATGTTTGGAGGGGGTCAGGGGTAAAATCATATTTCACACACAAATCGGAAACTGTCTTGGTTATGAAGTGGATACCCTTTGCATTCGTTTGACTTCACTTCTTAAAAGAGAGCTGTCTGTAGTTTAACTAGACTCTGCACGCAGGGTATGAAGTGGATGCATAGAGTAATCAAACATATCAAACTGTCGCAGCCACCATTGGACGCCAAGAATTAAACTAAACATGTGGCAACCATATTGCAATGTTTGCATTTTGTCATGTAGTTGAAATGTTACATGCATTGATTTTATCCATCCCCATATGCGCCTTAACTGACATGCATAACTGAACCATACTATGAAAACAAATATTCTTCATGTCTATGTCTCAATTGACAGTCATGCAGCTTGTTGGTAGCTCATTCAACATGTATTTGTTTGCTAGCTGTCTGTTTCTAGTTGATGTGTACCTGATATGTTTTAAATCAGCTATATCTCTCATGTGACAGACCTGTCACACATCAAGGAAGTTATTTTACTTCATCAAAGTTACATGTACCAGTTAGATATTAATTGAGTAGGCTAAGTGACCAAAAATGAGAAAACAAACACATTCTACACTGAAAAACAAATGTCAACTGTTGCATGCTCTGAGAAAATATATTTAAATATATCCCAAAAGCATTCAAATTAGAAATAAATTGCATGCTACCATACATTTCTCTTCTATTTCTAAGAAGATTGATTCGAAGAGTCACGGCTGTTTCATATCCAAGATGCCTCCAGGGTGTATATTTGTTTATTGGTATAAACTCAGCATAACTAAAGTACCAATTTATATCAAACTGGGATTTATTGATAATGCACCGTCAGTGATCTGTCATCGGAGCTGATTAATGGTGCTATATATTCGTGGTTCATTGCCTTACATATGTTTTGTGGTCCAGGCCCGATGTCACCCTATCAAAACTAACACAACCTGGACTAGCTTATTTGTAGATTCCTTTCATAATATCTAGCTGAAAATGGTATTCTTAGATGATCCTGCTTTTGGGAAGTGTCTTATTTTTCTAGTTTTCTAACTGAAGTTTTGTCTAGCGGAATCATATCAATCATGACACCTAATTTTCAATGATACTTCATGCCAGTATGCTGTCAGGAACCATGGAGAGTTATCGTGACAGAATCCAAGTTTCCGATATTCCCCCAGGAACAGATGTACATATAAACAAACAAATTGCCATCATTTGCCACATTTGGTCAAATTGTAATAGTTAGGGGCTTTCTCAATATCAATATCATAATACTCTTTACATACGTTTGACTTCGCTTCTCAGAAGAGAAATTCGTCTTTGGTAGTTATAACTCTGCGCACAGGGTATATCATAATTGGTATGAAAGATTGACTTGTACATTCATTTTGGTTTTGAGATGTCCATTTCTTTGTCCTTTCTGATTTTGCTCTGTGTGACATACTGTCGGCAGTTTTGACTTGGTATATAACATCAGTATTTCTACAAAATATCAGCAATAATTGACAACTGGGATATATAGTTACTTTCTGGCGATAAGTTAACTTGATTGGTTGTATATCTCGACAGGTTTCCTATGAATGGTTTTCTCAGTAGTTATTGACTTGATAAAATGTAAACAATGAAATACGAAGTGCAACTCTTACAGTTGTTTTACCATCGCCCACGTCCAGATCATGGGTTACACCGATATGTGCTGTTGTCAAGGTAAACACAACATTCTGGACATATGTGTAACATATGTAACGATCACAATCATAAGGTGGACACACCTACCCCATTCTTTACTTTGATACTCATTCTTCAATAAATTAATCACGATAAAGCAGATTGTTAAACCCCGTTTGGATGTGCTCTTATCCGTTTAAATAGTTCTTTATATTTTGAATTATACCACAATCCATGTTGGAAGTTTGAAGACATGGATTAACATGACAATGTAACAATACAAAAAGGAAAGTTTTATATCTTTGAAAATTTAACTTGAATTGGAACTAATTCATGTTGATGGTCTGCATTGTTTGTTGTTTCACAATGTTTCGGAGATACTACTATGTTTATCTTTGCGTTTCAAATGTAACCCTTTATACTTTCTGTAAATGATTATGGATAACTCAGAAAAAAGTGTTTCGCACCTACTAGCGTCTGTGAACTCAGTGTGAAGTATGTTATAAATTTGTTTCCACTTTTGATCTTCAATTTCGTATGTACTTTAGGAAACAGGAAACATCTTCGCATCCACTTCATGATACTTGTCAGTAAAAATGCTTAAATTCTACAAGTTTACTTCTTTGTCGTTGAACTTTTCTTAGCATGCCTGCCGGGTTAGTTTGACCCCATGAGTTCTCACTTCCCAGCCTTTACATTGAATACATCTCAAACGTGCTGAAAGGACTTAGCTCTTTTGATCAGTCCCACCTGGCATTAATTAATCAATACCAATTCGCACCTTGAATTGCTAGGCTCGATCATCTTAATCTGAGAATCTGGGCGATTGTTCTATTCGATTTTTTAAGTTGCTTTGGACATTTAATGTTTGAGGTTCCACTTAATTAATTGTGACCCTAAATGTTACGTAACCAATGCAGGAATAATTCTTGGCTTCTATCTATTTTTCGAGTGCAACATCACCATGTGTAAAACACTTACCTTATAACTACCTTTAATGCTAGATCTTTGCAAAATTTGATCCATCTGGTAAATGACTAGCTTAATATATTTGATGTTTGATGCAAAATAGTGCAATTTTACTGGAATCCCTAGTATTGCAAAATGTATATTGTAATTTAAAGTCACACAGATAACTACCAGGACATTGCCACCCTAGAAATACCACCCAGGGAATTCCCAGGTCACAGTCATATTCTTTTGTTATTCTATTTCCACTTTTATACAAAAATAACAAAAATATTTTCTGACTAAAATGTTTGATCAACAAAACAGTTCATTTTATATTTTCTTTGGTTGGATATTATTTGTTTGGTTATACTTTATGCTAAAACAGCATGAATCTGTGTTGAATATAATTCTAGTATCCAAAATGATTCTAAAAGAATTTTATAAATGATCCCGACCACCTGCATTCTCTGGTCACGATAACTATACTACAGTTTATACTGTGTATAATATAATTCACTCTATTTCAATTAAGCATATAAACTAAAATATTAGTATTTTGTCATTATACATAGTACAGCCTTCATAAAATATTGCATAGGCACACTAAATTAATACTCTCTCATTTTCTGTATTTTACTCTAAGATAAGACATTCGATTGTGATTTGGCTGAGATTTATGCTCCTCTTTTGATATCATCAATATCTGAATAGATTAATGTACTCGTTGCCTCACTCTCCTCGATCATTCTCCATTCAGAGTTTTGAGTATACTAAGGGCTGGCCTCACTGACGATGAACCATAATGAGGCATTTGGAGAATGCCACTTTACATATGTTTTACCAGATGTTATAAAAATATTGAATGTTTTCAGAGAAACACAAGTTCTTCTGCTTACCTCATCATAGCCTCGTTTTGAAAAGTGAAGTTTTAAAAGAGAAGTTTAGACAGTGAGGCACCAGAGTCAGCAATGCGTTCACCACAAAGTTAACATCCTTTGATTACTCATAAAACAATCACAGACGCCATTCTTAAAACATGAAGCCGAAGTTAGAGAGGATAAAATATTTACCAGAGATTTTATTCTTAATATTAAGTACTATGAAAATTTCTTTAGCAGATCAGCAAGCGAGTGGGAGTAAATGTCTGCAAGAAAGAGATCAAGCGATATTAAGCAAAAAACCCGCATATATACCAGCATGTAGACCAGACGGCACATACGCTGATGTACAATGTCATACAGGCTACTGTTGGTGTGTCACTGAAAAGGGCAAACCAGTGCCTGGAACATCCGTCCAACACAGCGACCCTTCATGTGGTCGTGGCAAAAATGGTCAGTATAAAGTATATTTCTTGGTTTTGTTTAAGTTTGGGGTTATTGTCAAGATTAATGTTATTCAGAAGATATCAGTATTTGGTAATTCTCTGTAGTGATGAAGAAGCTTCTAAATATTAATCTTTATTATAAAGTGATTCTTTTGTATATAGGACTTGATATGATTTGAACATTTTAGTTTTTAACATTATTTCATTCGCCTCATATTTGTTTATTTTTTGCTTATACAGTATATGTTCCACCCCTGTATGTGTTCTGCTTACAAGCGATCATCAAATCTAGAAAATATACTAATGTTGCAAACTAGACGTTTAAATTACAATGATTTATATTTGATGAAGTAGGGTGGTTCACAAACTAAACCTATTGACTCAGATATTATGATATTATATTAACACCAATACATTTGTACAATCCGTATTATATCAATATTTTCTTTGAGATCTTAAATTTTTAAATAATTTATGGCATGTGGTCTGTGGGTAAAAGATGTTTTTAGACTGTGTTTCTTTTTAAGAGATGAAAATCTTTTACATCAAAGTGCAGGCCTATCATATTACAGTTCAGGTTGTTTTGACATGTTGGTCCTCAGAACGATTCCTCCTTAGTTTTCAATTTACACCATTTGAAACTTTTGTATTCATATAGAAATCTTAAACTCACAAATGAGAAAGCCACAATTGGAATTTCTTTTGAACACTTCACTAGAATAGTTTACATATTTGCCTAAAATGCACAATCCCATTCATGATGTGATAAGTTTCCCAAAGAGGTTTTTAGTTTTGAATTTTTTCAAAAGATAATATGCTTACCAAATTGACATGTATGAGAAGAATGCGTATCTTTTCATCAGGTGCTACTTATCAACTAGTCCTCTCAGACAAAACTAACAGGTAAACATGTAGCCCTTATGCTAGATATTTACCTATTGCTTTCTAAACACTTTTATGTGCGAAATACCACCTACCATATCTCAAAACACGCAAAGTTTTGATAGACGTGAACAAAAACATTCAATTGCAGTCAAAGTGAACTGTCACGAAAAAACGAGATTCCTTATTCACATTGATATTAATTCAACCTAGTATTAAATATTATTTATAAGGTTTAATAACCCATCATAAGATCACAACATCCAAAAGATACACACTTTATTGAAAATAAATTCTCATCAAGAATGAAAGGGTTTATGCCATTTTGATAACATATCTATAAATAATGAATGAAATTGAAAACTACACAGAAGTAACATAAACATTCAGGTTTAACTAATCATAGAGAATCAACGAAACCATTTATTCATCATGTATTTCATAATCAGTTGTATGTTTTTTACATTCTTTCTCTATCTCTTCATCCATCCCCCTATATTTATGGGTTTGCATGGTTAGGACGTTATACAAACTATAAGTAGTTTTTATTCAATTTTCTAAATAAATTTTGCTGTTCGCCACATGTCATCCCTGAATCCATAATCATGCTCTACTATGCTATACCTACTTACCATGACCCGCATTATTGTAGGTAAACCTAATAAACGACGATCTGGCAATAAGAAAGGCAGAAAGGGTAAGGATGCTTTATTGACGTTATCACTGCTTATGATACATTGTAATCATTATTTCATTTAACATTAATTTACCAACATAAAACTGTTTAAGGAGTAACATACTCATGAATCATATTTATTTCTCATTCCATTTGCTTGTACTAATTAAGGCTATATCGTTTAACCTTGGTTGGGCTTTATGAAGTGGTGCTCCCCAGGGATCAAGTTTACTTCCTGCTTCATTTTCCAATGTCTTATTTATATAAATTAGTTTCTGTAAGTTATTGTATGAAAACTATTGATTTTAATTTGATTTATTTCAGGTTGTGGCCCAATAGATAGAGATACATTTAACACTAATTTAATTAGATTATTCAAAGAGGAATTTAAGAGAACTCCTGGATCTAAAGACACAAATGATCAATCAGGAGGTAAATCTTTAAATCTATCAATTTATATATAACAAGCAAAGACACCGATGACAGCAAACTATGCATATAATATCTACAACATAAGCTTATATTCTGCCCAGAAATCATGTCTCATGTTAATTTTACATCATACTTTTCTTAATCGTAATCTAAAATCTAATAAAAACAACAGAAAAGTGTCCAAGTAGGTTATTTCATGTGGTTCACAATCGCCTAAATATTGTTTGAAGTATTCATTCCCAATGAATTAACAACTAAATCACTTCTATTTTTCAGGTTTAGGAATAAAGGGGGACTCTGAAATAATGTATACAGAGAAACGAGTAATAGAATGGAAATTTACAACATTAGATAAAAATAAGGATGAAAAATTAAAATCCAAAGAGACAAGATCTCTTAAAAGGCTAGTGAAAAAACTGGTCAAGCCAAAAGCATGTGCAAGAAATTTTATAAAACACTGTGATGAAGATAAAAATGATGAAATCAATAAGCGTGAATGGTCCATATGCCTTGGAGTCGACAGTAATAGTAAGTATATTTTGTTTATACCTATATTATTGAATATAGGACTACATACTTAATTGTTTCTACATGCAGGGAGATAGTGTTTGTCTTGGGTCCATCTTCGTCTTTATTGATCGATTTGGCACTGGCCTAAATTAATCAAACCCTGCGATGTAGAATCATAAATAATATGTAGTTTCTTTTGATAATTAATAGTATACCGTATTGAAGCTAATAATATAATAAATAGTTCCTCTCCTGACACTTTCTTGAGCATGTAAAAGTAAAATCGAATTAAGCACAGACCTGAAAAATATTTGTAATTAAATTCTGTATAGTTATAGTAAAGTGTCTGATATTTCATATAACTAGAAATTTAAGATATCCACAGTGCGTGGGCGCCTGTAAAAATGTGAGAAAAAGTAATTATATGTTGATTCGTAACAGCACATTTTTTCTAAATTGTATTTATGTGTACATAAACAGGATGGGAGAACAACTTTGGCCGTATGATTTGTTACAATGAACCGTCATGGTAATTCAGTTTGTAAATATTTCAAAATCATAGCGTTGTCCTGCACACGATTTGGAAGAAACCAACTTATACATATGTATGAAATTATGCAGAATCAGAAATACATATAATTTATGCTACACTGCATTGAATTATTCCATTTGTATGTGGGGCCGGTTTTTCTGACCCAACCTGTATATCTGTATTGTATTTTAAAATGGCATCTATCCTATAAAACTACTATTCTTTCCACCTTTGGTTAACTATATACAATCCTTATAATTACAGTAATTAACTCGATCACATTCCATAAGAAAGTAAAAACGTAATTATACATTACAAGTGTCATTACACCTTTCAACTTGTTACCCATATAATTTATTTTTCTTAAGACACATGAATGTAAAAACGTTTATATCGTATTGCTTTTTATACTCAGATTTGTGACTTATATGATACAAATAGACCGGAAATTATAACAATTATATATTTATGGTATATACATACATAACATGCAATGGGTGCAAAAGCTAAAAGTTTATATCGAAATCCTAATCCTTAAGGAGCTTGTAAAGCCTATGTATTGTGTTACCATTCCTCTACAGCTTGCATTTCTCAGAGGCAGATCCGCTGGTCTGTCCATCAACAAGAACAGTTGTACATCATTTAGACTAAGTAAACTTAACACAACATTTATTTGGGGTTTTCGCTTGCCAAAGTAAACGAACATAAGCGATGTCAGTGTGAGACATTTGCTGCTGAGAGTTTCATAAACAAAACAAAATCGCGTAAGAAATCAAATATAAAATAAAACATTCAAAGCAGAGTGATATAGTAATATATATAATGACATATTGGAATGGAGTTTTATTATTTAAACATTTATATACAAAATTACATTCTCATTGTTAGAATGACATAAACATGCCAAATGCACATTTGATAATTAAATAACTTGGTTGTCTTAGAAGAAAAAAACTACATAGAACGCATTTATTGTATATCAATTCAGTATTTATTTTTAAAGTATACCGGTATTGGCTAAAAGGTGGAAAGAATGGTAAATTGTCAATTTAAATGTATACCATCCTTATGACACTTTACTAACATCCTAATGAATACAACTTTAGGTAACAACAAGCTTACATCCGTTCACTTCAGTCTTTTTCTACTCAAAATACTTTTAGGTACATGTATGTTATTATACAATGTAACTAACACCTTTACTATGCTTAATATGGTGCTTAGGTTCTCTTTGGTTTGCGTAACTTGAAATGTGTTTCACATTCATATATAGGCAGAGCGTTTCATAAGTACGTTGTAGGTAGACGGGTGGTGCTTCGACGTTATTTATCAGAACTTCGTGAAAGTATCAACGCTATGAGGTTGTAATACAGAAGGGCAAAATGCACATTCTTTAAATTGGCAGAGTTAATTCAGATTAAAAATAATTTAAAAATCGCCAGTTTTTTTATTTGGAATACTACTTATACTTTGAATGTATGCAATTACATTAAACTAATCATTTTGTAAAGCTTTATCACACTTATTTTGAAAACAACAAAATAAATGGGTCAAACATTATTATTTGGAAACATAATATGAAATAACTGAATAATCACATGCTGAAATTAAACCATATGTACTTTTGAAAATTACAGCACATACTATAAATATTTATTTATTTAAGTATATAATTTATATGTTTCAATATATGTTTATCTGTATTCATTTTACATAGTGCTGATGATAATATATGATGTGCATTGGCCCATGTGTATAACACATGTGCAGATTATTCCATTTCGCATCGTCTAATCCATGTCATCATTTGTGTCATCCAAACGCGTCTCATTCTATGGCTGTCTTATTTTGTATTTATAACAAACAAGATTCGTTGCAGAAATATATTATTAAAGGCAGAATCAGATCTATAGGGGATGACGAAATTTCAAGCAACATGTACAATTGGCCTACCAATCTATTACTTATTACTTCAAATACAATATCTCCTAGATCCGCGATATATTATAAATTGGTTAAATTTTTAAAAATTCAGAGAGCCAAAATGTTTAAGTTCTCCCAAATGATAAAAATGGTAACCATAAAATAGAAATAATACCCTATTGTAAAAATCTTTAGTTTTCCTGGATTTTTATAAGGTAGACATAACATGGGATATGAGCCAAAATATTCTAAAATTGAGACAATTTTTAGTTTAGCTAGCTCACTAGATCTGATTCTCCCTTTAGCAATACTATTTTTGTTCCCATCAAAGTAGTTCTTAAAGATTGTCAACTCCTCTTCTATACTCCATCCTCCGAACGCAGGGCTTCAGACATCATCCGTTCTATATCTACCATGTGTTCCTTCTTCATAAAGGAGGAGCAGAGTGAATGGTGTGTGGATCCCTCAGCTCAGAGAATGCTCAGCTCTAAATTTGGGTTGAGAGGACAGATAGATCATGCCTTTATCCCAAACTTATGTTGTAATTGTTATAGATCATTTTCTTATGTAACAAACTGTATAATAATCTGCTTTTTATGTCTGGTTCAGGCACCGTGTCAAAACCAACATTCACGCCTCCACACATTGAGAAACTTTTCCCGATAGCTTCAGGTAAAAGCACTGCACGAAACACAGTCTATCTCTGCACTGCACGGCAACAATAATTTTCCCGACCCATTTGCCCTTGGTACAAGAAATGTATTTAAATTTGAAACCACACTAAAATGTGCATTTGCATTTACTTCGTGCATGCCATCTATAGAATTATAATTTGATTAAGTCTACTAAGCATGGGTTGTTTAGTACCTGCACGGTTGAAGGATTGATTCGGAGGACTTTCAATTTGCAACTGCAAATTTCATTGTTTCTATCCACAGCTAATTTTGCATATACAATCAGTAGAAAACATGTGTGATTTGTCAAATTACATTTCGAATTATACACGAATCGTTTTTACACGGTGCACAAAATATATTTAGATGTATTTATAGTTAATCACAGGCTGGTATCGAAATATTTGTCCGCTGTGACGGAGCATGCTATTTTTCATAAAAACACTAAGAATACTTCACGATTTATTTTTTAACTCATATCTTTCGTTATACCATACAAAATTACTTACTCCATGCAATGGATATATCATTTGCGGGTAACTTTCACTTTTGTTTGAAGTCCAATTACGCTGGGAAGAAAAGCTATTGAAAATGGCGCTGGAGTATCATACTTCAAAATGTACAATTTCTTGTTTAACTTTCTAATGGCACGATATAGTGACACGATAATATTTACACATGGTTTCAGCATAACTATGAAGGTATAAATGAGATGTTGATGTATTTGGTCTTTTTAATTCTTTTATAAAAAATAATGTTTAATTTTTTTGTCCGCTGTGACGGAGCAGTTGTAAATGTGAACTGTGAAAATGCTCCGTCACAGCGGACAAAAAATATTAATATTATTTTTTATAAAAAAATTAAAAAGACCCAATGCATCAATATATCATTAATACATTCAGAGTTATGCTGTAAACATATGTTAATATTATCGTGTCACTATATCATGCCATTAAAAAGTTTAAAAAGAAATGGTACATTTTAGAATTTGATACTCTGGCGCCGTTTTCAATAGATTTTACTCCTAGCGTTATTGGACTTCAAACAGAAGTGAAGGTTACAGGCAAATGATATATCCATTGCATGGAGTAAGTAATTATCTATGATATAACGAAACATATGAATTAGAGATAAATCGTGAAGCATTCTTAGTATTTTCATGAAAAATAGCATGCTCCGTCACAGCGGACAAATCTTTCGATACCAGCCTGTGTTAATAGATCTAAAAGTGTGCTGGCTACTATGGAAAATTTCGATGTGCATATTCGAATAGAAAGTGTAGAAGTTTGTTATTTGTGAGTACAAGTATTGTAACTCATTTCGAATATACACATATACACGCCAATAATTGTGTGGACAAATACATTTTTGAGTCTAAATGTTTTTGTTTTTCTAGTTTGTAGTCATAACATTAATTCTGTTTGCAAACAAGTAGCGAGGTGATGATGGATCACTACAAAAAAGAAAAGAAAAAGAAAACATAACTGAACTGCTTGATGAGGCATATTCCATCGTCACCTCCTTACCATGTTGTAGAAAGTAGATATATCATTTGCACTCTGTTTGGGTCGATTTGGTGAGTTTAACATTGCTGTATAAGTCAACCATTCGACTTTGTTCTTAGAATTACTTCTCTTAACTAAAACTTATTTTCTGAGTTAGGTTGTCTTAACATCTAGTTTCTCTTAACAGTTTTTATTTCCCTAATCAATTAGAACTCAGAAAAGGTTAGAGAACTAACATTTTATTTTGCACTTACTTCATTTAGAAACTTACTCTTTAAATTTGGGTGAATTAGAAAGACCTTCTCTCGGCTAACACTGCAATGTCCTCTCCCTAACATAATACTAACAGCCAGCTCGGGCATAGTGCAAATGCAATATACAACATGTAAAAGAACCGAAACTGACACGTGTCATATGACAGTTTCCTTCCGTCTTTTCCTCCTCCTCAACCACATAGATGACAGACAAGGGAGTGTCGCCAACCTACCCAAGGAAAGCAGAGGAGGTATTTTCCCATCATGTTCAAAATCATGCCATATGATTTTAGAAACCAGTTGTATGAGAAGACTCCTAAATTGTGAATGGCTAATATTTTATTATTTACACCATTTTCGTGATACAAAAACAAAAATATAAGCATATAGACAACATAGGGAACCAAATGACACTTATTTATACCTGGGAAACTACAGACGTTTGGAATGAACGTCTCTTAACTTGAAACACTCGTGCGCGTGCGTTGCATGACTGTTCAATTAAAGAGACAATTTTCATTTTATATGGCATGGTTTGTGAATATGTTGTGATGTATCCTACCGATAAATAATTAAGTATTTAGTATCAATCTGCATGCATGATCCACACTTACCTTAGCTATAAGCACCATGCATTTATATTTTGTAAAGTAAACCATATGTTAGTATAGAACTAAATTTAAAAAATATTTAAACTTTGAAATATAGAATTCGATGTAGTAACAAACACTGGCTTGATATTTTTCAAGATTTTAAACTGTAACATTGCCATTTATCCACACCATTGTTTTCATAATGGATAATATTATCTACGAATCAACCAATTTAAATGCTTAATGTATTCTCTCGTGTTCTATTTTGCCTCTATAGTGTTTACTAGAAGATAGTGTTTCTAATAGTGTTGCTTACATGTGTTTCTTACTTTTCTTTTACCAAGACGATCAGGGACTTCCTTCCCGTGGATTAGGTCCGAGTCTCTCATCAAAGCAGACATTGCCTCTTTCTGCCTTACGACCACGTGTCATTGTTCCCGCCACAGAAAAACCTGCAAAACGGGAACAGAGTACGATGTTTGATTTTATATAACCAAAAAGATCAAGTCCTCACATACCTGCATACCCATAAACTTTCCATCAGAAATCTCAAAGATGTCATGAAGTGTTTAAACTGAGTATTGGATATTTCCTGTTATATTTCCTCGATTTTTCCGCATGTACATTTTTGGTAAAGGGATCCTATGTCTTTCGCAAAGTGTAGATATGCTTGGGGACTTGAACTTTAGCATTTTCATTCAATGTATCTTTTTGGAGAGGTATGTTAAAAACATTAATACATGTAAGATGTGTCAGTTTACCTGTCAGATTCTCATCTTCTGTAACAATCTAGATGTTCTTCGTGCAAGTATTGCCTCTGATTTTTGTAAATAAAAATGTCATCTATTCTTTTATCTCTAAATATTTAAAACAATCTGTTGATGTTTGTCAAAGCTATATGTGTTCTGATTTTGTATGTTATAATTATTTGATTTAAGTTATGTAAGGTACATTTCTGCGTGAAGGTATTTGACAGAATCACAGTGGAAAGTACATTTAACCAGACCTCATCGCAACCATTTCAGAAAAAGAAAAAAACTGTGAAACTGACCGTAAAACAGCTATGCAAAATGACAAAGATTCACCCGATGCAGGCATTTTTATCCCTCGGTGCTCGCCAATGAATGCAGCTATATATGAGAAAGCACAGTGCCACACATCTACAGGATATTGTTGGTGTGTAGACGAAGTATCCGGTAAACCTATCCCTGGAACGTCGACCCACCAAGTGCAACCAAAATGTGATCTTCCTCCCGAGCGAGAAATAAAAGGTGAGTGAAATGGTAACTTTGATAATGTAATTTGATATGATAATATTAGTAACAGAATTGTATATCCACCTATCTCATTCATACTGAAGAAAATATTCAAGTATAACACTTATATGACAAAACAAACAAAGTAAGTAATTAACAAATACAGATGAACATTTAAAAAAATTCAGTGTTCAATTCAATCCATTCAATTAGATTTTAATGTAAAATTAAGACAAAATGAACCTTATTCACGAGTATGCCCATGTAACTAACATGATTATCCTGCGACTTGATAAATAATCTCATGCATGTTACCTAACAAATGAAGTTCATGGAAGATAGTGCTTGTCATTCCTCCTAGAGTATTTGAATAAAAAGTATCTTCATTAAACATCATTGATTCCGAACTGTGACTTTATTGTAGATGTAGAAAATATGTCTGTCTTCAGGTCTAGTAATATTAGTATGCCTGTACTGTAATGGGTCTTAAGATTGTTCCTTCTAAACTTAGTGTACTAGTTTTCTAACCAGCTATGCATTTACTGTCTGTATGATTATGTACATGTTATTAGAGCTATATAGAAATATTACCTTACTGTTACTATATAGTTAACTAAATTTTCTTTCAAGTAGCTATAAAAAGTTTTAGTTATCTATTTATATGTATATATAATACTGTAGCTTTAATGGTTATGATTTCACGTTGACATTCCCATGGATTTCCAGACTATTTAGTATTACTGTTCTTGTATGTAGTGTACTATCCTGCTAACAAGCTATGTAACTTAAGACTCGTACACTTATGTCTCAAATTGAGACGATTTTCCAGGTTGCCCAATCCAAAACAAGAGAAGATATTTAATGGACTTGATGGATCAATTATCTACAGAAATGGTGGAATATGCAACAAATAACTCGGACAATAGGTATTTGTATGACCCTTTTGTTTTAAATTAGTATTGTTTTTTGTCATTTAAACAAATAACTCGGGCAAAAGGTATTTGTAAGGCCCTTTTGTTTTAAATTAGTATTGTTTTTGTCATTTAAACAAATAACTCGGACAAAAGGTAGTTGTATGGCCCATTTTGTTTTTAATTAGTATAGAATAACAATTTTGTTTTTGTCATTCAAACAAATAGCTTGGACATTGTTATTTGTATGGCCCATTTTGTGGTACCGAATAACAATTTTTTTTAAAACAAATTCAAGACAAAATATATAAAAATTGGTCATAACATTGTTGAACGAGATGTGAAGCAGAATAGTTTATATTTATATACTCTATATATATAATAGTATGCATTTGTGCATAACTGTAGGTTATATATTTTAAGGATATTCAAAATGGTACCACAAACGGTACTTTGGCAAAAACATGAAACCCATACACACCTTTTTGTAGATTACCAGAGCCAGACCCTGAACATTCTTTAGAAGAAAGAGCAGTCCGTTGGAAATTTAATATGTTAGATAAAAATAAAAATGGGGTAAGCTTGTTTTTGCTTCTCCTATGCAGATATTTATTAATTCATTAATAGTTAAAACCTGTCCAATCAGAACGCTACTGGGATTTGAAAAAACTGTTTGAATTGACAGGTGATTACTCAAATTTATCCTATGTATTTTAACGATATATGAAACATATCTCGAAGATTTCAGGCTGATATATTTAAAGATTTAAGAGACATTATATTATGAGAATTTATGGTTAACCCTCGTAGACCTTTGTTTTTATCATGTTTGCTTTCCTTTATTGAAATTGCACAATGAAATATTTTATATAGCATGTTTGTATTTATGAATCAAGAGAGAAAGGAATTAAAAGTATTAATTTTATTAAAGAGACTCTATTGAGACTTCTCTGTGGCATTTTTTCTTTATTCCTTTTTGTTTTGAATTTTTAACACCATTACATTAACTAACTACTCAATATGCAACTTTTCACCGCGTAGAATTTTAAAATATTAAGTTTGAAAATTCCATTTTTATAATGGAGCTCAATGGGAAAAACTACATAATTTGAATTATTTTCAAACGTAGCGGCGCGATTTTGATAAAATTGACAGATATAATAAATATTGGTAAGACAAAATGTTTGATGAAAAATGAAGAAAATTCACCGTCCTGGTTACGCAAACTATAGAAAAATCTGAAATAATCATAAAAACCTGTAAAAATAGATTGAAGGGGGTGATATTCATGTTTAATGGGCCTTTCACTACTACAGGGTAACCATAATTTTGGTACTGATTTGATTTTTCAATGAAAAATCGTTTCTATAGTGTATAGTCAGTTTAAATAATACAATTGTTATATTTCTTTACTGAACAGTGCAATCATTTATTTATTTATCAACAGTAATGCAAACTACATATTATACAGTTAGTAAAATATTAAAATAATTCTATTAAAATTAAAGCATTGCCAGAATGTGTTGACAGCTGGCAAAAAATTGAAGAATTTGAAGAAAATAGCCACCCAAAGACACTTACACCTGCTAATTGCCACTTTGCAAAGAGTTTATTCAAGCAAGAAAACTATTTGGAAAAACGTAATTTCGGGTTGAACATGGTACCCACCACTCTGGTTACCTTAGCGACCATCTCTCAAGAACCAATCAAAATTGAGGTCCCAAAGGACATTATACACCCTCCATTGGGATCTCCCCATGAGAAAAAAATAATTCATCTGATTTTTCAAAATGAGTATTCTGCTTTAATTATTACATTTATATGCACACTAGTATCTTGTTGACCTATATTCAGCCCTGTATTGATGTATAGGCCACTAATTAGGGTCATAATTCAATCATGAAGTGTAGAGGCATATGATTCCAAACCAGGAAGTATTTTTGTGTCTGTCAAAATCCATTTGCATCCTACGCATCCCTACATCTTATACAAATATGTTATTACATAATGAAATAAAATAGTATATTCTTTGGTTTTACAAAGTTGTATAATTTTTGATAAGTGTAAAAGTTGTTTTTGGAGCATTTTTCTATAGCTATTTTGTAGGGAAAAAATGATGAAAAAATGTACAATCTTTTAATTTTAAGTATGACCTAAATCGATTGCAAACTTCATATTTGCACATTTGATGAGATAAACCATTAGTGCCATATTGTGAAATTATTAAGTTTGCAATCGATTCAGGTCATAGTGTATTTTTGGTATTTGTGTGATAATCAATATAAACCAATGGCCTCTATTGGGATCTGCTGATATCCTCATGTTAAGTCAATGAAGCACAGCCCCATGTAAGGCAATACAACCTTACTAAACTAAATGGCCCCTATCTCAGCCTATGTGTGCCCGAGCATTTTAATATTTTCCAAAGAGTTATATGACATTCTATTCTTCATGTTACACCTAACAATTATTCATTTTGACCATAGGGGTATTTGCCAATAATCGCACCTCTTCCTTTTAACATATACTGTATAAATGTATAACACATATTATACCAAGTTTCATTGTAAAAGTCCTATTTTCCTTTAAGTTATGGCATCAACTGCAAAACTTTTTGAACCACCTAGGTATATACCTTATTAGATGCAGTGAAGGAGTTAAATCATTGGGATATGAATAAATCATGCAAAACATATTTTGTACATATTTCTCATCATTTAGGGTTACCCAGTAGTTTACAAGCTGACCTTTGCAAAATATATTTCACTTACTATCCTCATTCGCTATCACGCTAACTAGTTTCTTTCCAAATTGGCCTGGATTGCCTGGTTTATTGGTTTTAGCGAACCGTCCATTTCGTCGAACCATCATTTTGCTAAGGTTGTTTGTGATGAATATACAATATTCAGTTACATATAATTGTACAGCAACGTTATGCAAGGGAAGGTAATTGTGTGAGAGCACATAAAGTACATGAAGTATTGACCCACTTGTCTCAGTGAATCTTATAAACAGTGCATAAAGTTTTTTCTATGCAATGATTGGCTCACAGTTACTTATAGTGTAAGTTATTTCATTTCTATACAGTGTGGAATAGAGTGTATAAACTTTTACAGTTTCAAGCAGGTTTTAGTGTTTTCTGACCAATGATATATTCAGACTTATTCATTTCACGATTATGTAATACTGACCTACATATCTGTATATAGGTCAGTATTACATAATCGTGAAATGAATAAGTCTGAATATATCATTGGTCAGAAACCACTAAAACCTGCTTGAAACTGTAAAAGTTTATACACTCTATTCCACACTGTGTAGAAATAAAATAACTTACACTATAAGTAACTGTGAGCCAATCATTGCATAGAAAAAACTTTATGCACTGTTTATAAGATTCACTGAGACAAGTGGGTCAATACTTCATGTACTTTATGTGCTCTCACACAATTACCTTCCCTTGCATAAAGTTGCTGTACAGTTATATGTAACTGAATATTGTATATTCATCGCAAACAACCTTAGCAAAATGATGGTTCGACGGAATGGACGGATCGCTAAAACCAATAAACCAGGCAATCCAGGCCAATTTGGAAAGAAACTAGATAGCGTGATAGCGAATGAGGATAGTAAGTGAAATATATTTTGCAAAGGTCAGCTTGTAAACTACTGGGTAACCCTAAATGATGAGAAATATGTACAAAATATGTTTTGCATGATTTATTCATATCCCAATGATTTAACTCCTTCACTGCATCTAATAAGGTATATACTTAGGTGGTTCAAAAAGTTTTGCAGTTGATGCAATAACTTAAAGGAAAATAGAACTTTTACAATAAAACTTGGTACCCCAGTTGTCCGAAACCCAGTTCTCCGAAACCCACTTGTCCGAAACCCAGTTCTCCGAAACCCAGTTGTCCGAAACCCACTTGTCCGAAACCCATTACTCCGAAAAAATATAGTCATAATTTACGAGAAAGGGGAGACGTTTTAAGCTTAGGCCAGTTTCATGCCATGTATTTGGCCAAATTAATGGCATGGACGCATTCTGGTGTTCATAGATCTCTCTCTCACTTTGAATTGCATCCATTGCACGCGTTACCAGAATGGCAGGAACAGGGGATTTATTTTACATTGTGATTCTAAAAAAAGGTTATCAAAACACAATATATATTACGGGACAGTTTATCTTATCTTCTTCAATCTCTTTTATATAGGCAAAATAAAATGAATCATTTTGAAACAGATAAAATAGGTTTACGCATATAGTACTTTAAGAATAAAACAGTATACATATTAACGTTGTCAAAATATTTCGTCGCATTTAATTTCTTAGTCTCTGTATTTTATCAAATCGTAAAAGAACAAAACATTCTTAACTTAATCACTTGGGATCAACTGGAAACGAAGGCAGGCTGTCCTCGTATCAAAATGGATGTTCTCCCATTCGCAAGAAGTTTCATTTTCGCCATGTACTCACTTCATCCTTTTTATTTAATCTCTATTTCCCAAACAGAGTACGTAAGTGAAGAATAAGTTTTAGTTTCAAAAGATGTACGTGTCAACTTTACTAAATAAATGCCCACTGGCTTGGGAAAGCTATTTTTCCTTTTATGAACGCCCATCACCCATTGGAAAAATGTTGTTCCCTCTCAAAAAGGCCCATGGGCCATAAAGAAATATGGTTTAAAAATTGTAGACCCCTATGTATGTTGTGTAAACTTGCATAGGCTAAACATTAAACAATTAACGTCTTGACTTAGCATATTTAGCCTAATTTTGCAATGATGTCAACGTTATTCCAATGTTATGTTGTGATTCGCAGAGGTTGCGACAACGAGATTCGTTCAAAAAAAGTATTTTTCAAATAAGATTCCCCTAATTTTCGGAGAACTGGGTTTCGGACAACTGGGTTTCGGAAAACTGGGTTTCGGACAACTGGGTTTCGGACAACTGGGTTTCGGACAACTGGGTTGACCCCATATGTTATACATTTATACATTATATGTTAAAAGGAAGAGGTGCGATTATTGGCAAATACCCCTATGGTCAAAATGAATAATTGTTAGGTGTAACATGAAGAATAGAATGTCATATAACTCTTTGGAAAATATTAAAATGCTCGGGCACACATAGGCTGAGATAGGGGCCATTTAGTTAAGTAAGGTTGCATTGCCTTACATGGGGCTGTGCTTCATTGACTTAACATGAGGATATCAGCAGATCCCAATAGAGGCCATTGGTTTCTATTGATTATCACACAAATACCTAAAAATACACTATGACCTGAATCGATTGCAAACTTAATAATTTCACAATATGGCACTAATGGTTTATCTCATCAAATGTGCAAATATGAAGTTTGCAATCGATTCAGGTCATACTTAAAATTGAAAGATTGTACATTTTTCATCATTTTTTCCCTACAAAATGGCTATAGAAAAATGCTCCAAAAACAACTTTTACACTTATCAAAAATCATACAACTTTGTAAAACCAAAGAATATACTATTTTATTTCATTATGTAGTAACATATTTGGATAAGATGTAGGGATGCGTAGGATGCAAATGGATTTTGACAGACACAAAAATACTTCCTGGTTTGGAATCATATGCCTCTACACATGATTGAATTATGACCCTAATAAGTGGCCTATACATCAATACAGTGCTGAATATAGGTCAACAAGATACTAGTGTGCATATAAATGTAATAATTAAAGCAGAATACTCATTTTGAAAAATCAGATGAATTATTTTTTCTCATGGGGAGATCCCAATGGAGGGTGTATAAGGTCCTTTGGGACCTCAATTTTGATTGGTTCTTGAGAGATGGTTGCTAAGGTAACCAGAGTGGTGGGTACCATGTTCAACCCGAAATTACGTTTTTCCAAATAGTTTTCTTGCTTGAATAAACTCTTTGCAAAGTGGCAATTAGCAGGTGTAAGTGTCTTTGGGTGGCTATTTTTCTTCAAATTCTTCAATTTTTTGCCAGCTGTCAACACATTCTGGCAATGCTTTAATTTTAATAGAATTATTTTAATATTTTACTAACTGTATAATATGTAGTTTGCATTACTGTTGATAAATAAATAAATGATTGCACTGTTCAGTAAAGAAATATACCAATTGTATTATTTAAACTGACTATACACTATAGAAATGATTTTCATTGAAAAATCAAATCAGTACCAAAATTATGGTTACCCTGTAGTAGTGAAAGGCATATTAAAAATGAATATCACCCCCTTCAATCTATTTTTACAGGTTTTTATGATTATTTCAGATTTTTCTATAGTTTGCGTAACCAGGACGGTGAATTTTCTTCATTTTTCATCAAACATTTTGTCTTACCAATATTTATTATATCTGTCAATTTTATCAAAATCGCGCCGCTACGTTTGAAAATAATTCAAATTATGTAGTTTTTCCCATTGAGCTCCATTATAAAAATGGAATTTTCAAACTTAATATTTTAAAATTCTACGCGGTGAAAAGTTGCATATTGAGTAGTTAGTTAATGTTATGGTGTTAAAAATTCAAAACAAAAAGGAATAGAGAAAAAATGCCACAGAGCAGTCTCAATAGAGTCTCTTTAAATGATTGTTTGGTGTTTGTATTATAGAATCTAGAGAGAAAGGAATTAAAAGTACTAAAGAAAGATTTAAAAAAGAAGAAGCCAAAATCCTTACGGAAATGTGGGCGAAATTTTATACGTTATTGTGATGCAGATAAAAATAAAAAGATCACAGTTGAAGAGTGGATCGAATGTACAGGAGTAAATGGTAAGTTTTACGACATCAAATTGAATTTTTATTTATTCTTAGACGATTCTTATATATCATATGACAAATGTATTTAGAAAGCCTTCTGTTTTTCTGATGAATATGTAAATACAAGAGTAAAAAGGGGGAATATTGACGGTTAAAACAAACAGCAGGAAAAATAAATATATCTTAATCATACAGAAAAAAACCCAAATGCCCATGGTATCATTATAATGTAACACACAAAGATAACATCTACTACCCCATTCAGGTTTTTATTCATTCATTACTATGACCTATATGACTCGGTAAGTTTGGAATATTATGATATTTATAAATATATTTTACTCATTACAATTGCAGATGAAAAAACTAAAAAGTTACCAACAAACCCAAGGCGACGTGGGCCTAACCCTTTTAGTAAGTATTTAAGAAGTGACCCATAATGATTGAAATACACGTGGAATATGGGATAGAAATGATTAAATTCTTAAAAGAATAAAATTCAGCAAATGTCATTATACCCCAATGGAACGTCTTTAACTTTGAATGCCAAAAACTGAATGCCAAGAAAACTTCATAAAACACACGGGGAATGTCCCATACGGCATAACTGCGCCACATAAAGATATCCAAATATCCATATTTTAACTCATATATGGAATATTACTTAATTTGAAATAGAATTTCCATAAATCACACATGGAATTCACATGAATCACCATTGGAATATCCATATATCCATTGGAATATCCATAAATCACTCATACAATATCCACTTAAATAACTGATGGAATTACTATAGAACAGCTGAACAGTTTCTGCACATATGAACAACCACAGTGAAAATGACATTTTGTTATCATTTGATAATGTGGCTATATGATCGTGAAAGTAAGGAGTTAAAAATTCCTACTCGACCCTCCCTTTGACAAGATTAAATTTAATTCCAGTTTTAAATAATTTTACGCTCAGTCAACGTTGTACAGTTGTATGCATATCTGTAAATAATTTAACTATAGTTTATAAAGATAATGCGATTTTGACAATTCATTATCCGTTGATGCATGTGTAGTTAGAATCTTGAGCATCAAACTGGACTTTGTGTGCTATATCTACATTCTTCTGTTATTCATTTGTATTATGTTCTATGTTAATAGTAGGATACGACCTTTACATCTTTCGTGTATTACCAAAGTTATGTACATAACAACTGGATATCGATTGTATATTTACTGCTGTCTCTTGCAATTGAAAATCAACCAACATATTAATGTGGTGCTAAATGAATGGTACAATTTGACATCATTCAAATAATTGTTGTCAGTTTTATTATTCATTTGGTGCAATGCTTTGAGTGCTACATGGAAGTGTCAATTGTTTTCGTATCCCTTAATGTTTTTATTTTAATGCAAAATTTACTTCTTCATTGGTTCATACTTCCCCGATTTTTATTACCTCCGCTCTATGGAGAGAAAACTTTATAAATTCATTTAGAAATTATTCAGAAAAATATTTACATACTACATAAAATATATTGGATAGGCGAATATCCAATAGTATTTTACTTATAATCTTATTATATTTTACTCATTAAATGATTTTTCATATTATATCAAGCACTTCACCAAGTGCGCAAAATAACATATTTCATTTACCCAGTGCTGTATTAGAATTATTTTTGGATACGAAAACAATGACGATAGTTCCATGAAGTGTGAAAAATAGGCATAATACAAGTGAAGTAATGGAAGCATCTTGATCTTGTACCTTCTCAAACACAATTCTTCCCCTGACTATATTCAAAGATCATCTAATTATTAATTTATTCATATAATCTTAGTTCTCTACTCTCTCATCCATAGTTATCCCGACCTATAGAAAGCTCTACCAAAATTCTTGAAAAATGTTAACCCTTGACATTTTGTCTTCCTGACTTGTTGAATATCCACAACTATTTAAGATCTTGATGATGTTCTTGTTTGATGTTTGACCTAAAGTCTACTCAACAACGTGACATGTTATGTTCACATCTATTTAAATTCTGAAACCTCTGGTTTATAAGTCTATTCAACATTTTGTATTCTGTAAATTCTGTAGGCTAGTACACCTCAGTATCAATTCAATCTTCAGTCTATTTCAACCTTATAATGATTGTATAATTGTTGCATCACTGATTAATATCAAACATACTTTTTCGGCCAAAAAGCATCTTTCAAAATGGTGGGTGGGAACAGGATAGCTGCGTTTTTCTAATTTACATTGAATTCATGCCATTTTCCTTAATGTGTCGACAGTGGTCGTTTTGATGAAAATAACAAGTTTAGAAACGGACCTTATCCCTTACCATTTTGAAAATAAATAACGGCCAAAAAGATATTCAGATACTGAGCAGTTTGCATTTTCAGTATGTCATCACAATCAATATCCAACCAATAAATATCATACATTGATGTACACTGTTTGATTTTTTGAATTTATTCATATCGTTGTCTCATGCATTATTTCAATACCAAGCAAGCCATTTAAAAAGAATTCCCGAACTGATCTTTAATTAGATAAAAAATAATGTGTTATTTTGTTCGAGTGACAGACTGCTCCATTGTTTAACTTGGTTTTGCTGGTTCTTTATTGCAGTAAATAAACTCACATGAGGAAAAACAGTCAGCGGCAGTATTTATGCAATCACCAGAGACACACATAGACTATTTTAGGTCTATGATTCACAAACTGATAATATGATAAATTTGGTATTTAAAATACCATTGTGGTCACGTGTTTCTTGTTTCTCAATGGACTATTTTAAAAATAATCTAACGTGAGCTCAATTCATCATGTATTATCTTCATGAAATATTCTTTTACTTCGGAATTTATCCCACAAGTAAAAGTATGACCATTGGCCACCATGATATTTAAACCATAAAAGGGTATAGATTGTTATTTATATAGGACTTAAAGATGCATGTAAATAATTATGTGTACAAGTACAGTAATTCTCAACTGGCCATAGGATTTACCCATTTCAAATAAAGGATGCATTTGATAATTGAATGTTTAGGTTCACCTATGATGTTAAAGATTCACCCGGTTATGTTAATTTAAAGTAGTCAAAGATTTGACCTAGAATATATTGAAGTTTTGCAATATCATATGTTGAACTTTCAACATCAGAGGCTGAACCTTCAACATCAGAGGTCACCTTTTCAGTCATTGATTGATGGACTTTCAATATTAAGAAATGATCTGTCAAAATCAAAGGTTGACCCTTCAACATAAGTCTTTGAACCTTCAATATCAGATGCTGAATTTTCAATATTAAATGCTGAATTTTCAATATCAGATGCTAAGCTTCACTGCTATTGGTTGAGCCTCGAGTATTGGAGGTTGGATTTTTAAAATCAGATGCTGAACTCTCAGCATAAGACTTTTTTAAGTGATTTGTAAGTGATAGAACAAAGTCCATAAAAATCTATTATACAGTATATCAAACATGTTATAAAAGAAACTGAAGAATATGTTATAAGTTATTTTCTTGAAATATTGTATATTTTATTTAGCTTTCAATGTGATCCTTTCACATGGTATAAACACAACAATATATGATGTTCATATAGCGCCCTCATAAAATGAAATGTTTACTAGATAGATAAGTTGACATTATTCTATCACCCTACCTTGACTTGTATTTTGAAAATATTTTTACAGAGACAAACATTTTTGTAACGTTATTAAAGCCCTTAACGTTTAGAGTTTTATATGAACAAGCGCCATTTTGAGGTATCACACTTCTGGTAATGAAGGCTAGTGTAAAGTACATTAAATATTAAGCATATGCTCTCATATCTATTTTAACCAAAAATGCGGTTCAATGTACTTTTGGAAATAAATTTTTACACTTGAAACAGCACAGGATGCTAACATTTGAGTATACCATACACCAGTGATACTTTTTGGGCCTTAATACAACTGGATATGAGAATCATAACTTGTGATTCTCAATATTTAACCACATCCATTATACAGAAATGAGCATAATAAATCCAACACATGGTCCCTTTGTACTTACACATTGTGAAAATAAGACCATTATAAAATCATTCTTTGTTTATCATTGGCTTGAATTGATCGCTAAGTTGTAGTTTTGAACATATGATTTCTTTGATAAACAAACAACTAAAGTTTATAGCCATTATATCTATTTTAGGCTCCAGTTAGCACCAACTTTTGCTCAGTCTAAGATAGCCTTTAATTAAGTGTAAATCACAAAATGAGTGCAGGGGCAGCTCATACATTTAAAGAGATGCAAATCCCCACAATTGAATACCAAGCTGGAACATTTTTAAACTTGGAGATTGTCATCCCTGGCTTAACTATTTGTGACAGATATGTGCATATAATTGTACTGGCAAAATTAAAATATTTTCGAAATTTAAAACTAGAGTTATTTTTCAAGAGGTAAACACTATTGTTGGAATTAAAATAAATTCATACAAAAACTAAAACAGAAGTGTTTTAAATCAATAGAAGTACTCAAAGGAGTACACATTTTGAGTCATTTCAATCAAAATATCAATTGAAAGTTGTTGGTTACAATTTTGTACTGCAAAATGTTGTACATGGTTTCATTTCTTGTTTTACAGTACTTGTAATATCTATAACATCTGACACTTCTGTACGCCAAGCTTCAATTACTTGTAGTTTTTAGCAGATAGATGGTCTGCAGTTATTCAAACATACAGTAGCATCAGAGACTATTTTTTATTTGTCATCAGAGACTATCTCCAATAACTGGAGAAACGTTCTCATTTTAATTCATTACCCATTCTTCAATTAACCTTCACACATTGTTTGTTATGTATCTGAGAATGTATTCATAACTTTTTATAATTCTGTACATGTACACTTAACGCGACAGTTAAAAATGCTTGCAGTTGTTGGATTTACTGTATTTTTTTAACTAGAAAAAGTGCTCCAGAGGTGTTAGGCATTATAAGTTCTGAATTCTATGTTGCTGGATCATAGGAGATACCTGTTCAATTATAGAATGTTTTTATTTTCATCCATGGACTTTGGTGTACTTGGAAGTAAATGTGTCCATAATGTATGTTAAGCTAAAGGTGTGTAACAAGTATAACACCTTGAGCTTAAGGTGAATGGAATAATCCACCTTAGATAACTGTTATTAGATACTGCAATTAAGCTCTTCAAGCCCACATCTGTAACAAATATAAATATAATGAACAATGATTTAATGTAAACAACTGTAAATAATTATTACATCTTTAAAATAAAATTATTTTATAATACACGAGCTATTACTGTTTTTCTTGTTTTGCCTTAGTTCAGTATTGAATCTGATAAACAAGAAAACATCCTTGCATCTAAACTGTTACACTGTGTATACTGAATATACGAGTTGTTCCATGACAGTATTCAGCAAAACAGATGGAGGGAGATACAAGGTCCCTCCAAAATAACTCCCTATCTTTTCTTGACAAAAATTGATTCACATTCTGAACGAATTAACAAGACTCTTGAAAATCAAGCTTTGGTTTAAATAATTATGTAAATTGAATTTCTGTTCAAAACAGAATATTGCCAAAATCTAAGGTTAGTAAATAAGAAACAGCCCCTCAATTTAAAATGGCAAGATAAAACATTTGAGTCCATTGAAAACAATTAACACCCCTTAATCTATTAACGAGCATGACATACGTATATCAACTTACATGAAAATATCTCATAATCTGGTCAATATGAAATAAGGTAAAACTAGAGTATCGCCCATGTACCTATTGAATGACCTATATAGTACTAGTAAGAATACATCGGACTTACTTTGATTATTAATATCACACACTGGCATACTTTACATCCTATGAAGACTTTGGGGGAGAGGCGCCATGTCTTGCTGCAAACCGCTGAAGTTGCACTGCATTACCATGCTCCCTGAAACCAAATACAGTACTGAATTTGTAAAATATGAATAGATACCGAATATGATACCTTAAAAGGGTAACAAAGACTAAAGAATGTAAATTGTTGGATCTTTGCTGAAAGCATGTCAATGTTTTGCTTACAATCCTAACCTTATTTCTGTTTAAATAGAGAAGTTACTCCGAATCAAATACATGTAAATTGAAAATGAAAGTCAGTGTTTTTTCATTACCTTTTTAGAAAGAAGCCAAGACATGAAATGATGAAAGCAAAAGGCTAACTTAAATCATGACAATTTCTTCAACTCTTCTCACTCCTTTAAATTCTATAATGCAGGTGAGGCTACATAAATTTCCATGTTCAGATTTTTTGGTCAGTGAAAATTTATCATTTTTAGAAACATGATTGAGATTGAGAGAAAACACAACATTGAATCCTTTTCATTATAATAAATGTTTCATATGCAAGTGAATGCAATTATGGTGGAATCTTCTTATAAAGTCCTCATCTTACATAAAGTAGATAAAAAATTTGACCATTCCTAAATTAGAGGGTCGTATATTTGTGGTCACCCTGCTGTATACAGGGTGTCAAGTCCCGTCCCCCCTGCTACAGCTAAAACCTTAACAGAAGGTACCTAGTGTGATATACCATTTGAAAGATCATCCAAAGTTGTGTTAACTCACCAACTCTCAAGTATTTTGGATGAAATTTACCTATATTTTTATGATGTCTTTTAAAATTAACGCGCCCTCCTTTAAGTAGCTTTTTGCATCAAAATGACAAGGATATGACCTCAGAAATACATCAAAAAGTTAATCTTTTTCACATTCCACTTGTTACAAAAAGGTTTTCACCACTTTCCTTGCACCTCCATTTTCTACACATCTAACCCTATCCAGAAAAAGGTTAAATTCATCGCCATAAACATGTTTACTTTTAGTCATATTTTGGTCCCGTGACCTTTCTTATACACGATTCTTAAAATCCTGCCAAATACGCCAAATTGCCATGTTTCTAGGCATATGGTCACCTCATTTGATACAATGTAAAAATTTCTATGATTGATTGACATGTGTCAGATATATGCCAATCAATGTAACTTTGGAAGACCTTTCCAATGATATATCACACTTGGTACCAAATATCTTGGTTTTGGCTGTAGAGGGGGGGGACGGGACTTATTTGACACCCTGTACATTGAAATCTTCTTGTTTTTTCACTAATTGTGAGAATATGGCCCTGTATTATACAACACCTTGATTGAGTGATAATGACGTTTTTAAGTTTTGACTGCAATTAATTCATTTTTCTGATGATTTTTGAATTAAATCCAAACCCAAAATTACGTCCTCTTGTCAATTTTTCGCTACACATCTGTATATAGGGATACATCTATTTTTTGAAGGTTACATGTATTTTGCAATATGTGTACAATACACATTTACTTACATGGCTGATGATCTAACTAAGTTATATGTTGCTAAATGTTTCCTATCTCTCTCATCTAACACCTTTTGCTGTATAGTCTTGGACCATCTGGAAAACATTTTTTACAAGTTTCAATCAATTTGTTCTTACTGCAGGAATTGGTTTGAATCATCAAGACAGTTGGCTAAATCAACTACTGTATACCTAAGACAGAAAATGCTTGAGTTACAAGTACATTGTAGCATATAGGATGAGATGAGACATTTATCAACAATAATATCTGAGAAGAATGATATGCTGAATATTCTCAGACTTTGAATGTTTTACAATTTCTCACATTACATAGCCTATTCCTAACATTGCTCCATGATGAAGATTTTGGGGAAATGAGACATTTATCTACAAATATCTGAGAAGAATGATATGCTTTCTTCAGAAGAATATTCTCAGACTGTGAATGTTTTACAATTTCTCACATATAACATAGCCTATTCCTAACATTGCTCCATGATGAAGTTATGGGGAATACAAATCCCATGCTTTTCTTTTCCTAAATGCAGTTTTACACAAAACTGGAAGTTGTGTTCCAATACTTACGCCACAGCTCCTAGATGTATAAAGCAGCCTAGTATGATTACACCTACACATCCCCATACTACTAAATGGTTGGACATTTTCTTCATTCCTTTGACACCATAATATGGTTGGCCTGCATAGCGAGCATCTTGACTCTTATCTCTCATATGGAATAATGTTTCGTCCCAGTATTTTTTTGCTTCTTCACTATAAAGATATTGAGATACCATATTTATGATTGATAAAGATAAAGAATTAATTCTCGGACTTAATCTTTATAATAAGGTTTGCACCTTTGTCTATAATGTAAATAAGATTTAAAGCAATCCTGAGGATTATTTGCCTATGCCATATCAGTAACTATGTGTTAAACCATGTTCGTAAAAATACAAGATCTCACCTTGGATCAGGAGAGCCTGTCCCTGCGTAGGGTGAGGCCCCAGGAGTGTGCTGACTGTACATGGTGCGAGCGGTATGCTCTCTATTAATACGACTGACAAGACTTAGGTCATAATCTCTCCTAGTAGATGGCTTACTGAGTACAGTGTAGGCATCCATTAATCTTACAAACTTCTTGTGAGTGTGAGGGTCATTGGGATTGAGATCAGGGTGAACCTGGAAAACATGAAATAAAAAGTTAGCACAAATGGAAAGGAAAATGAAAAAGTATTAAAAAAACAGTATGTTACAAAAAACTGAAGGTATAATCAGTCATAATGAAAACAGATCTCAGGCATTCCAAAATATGATACAATATCCAAAGAAACAATGTCTAATAGATACCCATCACCCCACTTTTCAGAAACCAGAAGCCAAGATTGAAACAAGATGATAACTGTTGGATATATGTATACATATACTTGTGCATGTATATGAGTTACAGACATGTTCTAGCTTTTGAATCTCCTTGACACTTGACAACTTGTCCAGGTACTCTGAATCAATATATATTTAACTGTTTAAAATCTTTTTTTTAAATCAAAATACTTATACAAAGTGATTCAATAGGAATCCTGTTAACATTATCTTGAAATAAGGTGTTTAATTTAATAAAAAAGAAATTTAAAAAATTAAGGCCATTGGAGTTTTGACAGCCATATTTAAAGTGGTCTCCATTTTGAAGTTTTTCCAAATTTTAGTTGTTACATTAGAACTCTATCATTAGTATTTACAAATGAAAATATACTTGTTAATTTTAATGTAGTTGTAAGCATTTGACTCTTGAGTGATATGATAAACATAAAATGCCTAGTTAAACATAAAATGCACTAAAATTACTTACCTTTTTTGATAAATTAACAAATGCCTTTCTTATTTCCTTTGGATGTGCATCTCTCTTTACTTCTAATATCTCATAGTGTGTTTTTGAAGCGCCATAATTCCGTGTACTGAAAATCAGATGTATTTTTTAGATGTTTAATGCTACATTAGGTCAACAAGTGGAATACAGTAAAGCATCCCTATCAATTAATATCAGGGAACATTTTATTTGTAAAAATTAAAGGATTTTAGCCCATGGATACTAAATATATATGGGGATAACAACACACAATCATTTTGATATGTGCCACTAAAATAGTATCCGAGTGATGTAATGTGATATCCAATCGTATTTAAAGGATACTATTTTTTTCATTCGTTTTGAATTTAGAGCCGTAAATAGTTTGGCAAATAACAGCCTTGCCTTATTGAACTGCCCGAATATAGTTCAAAGCATTATGTGCTTGTTAAAATGATTTACATGTTTTCATGCAATCACTTAAAGATGCATTATGCCATAGGTTTCTCCCCCAGACAATCAATGATGTCCTATTGTTATTGCTAACATAATATCTCACATACCATGGATATATCTTGAGAATAACTTTTGGGTATATTATTGGCAAAATATCGGAAATAATCAACAGAACAACCAAACTCCAGAATTAAACACAATCGATTCCTAGGCTAGCGAGGGGAATTCCCATTGAGTCACACAAGCGCCCGCAAGCGCCTTGAACCAGGCAGCCAATCAGGTTTATGATAAACAAATTCAATGTCCAATCAGATAACAGGAGGACTTTCCCGGTATATTCAAACTTCAGATTGAATTAAATGTAATTTCTTCGAAAATAATTAGATAGGCCAGCACAATCGCAAAATTAACACTGAAAGAGGGGGATTTGGGTAAGTAGATGGGTATATATGGGGTGAAACTCAATATGCAAAAAAGTCCAGAGGGGTCTTGACTGTGCTATCCTATGGTATAGAGCCTCTTTAATATAAAACCAGACTTGATGTAAAATTTCTTGAAGAATTTTTGACATTTCGAAATCAAAGTGAAAAACTAAATGTGATGGACATTTGGCCAAAGGATTTGGGTAATTATTGTCAAGACTTCTATAGGATAAATAGGATATCCTATGATTTTCTCGGGATCATTTTTATCCACTGTTGGAGATGGGCAATATCCACTTAGGGATCCCTCAAAAATCATAGAATATCCTCTATTTATACTTGTAAATGACTAATTGTACAGTCAATGTACTAGCTACAATGTATCTATATTTTAGATTTGAGCCATACAAGGGGTACAGTTGTTTATATATAATCAGGTGGATGGATTGCACTTGCAGTTACGGTATTCACATACGTAAGCACAATGTCTTAAAACATTTACATTCAAAATCCAACAAATTAATGTAACATTGTGATAAAAAGATTTACCTTTGTTTGAACTGAATATAGCAACACCTGTAGCAGGGCTTAAGGAGGCCAGCTTCTCGAAGCATTGTTGATTCTTTTCCCTTTACAATCAGTTGTTCCCATAAATGTGCAATTGTGCATCGATTTGTTTCTGGCTGCTTAACTACATTGCCTTTGGTTTGAATCTGAATTAAAAAACATGTTTAAAGGTTGAAGTGCAATTACTCATCATGCTTCTATGCATTTCAGCTAAAGGGGTCATTACTTGAACCATATTGGTTGACATACCGCCGAGCTCACTTATACATTAAGACCCGTTACACAGTCATGATACCGCCGAGCAAGATCATTGCATCATCGGGTTTGCTTTACCCCCGTGTATATTTTCTATTGTATTGACAAGTTGTGTTTCACATGAGTGCTTTGACCTGAATCCAAGTAATTATGGGAGATAGATCTCTTACTCCTACTACTTTTTTCAAGGCCTGACTGCGTCGCTAACATGCTAAATATAAGAGTTAGCTGACGTTTGGGAGTCTGACTTACCTTCTAAAGGTTAGAACCCGAATCTTAATGAAACCATATCACCTTTGTTCCGTCAACCATGGAGCATTTGCCACAACATCCAAGAGGTAAATCATGGATCGAGAAAATGACTGATTTCCTTGTAAGTTCCGGAAGTTTCAATACAAAAAATTACCGAACATATGTGAAAACCGAATATTTGTTCGTTGTTTTCACGATTTACAGGTTCGTTTGTTCTTCAATGTTTTGGTCTAAATTATAAAGCATCACCAACAGGTCTTACTCTATTAATCGACTAATACAGCAGACGGCTCATATTTCTACGTAGCATTTCATTCAGACCAATAGTGGGAGTGTAGATCACGCAGTTTCGTTTGTTGCGTACTTCACTTGAAATTGGTAATTTTAAATATTGACTACTTCACTTAGCGATGTAGAACATTGCTTAATATTCTTTTAATTTTCACACCAGACATGCTTGGTTGACACGTCAACAAAGTAAAGTTCAAGGGTCAATGCGTTATTTCGTGATAACTACAACGCCTTCCCGGAAGTCAACATTGATGAAAAATGAAAAAGTCTGAAAAGCATTTACGCTAATTTCTATCAAATGCTATGTTTATGCATCATCATCGTCGCAACAAAGGTGATATGGTTTCATTAAGATTCGGGTTCTAACCTTTAGAAGGTAAGTCAGACTCCCAAACGTCAGCTAACTCTTATATTTAGCATGTTAGCGACGCAGTCAGGCCTTGAAAAAAGTAGTAGCCTTACTCTACTCTGGCTTCAGACAGGTGTGTTCAGTAGATCTTACCATAGCCTATAAATTATTCCAAATCAAAAACAACTAGGCCTAGCCTAGGCTAGCTTACTGAACTACAATGTACACTACAGTACACATTCTACAGCCTACCAAGTCAAAAAATAAACAGTCTATTTCAGCAATGATTTAGGAAAATCCTACATGTTATATTTCACAATTTTACATACAAATTAAAGCTTACTACTCACCCTTTATAGAAGCATTGCAAAGAAATATATATGATGTCTTGGAGACCCAGGAAAAGCAGAAATAAGCTGGAAATTTTACAAAATATTTTTTTTCAAATTTTGATGTCGAAAAGTGGGCTAGGCCTTCAATGTTATACAAGTTGTCGCAAAATATTTTAAAGTGAAAAATCCTGGATAAAGTGAAAAAGAGTTGACATAAAAATCAAATCAACTGAATTCTATTAATTTCATCTGCAAATGCCACAATGATTGAATGATTGCATAATTTTACAATAATATTATTGATTTCGTTTCTCATCTGGTTTTATTCTAGATCAATTCTGAAATTGTACACAAGCATGACTTAAAATATATTACTGTTTGAGAACATTTGCTTTTTTATATTCTCAAATTACGTTGAAATTATATCAATGGTATTAGATAACTTATATTAATATGAATCATACATAGTTTACCGATTTCAAGCCTTTTTGATGGGTTTTGTTTTATTGATTTCAAATCGCGTTTTATGTGAACACTCAACTTCGGCCGGCAAAAATGGCATTCACTTTTGCTGCGTTTTGTTACATTTTAGCCTTGATTCTGACGGCATTTCTGATATTTTTCGCCATTTATCACGTAAGTACAGCTTATTTTATATTCTAGATAATAATTAACCGGCATAAAATACCACGCAGACCTCATCTTCTTTGTGTGAAATCCGATTTTTGTTAAAAATTTTCTGGGAAAAGTGGGATTTTCATTTCATTTTTCAGTTCATTGATTCACTAATTTCCCATTGATCCATGTACATGTTAACATTTACCTTAACCCAATATGATATTGAGACATCAATTTCAAATCCCGGGGGGGGGGCTAGGTATGCAGCACGGGCAATTTTGGCTAAGGGCATAAACCAGGGAACCTGGCCTAGATACATACTAGAACCTGGCCAATCTGAGAGGAAAAAACATGGACATTTTTTCGGAGAGCCCTTTTTAAGTCAAAAATCAGTTTTCTACAAAATATGATAATAAATTGGTAAAATCAGTTGGCGAGGTCTGGGACAAATCACCCAAAAAGTGGATTTTGTAGTTACATGTAATATACCAATATTTCAGAAAATTTCCTCCCTTTTATAAGTCTGACAGGAAACCCTCCGGGTTTCAAATATAGACTTTGTGTCCATTCTGCTGCATGGATTTGGGTAGTGCAATTGTAAGGACCCAAGGGTGCCTCTGGGGAGATCTCTTGAAAGCCCATGGGTAACAAGCCAGATACTGATATGAAAGGGATTGTCCCAAATTCCCATTTGGGAATTAAGCTCAGGACTGTTGGTCCAAAGTCAGATGCTCTTCCCCCGAGCCATCACAGGTGAGCTGTAGTGGCTAGCAACTTGCTATCAATGGTTGTTACAAGACTACGGGCGAAAATAAAAGTCCATGGTTAGGAGGACTTTAAATAAAAATTCTTTAGAGCAAAATCTCAGTGATCATTTGTTCAGTCTTCTCACAAGTAATGTCATTTAAAAATGACAGAATTATAGATAGTTTAAATATGGTTCCTTTTGCAAAGTGTGAGTATTTACCATTAAATGGTAAAAAGAGTCATATTTGAATGGTGCCTCTTGAATTCGTTGGCTGTACATTTTTATCACACCACTGATGGAATATAGTTGTCACCTTGGTATCAATAAATATTTTCATTGTGATTCCAGGAAAACCACTTATTGGTTTTTCTTCAAATTCACACACATGATACAGTAATACTGACACCAGGAAATACTTAGACTGTGAAAACAGTCATAATTTGCCAATAGGTTGTGGTGGGAGGTAAATAGACTGGTGCTACGCCACAGTCTAAAAGCCTAGCGAGAGCCCTGTGAAAGAAGATACAGGGTGTTAAAAAAATGCAACCCAAAGAAATCGCTATATCTTGAAAAATACTGGTTCAATTATGTTCATATTTTCAGGTAATAAAGAAGAGGCTGTGTATGCAAAGCTCCTGTAAATGGTTAGTTGTAAAACATGATGCCTTGGACACCTGCTCAAAAGACAGCTGTACTTGGAAAATATGAAAAACGCAGTCAGGGGTGACTGCAACCGCAAAAAAATTAAATAACTTCCTAACCACAGTGTTTTGGCTCTTCAAATTTGGCACAAATCATCTTCATTCACTGTATGGTAAATCTGTAGAGTGAAATCAAAATCACTTCAGGGACTTTACGGTCATGGTTGAAATGCTTTCAAACCGCAGTCAAACGCCCTGGTTCAGGGAGACTTAAGAAGGCATTTTGACCATGACTGTAAAGTCCCTAAGGTGATTTTAATGAAACTCCACAAATTCACCACACATTGAATGAGGATAATTTGTGCCAAATCTGAAGTGCCAAAACACCATGGTTAGAAAGTTGTTAGGTTTTATTGCTGTGGCAGTCACTTCTGACTGCGTTTTCATATTTTCCAAGTACAACTGTCATTTAAGCAGGTGTCCAAGGCATCATGTTTTACAACTTACTGACAACAGGAGCAATACATACACATTCTCTTCTTTCTTTTCCTGAAAAATGAACATAATTGAATTAGTATTTTCCAAGATATAGTGATTTTCCATTCGCGTTTTTCGTATTTTGTTAGTACAACTGTCTTTTGAGCAAGTGTCCAAGACATCATGTTTTACAACTAACTAACAACAGGGGCTATACATACACAGTCTCTCCTTTCTTTCCTGAAAATATGAACATAATAAGTATTTTCCAAGATATAGCGATTTCTTTGGGTTGCATTTTTTTGAACCCCCCGTATCAAGTTCTAGAGTGGATTAACTTTTGAGTGGCCATCTTCTTTTCTGGTGGGCATTTTGAAAGTTTTTTGATAAATCTTGTTGAAAAGAATGTGTACAACCAGGTAGTGACATGTTGATAGTACCTTCTGTGTCTTTTTTGTGGTGTGATTTCATTTGTCATTTTTCAAATTTATTTGTAGTTTTTACCATTTTATGATAAACATATTGTGAAGTAAATCTTGAGGAACTCTAGCACAGCTCACAAAGGATTAATTAAGGTTAAGCATATTACTGTTTCTGAGTTGGTTTGATATAGAATTACTGAGATGTTTCAATAAATAATTCTTTCATGTTTTCTTTTAAATTCTCAGATTTGATAGATATTTCTAAGATCATTCTCCATCTTCAACATCTGCTTAGTAAAACTCAATACCATTTAAATACAAAATAAAGTGACTTACGTATGACTATATGTATTTTATTTTCCAGATTATTGCTTTCGATGAATTGAAAACAGACTACAAGAATCCCATAGACCAATGCAATAGTTTGAATCCTGTAAGTATTAAGTCATAAAGACTGACAAATGTCATGTACAATATGTCCAACTGAAAAATATCATATACTATATGTAGAGCTGGCATCAAATGTCGGAATGGTCGATTGTCAGTCGCCTCTTGATCGACAGTCGGAACTCACAACATAATAAGCTATTTTCCTATGAATTAAAATCTTTGTTACTACCTGCTGTATGGTGTATTTTAGTGAAGTTTTACCGCCTACATTTTCAAATTTTCTTTTTTGTTTTGATCGACTTCCTGCTCTCGAATTAGGTTTCGGGGCCCCTCGAGATTTATTTTCAATGGCTGCCCGGGAATAACAACAGAAATCGTAGTTTTATGTCTATTTATTGCTTTTTCGTCAAAGTCTGATACTTGAACATGGTTTACCTGTACGTTGAATATAAAACATACAATGTCGATATCGTTGTCGATCGAGAGCTCCGACATGTCGACATTAAAATCCTATTCGATGCCAGCTCTAACTATATGTCAAACTGACAAATGTCATGTACTTACTGTTTACTTAATTTACTGTTATTGAAAATTGTATATCGGATGTACGTTTGGCCCTAAAAGGGCATCAGTACTAATAAAATCCTATTAATATATGTACAATATGTCCAACTGACAAATGTCATGTACAATATGTCCAACTGACAAATGTCATGTACAATATGTCCAACTGACAAATGTCATGTACAATATGTCCAACTGACAAATGTCATGTACAATATGTCCAACTGACAAATGTCATGTACAATATGTCCAACTGACAAATGTCATGTACAATATGTCCAACTGACAAATGTCATGTACAATATGTCCAACTGACAAATGTCATGTACAATATGTCCAACTGACAAATGTCATGTACAATATGTCAAACTGCTATTGCTGACTCTGACAAACCATTATCTTTCATTCTCAATTCTGTACAAATTCTCATTTTACATATTCTGACCTATAAATATCAAACATTTTGATTTTCTATGAAATAGGCCTATATCAAAGTCTTACTAAAACGGCAAATAACTTCAACATTGAGGTATTATTTGTTTTTGTATTTCAGCTTGTTTTACCAGAGATAGGGCTGCACATCTTCTTCAATATATTGTTCCTGTTTGCATTTCAATTTGGCACACTACTGTTCAATCTGCCCCTGATAGCCTATCATATAAACAGGTTAGTTTTCTTAGAAAGGCTGTCACACTATTTTACAAGTTTTCAAAATAGAACCTCATCTCATATTTGCCATTAAGAGCATCTAACCCCAATAATTGCCCCTTGTACTTTATTTCTTGCAATAGTCACTCACCTAAACTGAAGCTTGGAAAAATGTAGAGAACGGGTAAAGAACATTTTTAAAATGAAAATATTGGGTTGTATTTTTAAAACCTAACACATCATATGCCTTATGCAATTCTTGGTTGTTATATTTGTAGATATATCCACAGGCCTGTCATGTCTGGGCCAGGTTTGTATGATCCCACAACGATTATGAATGCAGATGAACTATCTAGAGCACAGAAAGAAGGATGGGTGAAGCTAGCATTCTATCTCTTATCATTTTTCTACTACCTGTACAGGTGAGGCTTGTAAACAATTTATTGAAATGTCAGCAAAAACAAAATGCCTAAAATGTCAGAAAATGATATGGGCTGGGAAAAATTATATAATATACAGAGAGGGCCAAAATCTCCATTATATATCAATATTTGAGCTTACAGAAGTACATGTACATGTATTGTACAAAAATCTATCATAGAAGCTGAACCAATCTGATTATTAAAGCTTGTACTGGAATAATACTGGGTGTGGATCCCAGATTTAGGCTGAGTAGACATAGAATTTTTCACATTGTTGAAATATTGGGTTGAATGGTTGGCCTAAAGTAGCGTTATTGATGTCATATGTATTTTCTATTTTCAGTATGATCTACGTCCTTGTGTCCTCTTAGTAGCAGACACACTTCAGTACAACTCCAGCCTAGAATAAAACAAACAAATAACTATGTATTTTACAAACAATTTAAGATCTTCAAGAAACAAACAGCTACACCATGCTTTGACTTCAAGAAACTAATGTCCTATCTTGAAGGAATGGTCAAAAAGATGTAGTGTTGATATTTGACTTATACATTGACTATGAAAAATGTGTTACCGCTCCTAGAATTGCATCCGAATTATCAGCTTCAAGCCCCCTCTCCATATATGGCATTTCAGAAAGAGAATAAGAAGCAAGGGCAAAAACGGACTGCAAGACTTGCAATACAAGACTTTTCTTATTTAATTTAGAAATTGATTTTGACATGAAACAAAGATAATTGATAGACATGACTTGTGTTTGCAAATGTATTGTTGTGCATTGCTTTTTACTTTATCTCCATGTCATTAACTTTGTTTCATACATTTTATTCACTTCTTTTTTTCAGCTGAATTAAATGTTCATTAATAATGCTTCATTTTTTTATTATTGTTTTATGAGGCATTAGCCATTATAAAATTTATGCACATTTGAAGTAAGCAAGGTTGATATTAAAATTGGACGAAATGGAGAAACTAAATATGTTTAGAAGTTTCAATAAAGTTTAAGATAGGCAATGTGTAATTTTGGCATAATAAGGTAGTTATCATGGATTAGCTTTCATACTAACACAACACAGCCATGTTCAAAAGTCTTTCCACGAGACCTACCTTAATTTCATGCATTGAGACCACGTGAGATGTGTTTTGTATCATGTTTTTTATTTTCATCAAATGAAAATGCAATGTTATGTCGTGCCATGGTTGTGATGAAATGTTTTCAAGAAACAGATGAAGTATGTTTGGAGTATGTTTTGTCTTTTTTTTGTATATTTGTATCCATTTGAACTGACTTTAATATTTAACAGATTCCCATCCAATGTAGAGGTAAAAGAAACGTAAACGACAAGTATTTAGCTATTGTACAATTCATACATATTGTAGCTAGCTAGCTATATTTACAGTATTATCTCTCCTAGATTATACTGCAGATTCACCCTGCAAAAATAAATCAAAAAATATCAATTGTGCCCAGACATACATATATGTAGAATAAATTTTCTTTTGAAATCGTACCCCACCTAAGGCTTTACTGTAAATAGAATATTGTACATTTAAGATTACCTGAAGAATATTATAATAATTAGGTTTTAATGTTATTGTGCAAGAATTTATTAAAAGATGTATCTATCACCAAATACTTATTTAAAAAACTGCTGTAGCCATATTGTATGTCAGATATCTCACATCTAATTGTGCTCACTTTATCATTGTAAGCATACTGCACATTTAGGAACTCTTGTCTGGAATTCTTTTATTCATAAAATGTATTAGGTTAAATGCCAGTATTTTAAAATGTTGATTTATTTTTGGGGGAGGGTTCCATAGAATATATGTAAGATGTTGAATTCATTGAATGAGTTTACTGAATCCACTCTTCTATAAGGTTCATGATATTTATATTATTGACCTATTAATGTTGTTTACGAAGTAACAAAGTAACATGCATATGTTTATATGCACCACTAAATATTGTAATTTCCCGCTCATATTAGAAATGTTTAAAACCTGAATATTTTATGTACTAAATCGGTAAATGATTTGCAATATTTTTTCAGTTTTATAAAATGAATTGATATGTAAATAAATTGATATCCTACATAAGTTAATGGTATCTTCCTATTCTTTGATTTCGGAGTAAATGTAATATGGTTGGTGCAATAAACCATAGTATCTATAGGGGCTTAGCCAGAATGTAAAATTAGGCGAGGGCAATGCAAAGCTTTAGGCAGCTGTCATATTAGCCATATGGCCTCACCGTTCTCTAAGTTTGGGTAATATTTGTATTTGGTGTGATCAGGGATATCTTGCTGTAAAATTATTTGTTTTGCCCACCGTGTATCCATGCCGTCTGGCCCAAAGTATTCGCGTGATGGCGAACTGTGAGCCCACCCGGCTTAAGTGTGACAGCTCCATTATGATATAGGAAATGCACATTTAGGCTAAATGAGGTACAGTATATAACTACATTGCCACTCTTTCAGTCTGAAAAATGATGCCTGTGAAATTTTCCTGAGGCAATTATTAAATCTAAAATCAACTTGCTGAGAATTTCATTTATTTATAGATATAAGTATTAGTGAAGTTTTACTTGAACAATCACTCTGCCCAATTTGGGTTGCCTATGCCCCCAGAAGTGCTTGCTGTTTCCTCTCATAGTAATTCTGAAAGGAGAAATGCGACCAACATGAGGCTTAAAACAATTATAAGGGTGGTGACATAATTTACCTTTTCAACTTTAAAAAAAGGTTCACGATTGGCTGGTGGCGTCTGTAACAAATTCTTACAACTTCCAATAAACAACAAATACTGTTTGGACTGACTTCAATTTTTTTTCAAAATCATTTATTAGTTTTCAGAAGTTCAAAGCTGATTTAAGATTTGGCCTTAAAAGACCTTTAGAAGGTCAAAAAGGTTAAAAAGGGTCAAAAGGTCTTGCTTCAAATTCACTTGCTTCTAATTGATTAATCTTTTTTTCAAAATCATCTACGAGTTTTCAGAAGTTCGAATCTGACTATATAATTGAAATTAGACCTTCAATGACCTTCTCGAGGTCAAAAAGGTATTTTTTTCAACTTGATTCAAATTGACCATTTTTTTAATAAATATCTCCAACTTCTCAGAAATCCAAATCTGATTTGAGATTTGGCCTGGTAAAAAGGTCTAAATGGTCTTTAGGATAAAAAAGGTATTTTTCAACTTGCTTCAAATTGATTAAATTTTCTCGGTGGTGGTGACATTTTGTTATGTTAATGCCTTGTTTAAAGTATTTTGTAATAGGCCAGAAGTATTGGACTATTGGCCACTTGTCAATATCTGGCCACCTACACTGTCAAAGTTACACAAACCCCCCAAAATGACCAAAATTAAAAACAAAATCTTTTTCATTAGAAATATCAATTCCCTTGATCAAATCTTGCTCATGCACTCTATGTTTTGCACGGATATCTCAATTTCCATTACATATTTGGGCAGGAATTGAGATGTTAGGAACCATGGTGTTTTATACAAGGGATTGTAAGACTATACCCAAATGAATATACGATTTGTTGGTTGGTTACAGTCTACAACAGAACAGCCTTATTTTAGAATAACAAAGACTAATAAATAAATTCAATACAGCCAGAATGGCCAATTGTAGTCGATTGAAATATTATGTAAAATCATAAACCAATATCGCATTAATGGGTTTACTATTGAATCTAAAAACACGTCGGAGAGCACAGTTCCGATTTAGGTTTAACTTAAATGGTTTTGTATTATGGTGCGGGAAGGTATACGTCACTATGCACCAATAGGCTAGAAATTCACGGAAACTATACATATAGAATACACTTATTCAATTATAATGGAATCGGTAGGTATGAAGAGCAAATCATAGATCACCAACTAATAACAACAACGATGTTGGAACCCAAAGATGGCGATGAGGTACGTTATAGTAGAATAAATAAACAATGATATCTCGAAAATTGGGTTTTTAGGTTGCACATCAGCATGTTAAGGTTTAAGATTTTCCATGTAGCGATGGAAGTTCAAGTAAATGCCAAAGTTTTATGTCAGAACAGATAACCTTGATGGATAGTCTTGTTTTATATAAAAAACATAGTTTTCATGTAAATACGTACACTCTTCAAATAACGTTAATTGTAGTTTAGCTACAAGCCCCTTTGACCCCCTCCTACTACTTAGCTAGACTACGTTCATTGTAGAAACTACAATCTGTATTTATGTTTAGCTTGGGTGTTTAGGAAGATAGAAGATATAGTGAATATGACAATGTCAGATATTTATCGTTTCAGGATGCAATGTCCACTTCTTTATCAACAAACAGAAGAATGTCAAGGCAATCGTCTGCAAATTCTATGATATCACGCGCAAGTCGTCTGCATCAAAAAAGTGCCAAACTTCACAGAACTCCTGGACAATCTGTTTCGTCTGGAGTAGGTGACATTTCAAAGGTTGAAAACAAAAATAATGTAGATCCAACTACAAATCAAGCAGAAACTCTTATTACTGCACTACCAGATGATGATCAGTCAGAAACAACAAAGAATCTCAAGGCGTCAGATGAAGAACCTAAAACTGACATTGATTTGGATGACAATGATTTATATAGTGAAAAGGGAGACGTATTTGATAATGAAGCACCATTTGAAATTGACATTGAAAATGAGGCTGATTATGACACTGACTTAGAAGTGGATGAAGAAGGTATGTGCCAATTGGACATAAATTCTACAATAAGTGAAACATACTATAGTTTTAACATGTTGAATCATGGCTGAAATTAGAATTCTAAATCAATCTTGTCATGTTATCTTGTTTGTTGATATTAATGATTATTGTTTTATGAGTCATTTATTGACTAATTTTTTTAATCATTTTATTTCAAATTCATATCATATCATAGTAAGAATATCATATAGTAAAAATTCAACAAGGTTAATCAATTTAACATTTGTGTTGAATTGTAAATATATCAAATTCTAGTATACAAATCAAATACAAAATTAATCATTCATAACTGTTCATATGTAAACAACTAAACTAATTTCCTGATGTATTCATTTCAGCCTTCCTCAAAGAGGATGAGATGACTGATCCGGGTGGAAAGGATGATTATGTTAAAATGTGCAAATCTCTTGGTGTTATACCAGTCTCTTATTTTATGAGGCACATCAAGGATCCCAACTTTACAATGAAGCACCATGGGCTGGGCTCCAGTGGATCCACATCTATAGGATATTCTTTGGAGGTTTGTATTGACTAAATATCGTTATTGCTAAAATACAATCGAATATCTTTTGATACCAGAAACATCAGAGAAACTCTAGATGAATTATTTGAAAGATATACATATTTACAATTTGCTATATGACTGTTGTATCTAACTTAAATCCCACACTGACTCTTATGAAAGGTAAATGGTCCATGATCCAATTTTAGGAAATTTTCATTTTTCGTATTTAGTAGGTAAGTGTATTTAGAAGTAAGTGGATGTAGTTAGTTCAGGTTCAGTGCATCGCACGTAAAAGAAGGCCAGGTACATTTTAAATTTGATTTATTTTGTGTTTACCATTCAACTATTGAATGAATGAATAGGGTGTAATTAGATCGGCCTCTGTGCACCGCATGTGAGAGTCCAGGTGTATACATTGAGCATGAATGGAGCACAATTTGTAGATCAATTCTCGAAGAAGCAACACAAATTAATACTATTAAAAACTGCCAATTGTCTTTTCTGCCACATTGGTTTTGGATAGCTTGCCAAGTGTCCATTCTTTAAAAACAATTAAAAAAATACACTCTTCTTTGTTGCAACTGTAAATTCTCTAAAATAAACTACGTTTAATTTTATTGTGTTGCTACCCAAGTGGGGTTTAATTGCATTTTCAATGTATGATTATTTGATTTTATAGAATAATACAAAGATGGTAAAGGTGAACCTTGAAGACAACTTTCTTACAAAAAATGGCGCCATTGGACTTGCAAAACATCTAAAAGAAAACATGTATATAACCGAACTGGTAAGATATTATAGTGCTCTAAAATATACGTAATATATAACGATATATAGAGCATTAGGTGTTGGTGCGTAGAAAACTAGAAATCTATTGGTTGCTGGGTCTTTATATTGTATTGTCAATCGAGTCTCTCCATCAACCGAAAACTGTTTCATGTCTCTAGGCCTCTAACCTTTTTTATGTCGGCGGTTGGTGTTCGGCGTTCAGCGTCTGTAACAAATGGCAGGTGATGGTGACATTTTGCATGTGCATGAGTTCACGTGTGCAGTTACCTTGTATTTATTTGTTGTTTGATTCATTATTGTATTATTAATTGTTGTTTTTCATTTTTCACAATTAGACGTTATCTGAGAACAATATAGGCAATGATGGTGCTAAAGCTCTCTGTGAGATGTTAACTGAAAACCATGTAATAAACAAACTGAACTTGTCAGGCAATGAGTTCACGTGTGCAGCTGCCGAACACTTCTACAAAATGCTGGAGGTATGAATGACATTGAGAATTAGAAACTACTTTTAAAAATACAAATGAACCACTTTTATCTTATGAACGTATTATGTTTGATTATGTCCATTTGATTTGATTAATCCATGGGTTCAGAGAGCTGTTCAGATAATTCAAATAAAGCGTTTATTGCTTTATCATTATGTTATATTTTCCAGCATAATACATCATTGAAACATCTAGTTCTATCCCATAATAACCTGGAAGAGAGGGGCGCCAAGATTTTCAAGGATATACTGATGATGACAGAGTCCCTGGAATCACTAGATCTCAGTTGGAACCACATACGGATGAAAGGCGCAGTTGCCATTTCTGATGGGCTAAAGGTAAGATCGGATTTTCTTTCAATAGCATTTAAAGTTCTAGACAAATTAGTTGATGGGCGTCCTAAATATCCTATTGACATCATTGGCATGGAGTTGTGGTAAAGACCTGCCATATGTCGGGGTAGGGCATGTTGGTTTTGTTAAAATCACGTCTTGGAACGTATACACACTTTTCCACGGTTGTTATATATATAAATCATGACATTCACAAGTGACACATTTTGTATGTGCAGGAAAACATAGGACTAAAGACCATAAACTTAGCATGGAATGGGTTTGGTTTTCACGGTGCGAAGGCAATGGGCACCGCACTGTGTCACAATAGATCTCTGCTTGACCTTGACATTAGTGCCAACAGGATTCCCACAGAGGGCGCTATGTTCCTTGCAAAAGGGCTGAAGGTCAATGACATTCTCCAAGTCCTTAAGGTAGGTTGGTATAAACTGTTGATATATTTTGATATTTAATTTTTTCTATATTGAATGCACAAATCTTGAGTATATCAGGTTAAAGAAAGAAACACAAGAATATTTTTTCATTTTTGTTCTCTGTTTTGTTCTCCGATGTTCCCATGTATCCCACAATGAAATAAACGTTTTGTTTATTCTGTTTCAGCTCGGACAAAACCCCCTCGATCTACCCGGGCCCATGGCTATTCTCCTCGCAGTAGCAAAGAATGATAGTTCTAACTTGGTCTACGTCGATATGACCGTGAGTAACATCCGTTAAAGGGCACTAGAAACACATTTGATGAGAGGTCAGATCAATCAATCGGTGTTTTTAGAGAGAAAGGTCAATAATTCTACCAGTGCTACAATCTTTAAATTGGTCTCAATAAAAACCTACCTACCTTAATGTATGATAGTCTTGATAGATATACGTGATTGGAGGACTCTTGTGGTTACTAAAATCAAAGTTGTGTACCTCAATGACGCCATGAACATTTTACAATCCAAGTACCAATGCCCAAAGTGAAAAATTGTCAGCCTGTCACAATGTTAAGCTCTGTGAATGCATTTACTGTATTTGGCAATATTTACTTATTTTCGTTCTAGCTGATCATTTTACGGTTTTCAGAGTATTTTTGTATCTGAAGACTTCGAGGAAAAACAAAAGGAACTCCAGAAAGAGCGGGCAATAACCGTAATACATGGAGGCACAACAGAAAATAAGATGGACCTTAGCTTCTTTAATAACGTCAGTAAAGCTATCACCAAGGACCCTATGGGCTTCCTCAGAGACTATTGTGCCTCCAGGGGGTACAGGCTGGTCGATATGTTTAGAGAGTTTGACAAAGATCAAAGCATGCAAGTCAGCAGAGAGGAATTTATCAGAGGAGTACAGGTAATTACCATGGCAACACATTGTTCGTAGATAGAAAAAATAATTACATTATGTAACTTGATGATACTTTGTTGTCTATAGAATGTTTTTACTATTATCACATAGGATATCAGTTGCCCAAACCTCGTTAATATACATGTATACAGAACTTCTAATAACTCTTACAGTAGTACGCCTTTATTAGAAGATATGGTTTTGATTTAGTGCTGCTTTAGATAAGAGAAAACTCAAATGATAAAATACCAACATCCCAACGTGACTGACGTATATTTATTTTTAGATGATGGGCATACCGATGCGACTTGACCAAATAGATGATCTCATTACATCTTTGGACAAGAACGGAGATGGTGAAATAGATTACGCGTGAGTAAAAGTATATTACTATGTACCCCTGCCCCTATGAACTCACCTCCTTTTCTGTTTAAACTTTTGAGAATCATAGTGATCATTCATTGCTCCAAGATCAGCCATACTGATTTGGGAAACGCCGGGGAGAAACGTTGGCATATTTTATGTCCCCGGTATGATTTAATACATGTATATACGTCAATTTCAATATGATTAAAAAATGCAAAGTGCAAAAAATGAGAAAATGTATAAATTATTCCAAATACTAAAAATGGTAGCCATAAAAATAGAAAAATAAAACATTATATTACAGTTCTTTAGTTTTCCGGAAGTATGCAGTTTGGAATCTTAGAAAATAGACATGAAAAGGAATGATATGAGCAAAAAATATTCTAAAATTGAAAGATCCGATTCTCTCTTTAATTAACAACATCTATGTTTGCTTCAAGTGAGTTACTATCCGGAGACAAGGAGTATTTGAAAGCACAAAAAGCTCTCCAAGACGCCATCAATAAGAAGGATGCGGATAGAGATGAGAAGAAAAAAGAGAGTACCTTTGGCAAACTTTTATTTAACTCTATGGGGCCATTGGCAGTGGAGCAGGCAATGGAGAATTGTATACTAGATGATGGTGATGGAGATGAATAAAGATAACAATTTATTTCCTGGACTTGCCTTGTCTAAAATATGAAATATTTACACATCATTTGTGGCTGAGCCATAGGGGTTGAAATAGGGGAGCCAAATGACAAGTGGTCAGAATGTTACCTTTTCAGTAAAACATCGTTTGGGTAGTTAGTTGACTCTCATTTCTGGAGGCCAATGATGTTTTTCAATACAATCTCATGCGAACATTTTACGGTGTTATGCTACATGCCATGTGCACGATCACTTGTGATTTTGACTGTGACAAATTTATTTGCTTGCCTCTTGTAAAAATACAAATTATTTACATTATATGTTACATGAATGCTTAATTTTAATTTATATACACATTGTAAAATATACACTTGCAAACTCCCAGTTCTACATAATATTGTTCAATATTGGTCGAGATTCATTGTCTGACTCTATCACTTAGTTTACAGTTCATCGTGCATTCCATGATATGTTCAAGTGCCACTGGAACGCAGCACTCTAGCTCAGTTTTGTGTGTGAAGAATGGAACTGTATTTTGTTGATGTGGACACTCTTGTGGACCATAGCTATGTTACGATGCACTATAGCTATGTTAGAATGCACTATAGCTATGTTACGATGCACTCTGTTCCTCCTTTTTGGTTCCATCTTCATTCATCATAAAATCTTGGTTTACATAATCTCTGAAACAGAATCAGTTACTTATCATAAATATGTGGTTATATAATTCAAAATGTAACTGGTGATTGTTGTTTTTGTTATGTTTTCTACTAGTCTTTAAAAATAATTACAATTTTTCCTTAGATATTTATATTGTACTCACAAAGACACACCTTTCAAAGCTGCAGAGAGAAATTACTAGACAGCCACACTTAAATACTTAAATAAAGCATTGTGATTTGGATGCAAAACTTACCCATAGTAAATTGTTCCATTATTTTTCTTGTCCAATTTTCTGCTGATTTCTTCCAATTGGTCTTTGCTGTATGGGACACCCAATTCCTAGAGAGAAAATAAAATAACAAGGTGGCCTTTATAAAAGTACTTACATTTCAGGCGTTTTTGTCGAACTCAGATCTATTATTGGTGTAAGAAACAATGTATTAATACCCTGCGTGCAGAGTCTAGTTAAACTACGAAGACGAAGCTCTCTTTTAAGAAGTGAAGTCAAACGAATGCAAAGGGTAATGTATTAAAGATATTCTGGAGTAATTAGGATCATAATTAAAGATGCTGCACACTTTAAACGATACATTACGCATAAAAAATTCTAGAATTAGAGAGGTGAACACACCATACCAGAGACACATATAAAATATGTCTCGGACCAGACATTTATAAACGTTTACCAACCTCTAAAGCTTCTGCGAATTGTTCACGTTTAACTGTGAACGTTCCATTTGGATCGTATGTCTTCAATATGTCTAATATTCGCTTATCATTAACAACAATATGTTCCTTAAGTACCACTAAAGGATCTTTGGTGTTTGGATCAACGCCCATCTTTCCGATATCTCGAGCAGTGTTGCCCGATCTAAGCACAGGACCGTGTAATACTCTAAATTGGCGTTTTGAGGTAATATCTTTGACGATTTGTAGAAATTCATACTCTACTGGAATGTCCTGAAAGCAATCATGGTTATGAATTATCGAGTTATACAAGTATGTACTAGTCTCTTTCAAGCACAATGAAAAGAAATTTTGATCACCAGGTGTTAGTCCCTCTTCTGGCTTTACAAGGAATGCTCTGTTCTAGTTTAGGTGAGAAAGGTCTTCATGATTATTCTGACCACATTATTCTGTACTAACCGAGAGATCAAGGAAGACAAGAACACTGCTATCGTTCCCATTGATGGCTTTTGCCAACGCTATTGCACCAGTTGTTGTGATAGGATTATTGCCCATCTGAAAAGTAGGCAAAACTGATAATTATTATCACCAAAAATGATGTATATAATACCAGAGGATCCTACATTATATTAATAAACTGTATAAAGAGATGGAGTTGTGTTTGAGACTCATTTTTAGAACCAATAAATTGCATGTAGTGTATTATACAACGTAGTGTATTAATACAACGACCCTTTTAAAATAATCCCCAGTCTGTTTACCTTTAGAGTTCTGAGGGAGTCATTCCCTGATAAAGCCTTGGCAATTTTCAAAGCGCAGTCTGCATCGAGTCTATTTCCGCTTATATCTAACTCCAACAGAACATTGTTGGCTAAAATGGCATCAGCTATAGCAAACCCCCCTTCCCTAGCGAGCCCATTCCAGGACAGGTTACACGTCTTTAGTCTCACGTTTTCCTGAAAATTGAAAATATATGATTGGGTAACTCCGAGTTTAACTGTTTGTTACTGACCAACAACGACTATTCTCTATATCACGGTGCTGAATGTACAATACCTGCGCGTTCTCATTTTGATCTTGCCCTTTGTGCTTCCTTAATACTAAACGTAAAAATCTCTTCACTACTCACCTTGACACCTTTGGCAACAGCGACCGCTCCCTTCAGCCTTATGTGATTCCAACTCAGGTCAATGCTCTCTAGCGTCTCATTAGCACCTAAGAAAGAAATAAAATGTTGAATTTTCGAATCCTAAATACCTGATCGAGTTTTAAATCTGTTTCATTCATCAGAACACCGGAACATTTATTCATTTTGTGATTCGTTGTGTTTAGGGGCAGTAATTTCGCATACAATGGTGTACACGATGCTTTCCGTCAATCCAAAGCGCAAAAAGTAATATTGGCTATATTGCTAGAAGTAAAGGGAATGCATAGATGGTAACTGTTGATAAATCAAATGGTTCCATATTTTGTTGGCCTTGCTTCACTGCACTGATTTCATCTAATTTTGATATTTTCGGCAAACTCGACACGGTGTTATATACATATTGTAGCATACACTTACCAATAGCAGGTCCAATAAGTTGCCCAGCCTTCAATCCAAAACCATTGTGGCTGAGAACCAACTCTTGAAGGTTTCTGTTCTCCTGTAGGAATAAAGGTTTGTTTGAGTAAAATCAATTCTAAAGCGGACTCAAGCAGCTAGAAAAAAGGCATTAACATACAAAATGTCACCACCTGCCATATGTTACATACGCCGACCGCCAAAAGCTGTTACAAACGCTGAACAACAACCGCCGAACACCATCCACAAAAAAGTTGGAGACTATAACAATATGTAACCAATTTTGGTGGTGACATAACAAAAAGGCTGAGTTCTCATGTTCATTCAACTATAAAAATTGTAATTACATATTCGCTATAATTTAAATATATGTATAACATTGATAAATTGTTATTTTTTGTATATTACCTCAATCGCCTCTGCAAAGCAAGGACCATCATCCTCATCAAAGTTATTCCCTAGAATAAAATTTTAATTCCGTTAATGGTAAACTTTTAAAAGAAAATCACAATGAGATATTTTAGAAAGTGATCAGTAAAAACACAAACCATTCATATTGTAATACATGTTATCACGGACGATACTGATCCAACATGAAAATGCATTGTTTCGTGTACAGCTAGCATTAAAGTACTTATTCAACGCCTATATATAACGATAGAGAGTTGAAGCTTGCATAAAAATCGAAACGTCAACCTATACGTATGACCAATCGCCCATACAAATGCATCGCTTAAATATTTTCCGTTCGCGTTTAGGTTGTGAAAGCATTGTAAGCTTAAACTCCCTGCAGTGTATATACCTGACAGATTGATCTTCCGTACTGCGGCATTGTTTGAGAGAATCCTTGAGAAATGTTGGGCGCCTCGAGACCCCAATCTGTTATCTGCTAATGTCTGAAAGGGTATAAGGACATTCTATATGAGTAAGTTTATTCATATAGTAAAACCTATGTAAAACATTTTTTTGCTTTGGGAAAGATGTCCACGAGAGACAGGTTTTACTGTATTTGGTTGTTCCATTTCTGATTGATCTAATTCAAATTGTAATTTGGGTAATAGTACATCCTCCGAACGCAAGCCTCCAAACATCATCGAGAAAAAGTGAGGAACACAGTGGATGATCTCAGACAACAATAAGCACAATTTATCATACTGAGTTGACAAGTTCTAATCTTACCAGGTCCAGGATGTAGTCATTATCCTCCAGTGCTCTCGCCATAGCTTTACCACCATCGCCCTCCATCCAATTACCCGAGAGGTCCAGTTTCTCCAAAGAAACATTGTCCTACAATATGTAATCACATATTCTACTAGATACACTTTCGTATTTTGTCTATTTCTCATTTGGACGTGACAGTGTAGTTATAGTTTTATATTTTTTGCATCTTTGATGGTTTACCAGATTCTGTGTTTGTTCACTTTGTGATCTCTCACAGCAACACAAATTCCTCTCTATTTGGTTGAACTATAATTTTAGACAGAGAGTAATTTAAAATATTTTCTTTTGGGCATTTCCAAGCCATTTTGAACCAATTCTGACATTTTAGTGAATACTGCCCAGGCTTTTGATAAGATATCTGGATATGGCCTGGAATGTAATCGCACATCTGTTACAAGTATCTAATACCATGTAATAAAAACGTTGGTGGTTGGCCTACCCTAAGAACCCGAGCTATGGCCCTAGTACCCAGCGGTCCAAGGCCATGGTATCGCATAGACAGCTCGGAATCCATACAATGGCGGACGAAATATGAAGCGGGGATCACACCTAGTTTTTCACACATCTTCCCATAGGTGGATCTGCCTGTCGGGTCATGGCCGGATGTCTCGTCTTCTATAAAGAATCAATGATTCAATTTATTAATAAAGCCCCGAATATCGCACACTCGGAGACGTACTGATTGTGCTAGTATTCACTTGAGAGGCGGTGGGTAGAATTAAGCTCACTTGGGAAGGTACGTGTACATTGTTTACAGACACTGAATCAAGTGATTGTGATATACTTCACAATATTATTCTATATATTCACTGAATAATTGATGATACAAATATTATTAGCGTAAGTGCATTATATGAAGAATTTACAATATTGACTTATAAAGTGGGTTTAATACAGTAAAACCTGTCAATCCGAACACCCATGGGACCAGCCAAAAGTGTTCAAATTGGAAGGTGTTCGGATTAGCCAGGTGTTCAGATATACAGGTTCTACTGTATATGTGTTGGCATTGACTCTGAATCTCCAAGCAAGTGCTTTCATCTTTGATCGTTACCCTTACGTCATTATCTACCAGGACGAAATAAACTAAATGGATTAATATGTTAGCTTCAGTAATTAAGATCATATGTATAACTTTATATAAGGGAAGACGTCAATAGTCCAATGTCTGGTTAAGCGGAATCTCAATCATTATGGTCAGTTTATTTTCACGTCACTTTTAATTCTAACGATGCAATTAATAGCTCATAGTTTCTCTAAAGTAGTGGTACAGCGTACAAAGGCGCATTTTAATTACTTAAAAATATTAATTTTGCCAGATAAATAAGGTTTATGTACTGGAAGGTTTTGGATATGGGGTTCATCCAGAGGGAGATATGCATATCTACCTGAGGGACCGTAGGGAACGAAGGTAGATGTGCATATCTCACGAGGGATGAACCCCATATCCAAACCGACCGTACATAACTGCTTTATCCTATACCAAGTAGAGTTTTCAGGGGCATATGGTCATTTCAACAGTACAATGTGTAAAAATAAACAAATCATTCATATGCAAAGTCATTTTATTGCATTACCGGAAGCGGGAAGATGTGCACCAGAAGCGGGAAGATATGCACCGAAGCGGGAGATATGGCGGGAGATATGGAGGTTCTGGATATGGAAACCTCAAAATCAGGATACGGGATATATCTTATCAACTTATCTCCCTAAAACTCTACTTGGCATAGGATAAAGAACTTTTCATGGCAAACCCTATCTTTACCGTTATTTGTTCATTGAACTATTGACGTTTTCACCAGTATAAACCAAAATGAAAATGATGAATAAAAAATAAATCATATTTTTAGAATGAAACCATATCTATAAAACATCTAATAATTATGAAGATTGAAAAGTAGTTATATTATATATAAATTAATGTTAATAATTGATTACATAAATAACCTCTTATAATCCTTGGCCTATACATCCAAGTTGAGCAGTTGGTAATTTATTTAATTGATCTATTGTCATAAATCAATTAATAGCTGCTATTTCTAAGCCATTTCTACTAATCCCCGAAGGCATGCGATATAACATACATATAAAACAGTTAAACGTGAGATTCTACTCTCATTATTCCATGCATGTTTGTTTACTCATCGACCACATTTTTTAACAAAAAACGTGGAATTAATGAGAGCCGATTCTTTATAGCTTAACATAACTACTAAATATACATTCTGTATTGAGTTGTCACCTGAGTAGACACCATTGGGACCTATAAGTCGTATTCCAACATTTCCTAACAAGAAATCAACATCATGATTATTTTTTCAAAATTGTTCTTTAGAAGTATTATGGTTACCACAATGTATTTCAGTTAGAATACTATCACAGGCTGGTATCGAAATATTTGTCCGCTGTGACGGAGCATGCTATTTTTTTTATAAAAACACTATGAATACTTCACGATTAATTTTTTAACTCATATGTTTCGTTATACCATACAAAATTACTTACTCCATGCAATGGATATATCATTTGCGGGTAACTTTCACTTCTGTTTGAAGTCCAATTACGCTGGGAAGAAAAGCTATTGAAAATGGCGCCGGAGTATCATACATCAAAATGTACTATTTCTTGTTTAACTTTCTAATGGCACGATATAGTGACACGATAATATTTACACATGGTTTCAGCATTATTATGAAGGTATAAATGAGATGTTGATGTATTTGGTCTTTTTGATTCTTTTATAAAAAATAATGTTTAATTTTTTTGTCCGCTGTGACGGAGCAGTTGCAAATGTGAACTGTGAAAATGCTCCGTCACAGCGGACAAAAAATATAAATATTATTTTTTATAAAAAAATTAAAAAGACCCAATGCATTAATATCTCATTAATTACATTCAGAGTTATGCTGAAAACATTATGGCAATAGTATCGTGTCACTATATCATGCCATTAAAAAGTTAAAAAAGAAATGGTACATTTTAGAGTTTGATACTCTGGCGCCGTTTTCAATAGATTTTACTCCTAGCGTTATTGGACTTCAAATAGAAGTGAAGGTTACACTCAAATGATATATCCATTGCATGGAGTAGGTTATTTTCTTTGATATAACGAAACATACGAGTTAAAAAATAAATCGTGAAACATTCTTAGTGTTTTTATGAAAAATAGCATGCTCCGTCACAGCGGACAAATCTTTCGATACCGGCCTGTGACTATATAGCTTGTGGAATTGTGACAATTTTAACACGTTGTAAAAAGGAGTAGCCTATATTGCATCAAGTTTTAACACTCACCCCAATATTGTTTGTTGGGTGGGGGTAGGTCACAGAAGATTTGATGCATGATTAAAAATATTTGCACTACTCTTTTAGTATTTCATTTATAAAATTTTCATTTTACCTTCTATTTCCAAGTCAGTGTCGTAATCTTCATCATCACTTTCACTTGCTGAATCAAGTACTGAATGAGATCGAGGCTTGTCGTCTGCTTCATCCGATTCTATTTCCCAAGAATCCCTTTCATTTCCTCTTAACTCTGTAATAAGTACATTTGGTTCCTCATTACCTTCGTTACCATGTGTCGGTGGATGTTCCTGTTGTCTGGACTCAGCTGGAGTTCGTAGTAGTAAAGCGCGTCCTTGTTGTGATGGGAGAAATCTGGATTGTGACCTTGACCCGGACAATCTTGAATTATCACGGTTTTCTTGATCTGGGTCATTGTCATTTTGATTTCCCTGACCAAACCGATCATCTATACCGCTAAATTTATGACTTTCATTTTGTGAATCGTTTATATTTTCTGAACTTTCACTCATAACTTGAATCGATGCAGATTCAGACTCCATGTTGTCATTTTCATCAACTTTATCGTCTATATCTACTCCCTTGGGATTATATTGTTTGTAACTAGGCCCTCTTATTGTGAAGACCTCTGTTGGCTTATCATCTACTGTATCCTAAAATGCATCGAAACAATATCAACAAATTGTTAAGATCGTTAAAGATGGATGATAGATTGTCTTCATTATGGTAAACGTAGCATTTAAAACATAATTAAGTGAATTTAATTATCATAAAGCATAGTAGATCTAAAGCAAAAAATTATCGGTGAAACTTTAAATCCAAAACTGAATTGTTTTGACGTTTTTAGTGCAGTTAGACAACTATCTCGAATGCAAGGTCTATAAGGTTCCTATTTTCCCGAACTATTCCTTACAGGATATTCCAAGAATATGCTCCCCAGTCGTTACACTATAACAATGCAACTCAAGTGAAATTAATCAGGAATAGTTAAATAAAACGTGAAACTAGATAGGGAATCTAATTATTGCTGGATTATTTAGTATAAGCCTTGATAAGGAAATCAATTGATCCGCACAAGATATCTAGGATCACGAAATGTACATCTTAACCTTGTACACATATTACAAGACATAGGAAAGACAATAAACATCAAACAAAACCAAAATGAATATGGATGACAAGACATTAACATGCAAAATGTCACCACCTGCCATTTGTTACAAACGTCGAACTCCGACCACCGTCCACAAAAAGAGTTGTAGACCGTAATAACATGTCACACTTGAAACTTAGGATAGAAAGCACGAGGGGGTAGGGATATACTATAATGTATGCTATGGTGATTTTTGTAGCTTTCCCAAAACAAAACACGTACTGGTTTCTTGAGTCGGAATGGTGAAAATTGGGTTGGAACTCAAAAATAATACAATATAGAGACCTTGTTCTAACAATTTCTATCCCAGATTTCAATTGGAGAAGGAGGACCAAATTGTATTGCTCATAATCAATTAAATAACATCGGCAATGTTCATAGAGAACATGCAACATGTTTGAGTAAACATCTCGGGGGATGAATCAATCGTTCTTTAACATGAAACAAAAATAGAAACGGTGGGAGGTACGTTATTATGTTTGAGCCTCTTTTTATCACATATGCCATTTCAACCAAAAATCGAACATAATATCGCAAATAAGTAAGCAGTAATAACGTCCAGGTCAGTAAATTGTGAAGAACAGTTGGGTCTGTGTTAATTTAGTTGTTGTAGAGTAGGAGTTTGTATTGTTTAATTTTTATATGTATTATCATTTTCCTTGATTACAACGTTGACTTACGGTATCTTTGCTTGATTTTTTAATATTTTGTAATTTTATAAACTGTTCCCCAACTCCATATGTGAAGCTTGGCATAAGTGTGATGATTTGGTGAAATATCGTAAGCTTATAGCTAAAACTAAAGGCAAGCATTGAACCTATTTCTAAATATTAGTATATGAGCTGGAATGATAGACTTTATGTACTAATGTGTTATGGTTCCCTACAAAATAAGCGATTGCAATAATATGAGTATAAGCATATGTGTATATGCACTTGGTATCTAAAAGATAATTGATTACCTGTTATGTCCTACCTTAACAAGTAAATGTAATAGACGCATAATGCATACCTTTACTGTTACCTCTTAGTTTAAGCCACATAATGTCTCCGAAAATAACTGGAATAGATTGAAGCCCATACATTTGGCAATGGTAAAATATAATGACCTATACCTTAATTCACAATCGACGTGATCTACGTGTATTAAAAGTGTACCGTTTAATGTTAAATAGAACTTCAGATTTGTTTATTTTGACGACTTGTATTGCTTGAAAAGATATCATGTTTATTTAGCTTTGTATTCGAGTAGATAAGTACGAGCCTTGTACAATAGGCATTGAGATTATATGTAATAGATTAGAATTTAGCTCAGATAATCACGTTCATTCTAATGTCAATGAAGGAAGTATGAGGACTTTTTCTGGCAGCTCCAAAATGAATTCCATGTATTGCCCTTTGTGCTTTCTTATTATGAACCGTGATAAAAAATATGACCGAGATGACATTTAATTTACTAGCTACTTATAACGTTTATATGGCAACAACATAAGTCTTAATTAGATCATTTATAAGGTAAAAACTCCATTAACATTATGACATTTAAGGAAATGCCCTTCTGAGATTTTACCTGTCATAAATGTTTTCACGCTTTTTGGAATTAAATTGAACATTTTTTGGCATTTCTAAACCCAAATTTAAGTATTGCCGTCTTTCATTTTATTCCCTTTCGATCCCATTGCATTAAACTCTGTTTTAATATATGAAGTCATTGTTATTATTTTATTTTCACATGGGTAGGATAGGAAGCAATGTCAGCATAACTCATTCTATTAGTTACAGAGATGATGGGATTTTATTGATTCCAGGCTGTGAAGTATTATTAACAAACTGGTTTTTATAAAAACATAAGTCTATTACTAGTATACGAGTACTAATAAAAAGGCTGCAATACCTCTGTATCCATGTTTAGTACTTTTGTGTCAATCTGGGGTTGTAGTGTCTTTATCCAGTTTGTCTCCGGCCTTTAGATACACCCTGCCATACGACTCATCAACTGAACCACTATTTGGTCGTTTTTCTAACGATTTTGCTGAGGGTCTCAGATACCTTTTTTGGTCGTCTCCCGGGGTCGTCCCTTTTCTCGCACCAACCAATGAAGATGTTGCCCCGCTGTGCTTGTTCAGTGTCGATGTTGCTATGTCAATCTGCAATTTTATCTGTTTGCCTTTTCTCTATAAGCTTTATATGGAAATGTACACACAAAACAATGTATTCTGAAATGTTCACGTATAAAATACTTGGGTGGTTTATCGTCGATCGCCTCAAGAGCGATTCTAACCCGTTGTCGTCTCGAAATTAGGATTGGTTCACTCCTTCTATAACTTTTCCATTGATTTTGTTTCTTAAAAAGTAATATCTTGCCTCTAACCCGAGGGTATCCTTCATTAGGGTCCGTTATTCCAGAAAGTTTCAGTAAGTGAGGTGATTGTTTGGTTGGATGCCTCACTACATCTTACCTCTCTTAAAGATTTACATTCAACTGTTGTCTCATAAGTGTAAACTACACCTTGGTCTAACTTTGATTTACGGTATGGTTTGTCCTTTGAGATATTGTTGTCACATATATATATTATTTTCTTGATGGTGTGACTATATCTAGCAATCTTACCAACAGTTTCTGAGTAATCCCAGTCTTATCTCGAACCAGTCTTAATTTGTAGTTATCGTGTTAAAAAAGATTCCTTGGTATCATTAAGTATTTATTTCAAGTCAGATATCCATATCAACTAATTGGACTACACAGCTACTGGGAATTGTTTAATAATATAGTATTCCTTGTATCCAACCAACACTTCTTATCAGCCATACTAAAGCACTTTATTAATATAACATGAGTATATTGTCCTTTTTTAGGTATTTATCTATTAAAGTAGCGTTTCAATTCCGCCATCTTTTATATGTGCTGTACTATTCGTTGTTGACAACAAGTTATGAACTTATCGGTCTTCGGGGTTATTTAACAGAGCGAACGTCGTTCAATAATCTCGGTCTGTTTGAATGGATGTTGGGATAAGGTAAATATCCAGCACAATGATCTTAGTAAAAGGTCTGAGAGTAAATGTTTAGTACTAAGCTCAATGGCATATATTTGCTAATCATACTTTCAGTGTGGGTAATATGATTTCAGGCAACTTTCATTTATATACATGCATTTTGGTGAAATTGAACACTGGCAACTGTAGTCTTATATAATTTGTTTAGTCTTAGGATTTCTGCCCGTTCTGCTGAGAGATAATCGTATTAACAACAAAGGTTTGATAAATCCGATTTTAATATTTGGCCCATGTTTGATCGATTGAATTTGCCAAGAGTATAAATAAATGAATTAGAAACATATTGCCAGTTGCAAAACATATCTACAAAAATATATACAATGAAAATCAAAATGCGTGTCCAAATGGTTATGCAAGGATCGTAAGAGATCTGTGTTTTACCGATGCCGATTGTTTCGAGATCGCGAGATCACAGGTCAAAAGTAATGCTTATAGTATTTTGATGGCATATCCCAATTTGATTAAACAAGCACTATCATATCTATGCGTCTGATAAGCTTCCCAGGCCAATACCATTTGCTACCAGATGGTACAGTATAGTTTATCTAGATCAAAATGCCCATGTAGTCAGTGCGACTGCCTGAAGCGAATTTTTCATTTATTTGACTCGTATGATCATAATTCAATAAAACGTTGCCAACAGTAAATTTTAATTAACGTAATAAGGGTCATTAATGTATGTGTTGTTAAAAGTAATTGACGAACTGGTTTTAGAATATAGTTAGTCTAAGAGCGAATGCCATCTAAAACACCTCATTTCAAAACATGTTATTGAGAGTGGACAAGACAAAACGGACACTATCAAATTTTCTATCAAAGATGAAGTGGATACTACAGTATTTGAACGCATTGAGGAAATCCTCCAAACATCTTTGGAACTTTCAAGGATTTTTCATATTCGCCATGACAGCGATGATTCAGATGATTCTCGTACATGAATTACAAACGGGGACAACAAAGGAAGCTGAACTTGGCGACATTCTTTATTTTTGGAAAAAGAATCTCAATGTACCGTATTCTCTATACGCGAAATCGGTCATCTACAAGTCAGTGATACAACCCGACAGCTCAAATGTGACCATCTGTGACGGGAAATCATTTGATATACACGACACTGGAAAAATGACGCTCAGACATATCCAACCATATCAAACATTAGGTGATACGAACGTCCATGCCATTTCTGCATTTGTGGATGATCGTCTGTTTGATGCAAAGGTGGTACGAATCTTGGGGGTCGGGCTGAAACCAGGCCCGGGGAAGCGCCTCTACTGTCAGTACGATTGTAAATCAGGACCGGTGAACAAATGTAATGTTCCAGTCAATGCTGTTACTCTGATATCCGGGAATCATTCTGATTATCTCAGCAGTAAGTTACATTGAACGTTCGTGGATTACTTTCTTGGTCAAATGATCAAATAATTCAGTTTTTACTAATTTTGATTAATCCATTCGAAATTTGGTAAAAAATAAAACTTAAATCCCAGATGATGATAATTATTTCTTTGTTTTCAGATAATGAGAGAAAGTCATTGATGGACGTTCACTTGATATCCTGCCCAATAAGGCAGGAAGACAATCCAACGGACGTAACCATGGCAACCAGGGCATGTGGATACAGTCACACGTTAATGAAGCTTCACCATTTTGGATTCCAAGGCGTGGTGCCCCCTCCTTATGACGTAGGAGTGTGCGTGAGGCCCATTAACGAGAGTAACTATTGGAGAACTGATGTCGACGCCCAGAATTTTATCATGTGGGTCGAATACATGAAACTTCTAGGAGCTGATGGTATCCATTTATATACCAGTAACATCACGGAAAAGAACACGAAAGCGTTAAAGGGATACTCAAATGAAAAGTTGAAATATTTGTTTAAATCAGAGTGGAAAACTGTTGAATCAAAGCTTGAGAGAATAGTCAGCGACGAAGCCGCTATGAACGACTGCATCTACAAAAATATGCTTAAGTATAAGTCCATCCTAGTGACATCTATTAACAAATGGATCACAATGAACGGACATTTTTCAAATTTCAAACAAATGGTTAGATCTGATGACTTCGCGAGTAAAATCAAAGAGAATGGAGGATATAGAATCACAAAGGATTCCCCTGATTCAACTGACAAAACATTCCCTACAAACAATGCACAATCTATGATTGTGAAACCCAGTAAGGTCTTGGCATTAGCTGCAAATCATTTTATCCCGCATCTTTCTAATCCAAGATTCAATGAGCTTTCATCGGGTGTTATAAGTGCTACTCATCTGTCACACTTTGTACAAACTCCATCATTTAACAAACATAGGGCAACATTACAAAAAGCTGTATACAAACGCATCAAACTTGTACATGGTGTGTAAATAAAATAATTAAGTAAATAAGCATAGTTGACCGGCAGCTCCACCAGCTTGCATAAACAATTGAATACGATTGTATTGTATTGCATTGCATGAGATGATTGCATATGATGTCATTTTAGAAGGCCTACTTTACAGTCATGGTAGGTTTATCTCTTTGAATGTCATGTTAAAAGAACATCTAATGTCAAAATTAAATTGGAAATGAAATCTTGTGAATTCAATGAACATAAACAATGGCATTGAATATGTATAAATAATTGTATTTTGAATATACGAATAAACATACCAAGCTACATAAGAATGATCTTTGGTTTTATGATACATGCTTATAAAATACTATCTAAAATAGGGCCTGTGAAACATAATGTAATATAATGTTATATGTATATGTAGAAAGGCACTGTCTTATTGTATACCAATACCCTGTCAAAACTGCAAGGCCAAGATATTTTCTTAGCCTTTTGACGATACAGCCCTATTTCGAGCTTCATTTTGTCATAAACGGTGCATATCTCATTGGACACTTACATATTCTAAAGAATACAATCTTTTTTAAACAAAACAAATAATTATCAGTTTTGACACCATACTGATACACAACCTCAGCTGCATTGATCATACTAGATATAGTTCTGTGCTTTAACGATAACTTAAATACACATGGTCCCTTCAACAAAAATATGCCTTATATAAAAAAAACAACAAATGAAACAATATTTCAGAGTAAATTTAAGTACATGTGCACTTTACATAATAAAGGGTCATGGAAGACACAGTTAACTAAACCAACAGAAATTAGATTATACGAGTATATATGTAGTTTTCACGTCACATACATGCAGTTTTCCTTATGAACAAATATGGTATTTTTCTTAGACCCATGGTAGCAGGTGGCAAAATATTTTCCCATATTTTAGGATAATTAGTCATGCTAATACAATAACTTTATTTTGCTCTGTACTATGACCTTTTTAACACAATGTTTACCAATCATTCCATCATAAACAAATGATCAACATAATAAGTTTCAAACATTCATTCAGATAACTGATTAGAAAGTCATAGTCAATCATGAACCTGTACAAGCATAATGTAAATAAAAAAGTAAAAATTAGACTTTAAGGAAACAGTACTACATAAATAAAGAAACAGTTAGTCTAGCTACAAGCCTCTGTGACTCCCCCTCTACTTGACTAAACACCCCACCTTGTTGGTAAGAGCATGGAGCTAGACTAAGTACAAGTGTAAGTCTGAAAAAAGCACACAATTGAATGTACAAACAGTTCAAATTTCATTGTGCAAATGCCAAATTGTACAATTTTAATTTTCTTCAAGAAGTTAGATGAAGAAACAGTATATAAGTTCAAAAATATGAATTATTAAAGAAGTTAAAGAGTAATTAAAGAAGAAAGTTGCACTTTTGAATATACCTTACATGTACATTCAAAATGTCATTACGATCAAAGCACTCTGTACATTATAAATGACTAAATTGAATTTTATTAAATACATTAATACTGATTATTATGTTTTGATTGGCTGTTAATTGCATAGATATATGTCAACATAGCTCATACCTATAGGGCTTTTTGGAAACAGTTGTAATATTACACCATTTGTAAACATTTTCAATGTAAAACTGATTGGAAAACCGTGTACCATTTATTTTAACTATGCAACGAATACCTCTAACTGATTTAATTAAGTTGAGCCCCAAGGGTTAGCAGTGATGCACACATACTACTTGTTTTTTTGTATATACTATAATCTGCCAATATGAAGTTTTGACGGTCATCATTTGAAAATAATTGAATAATTGAAATATGTGCATAAGTCAATTATAATATGATATAACAAGGCATTAATATACAAAATGTCACCACCTGTCATTTGTTACAGATGCCGGACTCGGAACACCAACCACTGAATATCAACCACCTACCGCTGCCACAAAAAAGTTTGAGACCATAAAAATATGTCATCACTTATGGTGGTGACATAAAAACACAAACTAATTGATAGGATCATGCACAGCCCCAAAATATTATACAGTCAACCAGTCCTTAACTAAATAATAAAGGAGTTGCTGTTTGCACATTTCTTGGGGTTGTGTGTTATCCTGAACAACAATGACACCCTCATCTTTGACATGTTAATTGTTGCATAGTTCTCAAATTGAGCATCCCTTGTATTCTCTTAAAGTGACCCAACCTCTTTCATGTCTTTTGGCTATAATATTAAAGCTCCCAAAATTAAATCTTACATCTTTTCTATGTTAACTTACACTTTTCATGGTCTTTCATACAAACCTTTTCTGTATCAAACAAAATACCAATCTTGTATGTTAAAGTATTTAGGTTTTTCAAAAGTTTTATGATAAACACCTTCCTCATTGGTATTTCAACTCTTAAAAATGAATTACTTGAGTATTTCCTAAGTATAAAAATTACTTAAAGTTAAATACTTAGTTTTACTTCATTTTACTTAGGTTTAACTTATATTGTCATTTTGAGTTTTTTAATTGCTTAATTATGTAAATGAGTATTACAATTACTACAGAAAGTATTTCAATTTCTCTCCTTGCATTAGTAAATTCACCATAAATGAATTACTTAAAAATTACTTAAAAATTATTCAGTAGTTCAAGATTATTTAAGTAATTTTTGACTTAAAATGAGTAGTACAATTTCTCAATATAAGGAAATCCGAGTAATAATTTTTAAGAGTGTCAACTTCACGAGCTGTATATAAAATAAGCATTTTACATTATGATCTCTATCAGAATCCCCCCTTTACCTAAATCTTGTGAGAGGACTACTTCTCCACAAAACCCTTCTCTTCTGCAAAGCCCTTAATAATTTTTTTAAATTTTAGAGAAATGGTTTGTAACATATAATAATACAATAACGCTTGTTATAGATTGCTACAAAATTATTTTGGGGGATATTATAGAGATTGAGCCATTTCAATAAAAGATCTATAAACGTCATATATACTAGTATATATATTCTAGTACTGACATAAAATCCCACTTTCTCAAACAGTAAACCAGTATACGTGAACAGTGAACACCTTTTTAAACACCTGAATATCTCTTTGAACACTTCAAATTGTGGAAACATTTTCAGTTCCATTGTTGGAGATTTCCCATTATTTTCTTCTTTATAATAACCTCATAATATGCACACCTTTTTAGTATACATCATTTGAACAGTTTAAGTAGATCTGAGCAGCATGTCAAACGGGTTCTACTGTATACAAGTAATTTGTATTCGTAATTCGAACATGACTATTCACGCCTTCTAGAAACTGTGAATAAAGTCAATATTTCACTCAGTATTTATTCATTGATATAATACTTAGTCTGTACTAAGTTTTTTCGTGAAATGAAGTGAGGATTCTGCAAAATTTTGGTGATTTTTCATGTTCGGTTTTTGTAAATCTCAGATCAGGTATTATATTGAGTAATAAATACCTTAGGGCTAGGCATAAAAGTATAGAAAACATTTGTGCGTAGCCCTGCAATATGTATTCATCAATAGAATACCTGGTCTTCGGTCTATATTTCGTAAATAGTGCTCAGTGAATATATTTCTTAGGCTTATTTTTATGAACCATACTCACAGGCTGGTATCGAAATATTTGTCCGCTGTGACGGAGCATGCTATTTTTCATAAAAACACTTAGAATACTTCACGATTTATTTTTTAACTCATATCTTTCGTTATACCATACAAAAGTACTTACTCCATGCAATGGATATATCATTTGCGGGTAACTTTCACTTCTGTTTGAAGTCCAATTACGCTGGGAAGAAAAGCTATTGAAAATGGCGCCGGAGTATCACACTTCAAAATGTACCATTTCTTGTTTAACTTTCTAATGGCACGATATAGTGACACAATAATATTTACACATGCTTTCAGCATAACTATGAAGGTATAAATGAGATGTTGATGTGTTTGGTCTTTTTAATTCTTTTATAAAAAATAATGCTTAATTTTTTTGTCCGCTGTGACGGAGCAGTTGCAAATGTGAACTGTGAAAATGCTCCGTCACAGCGGACAAAAAATATTAATATTATTTTTTATAAAAAAATTAAAAGGACCCAATGCATTAATATATCATTAATACATTCAGAGTTATGCTGAAAACATATGTTAATATTATCGTGTCACTATATCATGCCATTAAAAAGTTAAAAAAGAAATGGTACATTTTAGAGTTTGATACTCTGGCGCCGTTTTCAATAGATTTTACTCCTAGCGTTATTGGACTTCAAACAGAAGTGAAGGTTACACGCAAATGATATATCCATTGCATGGAGTAAGTTATTATCTTTGATATAACAAAACATATGAGTTAAAAAATAAATCGTGAAGCATTCTTAGTGTTTTTATAAAAAATAGCATGCTCCGTCACAGCGGACAAATCTTTCGATACCAGCCTGTGATACTAAGTGGAATAAATTTACAAAAAAACTGAAACCAAAAAGTAGAGAATATTGTCTCGTGAGATTTTTAACTATGAGATTTTGAAGTAAACATGTCATATTTTTGCTGTTCACTGAAGCAAATATTTTGTTAATAATTTACTTTTGAGAGAAATTCCTATTTATTGCTATGCATTAGACCGGAAGCCCTCATTAAATAAATTGCTTAGGCATTTGATTCAGAAAGCCCATAGCTGAACTTGAACATTCCATTATTCTGTTGAGTCGCACTCTGATTCTTAACATGTTGAGGCCACCTATAACCTGGACTTTGAGGAACTGGGGAGCGGGGGCTCTGTGGCTCGTACTGGGAATTATAACTATCCCCTAAACTCATGTCATCGTTTATGTCAACATCAGCAAGCTCTGATTCGTAATCGTCACGAATCGTCTCCAAACCATTGTCCATACTATAGAGGGAGCCACATTCTGAGTTTGCATCTGAATAAGCCATCTGTACGGATTGTTTATAGTCTTGAATGGACTCGTTTAGCGTCATTAACTGACACAAGAGAGACATATCTAGTTGTCGGAGACCCACCTGTAACATCAAGAAAGTATGTGCTTAACATAGTCATTCAGTATTGAACATGAATAAACACTGATTCCATAGTATTTCTCTGCATATTTTTGTAATTTTTTACATATTCACAAATACATACAATTAATACTAAAAATACATTCCTTGCTTGCACATGTAACTTTGACCAAGTCCATGACTTCAACAACATGATGGTTAACGAAGCAGTCAAAAAGATCACCATTATTTCGGAAACTTTTCAAACAATCAAAGTTTATGGTGCTGAGGGGGGGGGGGTACTGCTGTACACAACTATCAAGTGCCAACTGCTTCTTTCTGCTAATGTACATGTTTCTCATTGCAAAATAATACAAATGTAATTTACCATTTCCTTTCTCAAGTAGGCGAGTGCGCCATCTACTGTTCCTGCAACTGAGTGTCTCCTATCGGCAGTTTTCCCATTGTTTAACTCTGCACTTGTGTCTGGTGTCATATCTTTCTGGATCATCGTCCGTAAGTTGTGGATCTTTTCTACTTCTTTCCACTGCTCAGTGCCTTTAAGAAAACACAAATTGTAAAGTTAGTCACTCAAAATAACCAAACAAACTGGAAGTTGCAAATACAACGTGAATATAAAACTATCTACAGGGTTTTACTAGCAGCAGGCAACAGGCGATTTTCACTGGTTGTTTTCACAAAATCGACTGTTGTTTCAGATCACTGCAGCAATGATTATTTATTTATGCTCTACTGCATATGTACACTGCACTGAGAATTTTGAGAATAACAGACCCCATATATGAGGTATTCGCCAGGTTAAAAAAAGTGCAGCATTTAGACCAGTTTTGGAAGTTTTTTTCATTTTTTTGTAATGATATTCGTTTCCTCAAATATAGTTTTCTGAGGCTAGAGGCAGCAATTTATATCGAAACTTTACAAAACCATATGTTAGTCAGAAGCACTTTAAAAGTCAAAAGTGTCATATTTCGACAAAAGGGGCATGTAGCTTCTCTATTGGTTCTCTTATTTAATCATTTTTACCCTAAATTTTACTTTGGAGTGTAAAACTTTTTCTTAAAACTCTAAGAAAAACATATTTGAGGTACACACTTCAAGTTTAATAATGATAAAAATTAGGTGTCAGTCGCGGTCTCTTTAATTTTTTAAATTGTCAAGGGGACATCATTAAATATGTGAGTGTGTAACTATATATTGACCTTGTCTCTTAATATACCTGCATTGAGAAGTCTTGCAAGACTCTTTGGAAGTGCCGGAAGCCCTTGCAAGTTAGCCATTCTGTGATCTGAGCCTCTTACAATCCAACGCAAGCCTCAAATGATTACCTGAAACAATACATAATTTTAATTCATCTGAAAGGAAAGACATAATTATGATTTGATACTGTATAAATTACATTAGGGATCCCATGATTCCATATACATGTACCTTTTTCATTTGATGAGATAATTATCCCTATGATCAATTTGATGCAAATGATTTAAGAAATAATATAATCAAAATATATAGTATTAAGATCATTTAATGAAAATTTCATGGAAATTTATCAAGTACTGATAAAGTTAGAGAAAATAGTGCATTACTTCTGGGACAACCCTTGTATAGGGTATTAGTTTTCTTATCTCATTCTTACTCTTACTTAGTTCAACAAGTTAAAGCCAATTACTGCTTTCATTATTAATCAGAATGCCATTATTGGGTTTAACTTCTGTGCTATGCATTCATGAATCATAAATTCTGGATCACTTGAAACTAATTTTCCATGATAATACAGTATGTGACAGTAGTCATATAAATCCGACCGTTGTATGCTGTTCTTCGGTATTCCTAGTTCTTATTTGGATATTTATTTTTTATTATTTTCTTTGCATAAACGGTCGTAGATATTATATGGAACAAATTGCGGTAAACGCTTTCCTGGCCTGTCTGGGTAACCATAGTTACCATACTAACCAAAGTCACACAAATTATCGAGTAATTATTTAGCTCCAATATCAAAGTGTTAAATCTTACCTTAGACATGTAAAACGCTTGATAATTGACGAAATATATTCAATTGAATTATATTTTCATTATCGCCTGCCATGTTGCTAAATGTTGTTTCCGGTAGTCTAAATGTAAAACATGTATCGAAACAGAATCATAATTATTTATTACGCAGAGATCGATTCCAAAGCCGTTCTCTCATACTTATCACTTTTTTCATTCTGAAACAATAACTTTTCTAAATAACTTCCCTTCTTAACGACACTGCTTCCCTTTCAACTGAATCTTCGTGTAACAAATACTTTTGATTTCGTTTGATATAGTTGTACATCTACACTCAGATTAACCCGGAAGTGACCTTGGTATGGCAAAATGAAAAAATTTTAAAATTCAAGCGGCATGCTTATATTTCTTCAATTACAAAGCGTTTTACGTGCCTAAGGTAAGATTAAATACTTAATAGTTGAAGCAAAGAAATTTATTTATCATTTGTGTGAATTTGGTTGGGTAGACAGGCCAGGAAAGCATTTCCCGCAATATAGATGAGGGAAGTGTGTATGACGCTCGTATGCAAGAAAATAAGAAAAATAAATATCCAATTCAGAAAAAAATAACAACAGATAACATCATACGAGGGTCAGATTTATATGACTAATGTGACAGATACTTGACAATAACAGGCCCGTAGCCAGGATTTGCCAAGGGGGGGGGTTCAGTTTTCAAAACTTTCCAGGGGGGGTTCACATTTGACAATTTTGGCCCAAATATAGCTAAAATCACAAGAGAAGTGCTCAAAATGGTGAAAAACTGCATGATTTTGAAAGAATTTTTTGCCAGGGGGGGGGGTTCCCGAACCCTGCGAACCCCCCCCCCCCTGGCTACGGGCCTGAATAATATATTATAAAACGATTCCATATAACATTTTGTGTTAAATGTTCATTTATAATAGTTAAATGGGACTATTCTAATCGATTTCTGAAATGTATTTTGCCATTTGTGTCTGGAATTTAACTTTTGGCAAAATGAAATAGCTAGTTATAGAATAAATTGATAATGTATTCCCGGGAATATAAAAAATGAGAATAACATATGACTTGTTTAGTACTTTCATGGGCTTTCAGTTAAAAGCCCATGGAAAAGTTAACCCCAAAACATTTGAGATCACAGGAGAATGTTATGGGATGATATGTTTGTATTCATAGTGATTGGGGGGTTTTATTCTAGGGCGGCTGAATACTACTCATTGGTTATGTGTATGTGTTCATACTATTTATACAGATAAAAGAGTAGTTGACTATAAATTATTTCGCAAAAGACTATTAAAATATGGCCTACCTTGGGTATAGTACTTAAAAATACAAGATATTTTACATTATTTTATTTTATTTTTTAACCGGAAGTGAACTAAATTGAAAACTTGAAAAGATGGAACGTAAATAATAGAAAATATAACATATCTTTCTCGACAAGTTTATGACACTAAATAATTCAATATACTACTTTATCAACAAAAGAGATAGTTGGAATAAATATTTTATTCAAATCTTACCTTCTTTATATGTAATTTGTTACTAGAGAATATTGGAGAATACTTGGGAGAATACCGAACTTTGCGATGGGCCTCGTTCGTAGTTTTACATCAACGAGGAAACATAAACAGAAAGTAAGTCGCATACTTTATTAAAGTTTATCTATCGAAATTCATCCATATATACCTAATATTTTGTGAAAGGTTTGTACTTAGATACCGAATGATATATTCAGCCATATCTAGATAAGCCTATATATGGGGACAATAGACTAATGACCAGAGCATGTGCAAATAAAAAATACTACGGAAATCTATTGTTGTCTTGTGACTTGACAAAGACACTTCCGGGTTGTGGAACTGAAAGTGATTAGACTTTATTACATTCAGACTGGTCTTTGTGTTTTCAGAAATACGTTGAAACCGTGTGTAAGATGGTGTTTCGAAATGCAGTGATTTGCGGTGCTCTATTGATTGCTGTTGGATGCATACAAATTTCAAGGTACTGATGAGACATAATGATAGTGTTCACCATAAAAAAATGACATCTTGATTTTCTATCACGTTCCCAGACCATGGTGATTTGAGACTTCATACTTTCCAATAATGTCTAGATACACACCCCTTACGTTTTGCGTATTTTACATTTTGTATACTCTCAACTACTTATGTATCGTCACTTGAAAATACTCTTCTTCTTCTTAGTCCTTTTCAGTGTTCCTTATAAGGTGTTCCGGGATCACTTTGGCATTATTATGCTGCCTTTGATCACTTGTTGCTGTTTTTAAAACTCATGTACTAAAAATATCACTTGTACTTTTCACTTGTGCTTAATTTACTTCTGTTGGGAGAGAGAGCGCTAAAACCTGTTATCTAACGTAGTCTAAAATGCAAGTGTTTTTCCATTAAAATGAGATGTTAAAATAGAGTCACTATCTCACTCGAGTTAAAAATAAGTTATTAAAATCTCTTGGATTTCTGTATAAATGCCTGCAGGCATTTCATAATTTCTTTATTTAACTTATGGTCCAGGCTTGTGTTGAGTCCTGTGATTGTTTGTAGGTCTAGAGCTGGATTGTATTTAGCTCCTAGTAGTATCTGTTGCACTTTGGCCAATAGAGTCTCCCTCTCTTCCTGGAACTTAGAGCAAGCAAAGATGTAATGTTCAACTGTCTCTGGTATGTTACAGTGGTCACAGTTGGGAGATAAAATATCGGGGTTAATTCTATGGTGATGGCCATGTAAACGGGTGTGCCCAGAAATAATTTGGTTACATATATTTCTATAATACCTAGTTCCTGTCTTTACAATTGGACTTTTCAATTTAACCTTAGGAATTAATTCCTGAACAAAGTTCACCTTGGTGGAGTTGTTATACCTATTTTGCCATTTCTCTAAAGCGTTACATTTGATATTATTATAAGCTACAGACTTAGATGTTTTACAGTCAGTGAGAGATTTGGCTGCCAATGCTGCTTTCTTGGCAGTTTTATCCGCAACTTCATTCCCTTCTGTCCCTTGGTGACCTGGGACCCAGTAGACTTCTAAGGTTTTGTTCTGTAAAGATAGCAGTTTGCAGGCTTTCCTTGTGTCAATAATGTCCTCTGTGATGCTTTTACACTTGGTAGTAATAAAAGATGCTGTTATAGCGGGTTGGCAGTCTGACAAGAGCAGGATGTTGCTGCTAGTCTTTATGGTTGTCAGATATTCTACCGCCATCTTTATTGCTACCACTTCCCCATAATAGTTGTTACCTATGAGGGAGACTGGTTGCTCAAGACATATAGGTGTAGATTTAAGTCCACCCACATAAACCACTGCAGCAGCTCCCGAAGGACCAGGATTCCCATAGGCTGACCCGTCTGTGAAGACTATAGTCCTACCGTCCGGCTGTTCACTAAGCACTGAGCTTATTCGAACACTTTGGGCGGACTTTGTGTTGGCAAAATCTTCGTCATGGATGGTTGCCTTCGTAGGTTGGAAGATGTCTACATCCTGGTGATGGTAATAGTGCTGTATATAATTGTTAGGTTGTGTGGGGCATCTATGAAGTCTCAGTCTGGCTGTTATGATATTAAAGCAGGAGGGGGTCTTCTCAGTTTGAGATGACCCACCCCATCTCAAAAATTCCCTGGCAATGGGGTCTGACTCAGTGTGGGTAGCTATTCTCACACCCTCTTGAGCCTGCCTGCTTCTTAGTAAAATATCAAGCGGTAGTACACCAGCCAGTACTTCTAATGAGTCAGTGCTAGTTGAGTTGAGGCATCCGGTTGCTCTAAGTAGTGCTGCCCTCTGGACTGGTGCATAGGCAGAAACAGCTTTCTCGGTAACTGCAGCCAGAGCACTAATGCTGGTTTCGAAGTGCGGTATCAACAACGCTTTGTACAGCATGGTGAATACCTCTTGGCTACAGCCCGATTTGCTGGAAGTGAAATTGTTTATGCCCGCAAGAGCACCGAATGCAGATTTTTTCTTATTTTCGATATGTAGATTAAATTTAAGTTCGTTATCTATGGTGCATCCAAGAATCTTCTTGTGGGACACCACCTGGAGTTTCCGGCCGTCGATAAAGATATTAATATCGGGGCTAGTGATACCAGGTGGACTGAAGACAATTACCTCGGTTTTTTCAGGGGCGATCTCCATGTTCCATCTTTTGCACCATTTGTTGGTTAATTGATTCAAGTCCGTGTTGATGAGTTTCTCTATCTCTTTCAAGTCAGCTCCACATGCCCATATTGTGTTGTCATCTGCAAAGCCAGCCTTCTCCGACCCTATGTTGTCCATGGAGTCTGCCGTGTAGAGATTACAGAGAAGCGGAGACAACACGGACCCCTGAGGGATGCCCACCACTGATGGCAGTAGGGGAGTAGTGTGGTTGTTGACAGATATAGAGAATTGCCTATTAGTTAAGTATTCACTGATGTACACTAACAGGCGTCCATTGATTCCCTTCTGGGCTAGTTTGTAGATGAGCCCCTCCCTAAACACCCGTTCAAAACAGCTCTCGTAATCTAATACTGCTGCGATGACATATTCTCCTCTATTCCACGCCTCCTGGATGGACTGCACCAATCTAATCACAGTCTGTGAACAGGATCTATGTTCCCTGTAAGCATCCTGGAAGGCACAGTAAGAGGATGTAGTCTCGCTTATCCATGATAACCTTGGGCTGACTACCCTTTGTAGGATTTTCCCAACTTGAGCTTCAAGTGTTATAGGGCGATAGGATCTGTCTGAATTATAGTTATTTTTGTTAGGTTTACCTAACATAATCTTTGGATCAATTCTAAATTCCTGGGGAAGCTGACCTTCCGCCCAGCATTTCTGTGAGAGAAGCCAAATTGATTTATGTAGTGTGATCCCCCCTTTTTTGATAAAAATACTCAAAATTTTTTCCCTAGGACTAGGAGCAGTTTTAGCTGGTGTTTTCTCAATAGCTGCTATTATTTCATCAAATTCTAATACTCTTCTTTTTAACATGGGAATTCCTCACTTTAGCAAATCCAGGTGTCATTTATTTATGCTGAGCACTGTACCTTATCTAGGACCAACACCATATCTACGTTCTAGTCTTGCGCACATACATTAGGGACCTACGTTATATTACAAAACATGAAAAATAGCTGCGCTAGCAATGCACACAATTCTTACCTCTAGAAACATAGGCCCTGGAACATTGTATAAAAATAGAGTTAAATATGCTAGTCTTAAGTATACTGTATTACATACCTAGCGAAGTATTTGTATGGAAGTCAATTGGAAAGTTAGGTAGAAAGTTGTATATCATTTTGATTATCATGGGTATCGTTTCTGGAATGTCCATATAATCATTATACTGTATTATACATGTACACATATGTTTTAAAACTTTTTTTTAGTGGCAATGATAAAGGATGGGACTACATGGTGTTTAGTCAGCAATGGCCGCAATCAGTCTGTATTGATAATCAGGTGAGGCACAAGATCGTGAAAAAGTACAATGTGAACAGAAATTTTGTAGACCTACTAGACATACATGTAAGGTAATATAGTGTGATCATACATAAAGAAGCAGGGTGTTAGTAACATGGAGCCTTGAATCCCAATTAGAAATTAAATTTTTGAAGTATAAATACTTTTTATGAATGCACTAGCACCCAAGATGCACTTATGAGTATTTGCATTGCGTGAACTGGTAAGAAAGCCCTTTATGTTACAATTTATTAATGAGTAATTCATGGTGTACGAGCAGTTTTATTTTACATATTGTTCTAGGTTTGAGTTTCCTGAATAGAATTAATGAAAATCACGTTTTTGATTTAAGAATCTCCACAAAGTAGAGTCTGATATCTGATATATAAAATCATGTGACACTGACAGGTCATGTCCTGGTAGATTGTATGTGTGTCTTGTTTGAATAATCATTAAGCAAACACATGATATCTTGACGTTTTTGTTGTTGAATTATGGTTGAGGAAATGTGTTGAACAGGAAAAAACTGAAAATTTCAAAATCTTTCCTCTATTTTTTTCTCAATGCATTAAACATACTCATCAGTTGATATCTTGTTATGTAAAAATATGAAACTAATACATTAAACTTTGTGTTTTCTTGAGACCATGTCCAACATAAACATCGCATGTGCTGATTGGAATTGTTCGCTCATTAGAGAGAATACAGCATTTCTGTTAAGACATTTGTATCATTGGCAAAGCGGTAACTTTTTGTATAATTTACTGTAATAGAATCCAATTGTATTTATATACAATAGGTGGAAAGACATATGAAATGAATGGTGTTTTTGTTTCATTTTTACATGTAAGAATATTGTAGCTAGGCCTCTGGACATTTTCTTTATTTCACTCTTGTATTGTTTTTTGTTTACCATACTAATAAAGGTGAGCAATACCTCTTGGGTATTATCCTGTATATATACGGTCTTCAGTCCACAATATTAAGAATAACTCTAAATTTTGCATTGTATTTATATTGCATTGAATTTATGTTTCAGAAAGAACATAACTGTAGCATCCCACTGAATGTAACCAGCTGGACTGTGCATGGTGTATGGTAATGAAACATTCTTTCTTTAAGCTACAAATTTACAATTAGAAATAAACAACACAAGATTAATAGAGAAGTTGAAGCAGAGGGGGATATTTACTATGAAACATACTTTTCAGCTTCTAAATATGATGAAACCTTTGTATAATATTTTGGTGAGGCACTTGCCTCAACTTTTGATATCCAAATGTTTCCATTGAGATCTCAGGTTCTCTATTTAAAAAAAAGCTAAATACTACATTTATAAAATAAATGATTAACATCCAATGGTGACGGTACTTAAAAACCTCCTTTTAGTACAAAAGCGTGTGTGGTATCCAATCAAAATTGTATTTTTGAATGTCTTCCCTCCAGTACTAAGGAACATTAATATGTTTGTCGTACAAGGAACATCAGTAACTAATGATTTCACCCTGTCTCCTTTCAGGCCAACTCATACTGGTACATTGGGACCCAACTACTGTAACAACAGTTGGCATTTTGACGAGGAGAAGTTAAAGGTGCTGTACATATTTTTTATATTTCATTTTTGTATTTTTGTATTTCATTTGTATATTTTTATATTTCATTTGTATATTTTATATATTCCCTCATTCATTGAAAAACCAAGCAGAAGAGAGGAACACATGTTTTACAGTTGCCATTTAAAAATCACTGAGAGAGACACCACCTCTCTGACTCCTTGTTCTTAAACTTGATGGTTTTGACGTGTTTGTTTATGTATTTTTAACCTTGGTAAAAGCATGGGCTTTCAACTAGATGCCTATGGTAAAAGTTAGACCCTAGGTAGAAGCTTATTTGTTGGCACATTTCACATTGTCTTCAGTGTGGATGTATGTGTTTTGTAAATGCTTCAATTAAACAATTAAAACCATTTTCAGCCCCTAGAACCTATGCTGAAACAATACTGGCCAAATCTCTTCACTGATACTCCAATGACAGATTTCTGGCAAGTAACATACATACATACAGTACATAAATAAATACTGTTCTTCTGGTTATATTTGATGCTCCAATATTTCATGTTTTTGCCCAACTGTTTAATGGTCAGGGTTACTTTATATTCATGGTAGAAAAACAAAATGGAAAAATCAACAAAAATATCAGAGTGAAACCAGGTATAATGTTATATGTGTTAAAAACATCAAAAATGATTGAGATTCACAAAGTTTCGATTTACATGTATTTCTAAATCTTCTTCAGGGAATTTTCTGAGTTTACCTGAAAAAGATTTAGAAATAAATCAAAAATTTGTAAATCTCAATCATTTTTGGTTAGAGTGAAACCAGTTACATTTTACATTTGTAGTAAATGATATTTTGCCAATGCATTGTTGTGAACATTATTTAATTTCCATTTTCTTTTATAGGAAACATGAATGGACGAAACATGGAACATGTGCAGCCTCTTTTCCACCTCTACACACTGAGTATGCATATTTCAACATGGGGCTTAAACTAAACAGAAAGCTCGATGTCTATAAGTAAGTATACCTATTTCAACATGGGGCTTAAACTAAACAGAGCGCTCGATGTCTATTAAAGTAAGTATGCCTATTTCAACATGGGGCTTAAACTAAACAGAAATCTCGATGTCTATAAGTAAGTATACCTATTTCAACATGGGGCTTAAACTAAACAGAGCGCTCGATGTCTATTAAAGTAAGTATGCCTATTTCAACATGGGGCTTAAACTAAACAGAGTGCTCGATATCTATATGTAAGTATGCTTATTTCAACATGGGGCTTGAACTAAACAGAGCGCTCGATGTCTATATGTAAGTCCATGCAATTTTGGCATTGACATATTGTGAGAATGATTAGACAAGTACATGTTCATTAAAAGAACAAGTAGACAACATTAATTAAATGCAGATCTGTGTTACAGTTGAATGTCATATTTTTCATAATTGATGGTACACCAGTGTTCATATTCAGAATTTTTGTATTTCAGTTCTCTGGTAGAAGTTGGTATAGAACCGGGCCTTAAAAATTATACAGTAAGTGAAATATAGCAAACCACGGTAAATATATTGTTATTTCCAAGTTATTCTGTAGCAAGGTGGGTATAGGTAACGCGGCGCAGTCAAGCATATCTGTTCAAAACGAGGCTGCAACGCGGTAAAGACACAAAATGGAGGCAACTCCAATTATCGAAGGCACTTCGTCCTCTGTTTCCTCGAAACAGAGGTAAGTTTTTGAAAACCCATGATTCACACTCGGTAATCAACCCCTTAAGGCATGTAAAGCTATAAGAATTTATTTTCAGGCATTGACCAGAGTAAAGAAATAGTCAACGCAGATATGATTTCCCGATCCTATTTCTCTTGACCTATCTTCTTATTCCAATTAAGGAGGTATTTCGCCACTCATGAGCAAATTTAACATTGACATTCAATAGCCTGATACTTATAGAATGTACAATACAAATTAAGATTGAAACTTTTGTTTATTTTCATCGCAATCTGCTTACAAAATTGAACTAGCCGGAAACGCGGCGCAGTCATTTTCAGCAATTATGGCAACGCGTCGATAGCATAGATTAAATTGTATGGCAACGCGGTGCAGGCATCAACTTTCTCTGTATTATAAAGTATAAAGAAGTTTTGCATTATGCTTTTCTGTCGAGGATTTTGATTTAATAAGGCATGTGACTTTTTTCAGAAAAAGATCAAGCAATACCAATCTATCCCTATACAGAACGAAGAGATGAAGAATAGGGAGCAATTCTACAATAAACATAAATGTCGAGGGGAATAAACGGAAATTTATATCACCAGATAGGGGGAGGAGGCCAACAACCCCATTTCCCGAGGTCCGCTGGGCACCCAAAAAATGCTTTGATAATGTAATTATCGTACACGATAGAACATCAGCTGCATTGCTGTCACTGCGTTTCCGGTTTTGTCAAATATGTATGATGTCTGAACCCGCGTTGCCGAAGTGTCTGAACTGCGTTTCCAAAATATACCTGGTTTTCCACCCAGAATCGGTTAACAGAAGGCAAACAGTGATGAAACTTTGAAGAAATAGAGATTACCGTGGTATATACGTGATTTAATAGATATGTGTCAAGTGACAAAGTCAAAAACATAGAATTTAAGCTAGAAAAATGCCACAATTGTCAAATTTCAGTAAGTGATTGACTTTGATTGACTTGGAATGTATTTCCCTGATTGACTGAATTTCAAGAAGTTTCACATAGACAAACTCTGTGAAGTTCTCCACCGAATGGTATATGCTATTATAACTGTAGCAGACACAAACTAGTGTATGAAGCTTATGAATAATCTTACCGCCCTTTCGACCTTCCATTGAGTGGCCATTTTGTGCCTTTGCCGCGTTGCAGCCTCGTTTTGAACAGATATGCTTGACTGCGCCGCGTTACCTCTGACCACGGTGTGTAGTTACCACCACTCTATTGGTTGATGTCCCTGAGAATGTTATCTTTATTATTGATTTCTAAGTTTCAATGTAAAGTTTCCTGAATCCTCGCATCTTCAAATATTTGAAAAAAATATTGTAATAATATGAATATGGATAAAATTATTCTAATACAGGTTGGGCCAAAAATCGTCCATCTAAGTTTTTTACTCTGTCAAAATTTAATGGATATCCAATTATCCATACATTTTCAAAAAAGTAATATGGAAATGAAATATTTGAGTTTTTTTATCCACCCTGTATTATATGTACTGTATTTATTAGTGAGCAGAAGTTCATTCAAGTATGTGTTACATGTACTTTATTCTAAATATTCTGTTACATTTTTTCAGTTGGATGCAATCAACAAAGCTTTTGCTGCAGAGTTTGGTTTTACCATGAAAGTACTATGTTTCCTTGATAAAGTAAGTACATATATAATAATTATGCAATAATTAGATTTATGAAATTATAAACAGTTTGATGAGGGGAGTAGTACATATGCAAGTATCTAAAAATGAAGTAAGAATGATCCATCCCCTGGACAAAGATCACATGACTGATGTCAAGGTCACGAGGTAACTGGGACTTCATTATTCCACTGAACTTCAAAGAAGTGTGACTACTGAAAACAACCCACAACCCACCCTTGAACCAAGAAATTTAGGGTAAAATAGATAACAATTGAACATATTAAGGTAAGCCAAACAATAAAGTATCTTTAGGACGTATGTCCCACCTTAATTTAATAAGAATCAATAGATGATTAGCCTAATTAAGCTAATTAAGGGATGTTTCTAAGTAAGTTATGAAACATATCCCTTTAATTGGGCTAATTAAATTATCATTTAATTGTACTAATTAGGCTCCCTGATGGCAAACTGTTAGAATCAGAATAAATCAAGAAAATACTAAACCACTTTCACTTAATTGTTTTTTGACCTGATAAGATATCTATGGAAAATACTATGTTTACTTTATTAAAGTAATTATCATGAAAATACTATATGCTATACTTGATGTGGAAGTTATCATATATTCCTATTATGAAATCATCACATTTTCTGTAAGACTATTTTGAAATTTAATTCTGCTTCATGATATCGTCATAGGTAGATTATTTATTATTAAGATTATTTAAAGTCAAGAATCAATATCTACACTTTTACTGAGAAGCTTTTCAATGTTTTCTGTTTGATCATTCATTCCACTTTTGAGGGAATTTGCTAACTGCTAACTTATGATTATTTTGGCTGTGAAGCTTAAGTTACATCTAATATTTTCCAGGAAAAAGAAGTGCAGTACATTGAACAGGTCGAAATGTGTATTAACAAACAATTTGCTCAAATTGACTGTACCCATGACAATGCTCTGGCAACACAACAAAATCACCTAGCAACGAATGATGTGAGAGACTTTGCGAAAGTCAGTCAAATGAACTCATGTATATCTAAATATCCAATTCAATACCCGGCTATCAAACATAAGTAGGAATGAATAAAGTGACCAAATTATTCAATTCGTACACCATCTGAAATTTATTAAACTGTATAACATACATACTAAGTATCTACCATTGATAGATGATTTGTGTGTGTTTTAACATATCTATAGAGTTACTAGTTATGACTTTTGATTCAATATGGTTTGAAATTAAGCATAATTTAAGATCTGTATATTTACACTGATCTCATTGCAGAATTTTTATTATCTGTACATAATATGCCAGTATTTAAGGAAGGCTAATTAGACTAAGTTGTCTGACTAATTAAGGTAGACGGATTGGAATGTGTGGTTTGTTTGATTTAGGGAGACAGATAAGAATGAATATGTAACTCACACATTGGCATCATGCACAAACTGTGCCAAAATTATCACAGTGATTTTGCAGTAAGATTTTAAAACTCAATGTATATAGATCTGTATTACATACCTAGCGAAGCATTTGTATGGAAGTCAATGGGAAAGTTAGCGAGCTATATCCACCGATATTGCCCGATTACCCCGATATAGCCCGCTTACCTCGTTTTGATATTAGATTTCTTTAATAACCATGATAATATCATGACGTCACGTCATTGATACAAAGTAACCATGGGAACAAAGGCATGTAATACATCAGTTATGTCACTATGACGTGAAATATGCCTTCGTTCTTGCCCAAATATAGAGCCTCCCAAGGTCAGCCTATATTGGGAGAACTCAGGCATATTTCACGTCATAGTGACATAACCTCTAAATATTTAAAGCATGGATTTGGTTTTGAAAGAACAAGCAATCAAATGTCCACAGTGCTATATTACACAGAAAAATATTCAACATTTGTAAACTAACTTTTGTTTAATTTAGATTGTTAGTAAAATGTGCAGTAAAGTAGCTTCAAAATAATATGGCAGAAAAGCATTAAAATTCAAGACAAACCGCAAATAATCCAAAATATACCAAAATTTGCTCTATAACATGGAATGCAATATGTAATGATTGTATATTTTGTAGACCTTTAATTGCTTATTTTTGTGAGAAATTATTATTTTGTGGAATGAATTTGATTTTAGAAGTACATTTGGTGTAGATATTATTGTTATTTGCAGTTGATGTTATTAAAAAGTTTATTGTATTACATTTGTTATAATTGATATTCAGAAATACATTCAGAATTTATCTAGATACTAATAGGTAATTGTTACTACTTCGTCTTACCTCAGTAACCATGAGCAACTCCTACTTTAGATTGTAGAAATGATGCAAAAATATACTATATTATATCTAGTACAATATTTTGCGCTCTTGGATACTTACATGGCTCTCACAGAGTGTTCAATTGAGAAAACAGTGATGTAGTACTTATATTGCATCACTGATTTTTAGATTTAGAGTAATCAAGTTCATTTCATCTAAGTTTGCACTCAATCGAGATTAGAAATTAAAATTTTGCAAAGATTAATGATATGATTTCTCATTTACTACCTTTGGGCATGGGCTCTAGTTGAAAGCCCATGCTTTGGGCTTCACTTCTACAGTTCTAGTTTTAGTTAAAATAAAGAATGAAAAATAAATTTCTGCAACATTTTGGTGAGGCATGGCTGATTTTTCCCAGAACTCTCAAATCCAATGAACATTTTGTTTAAATCAATATGAAATTCAAATTCTAAAAATTCATGACTTCACTGCCCCGGCAACATTAGGATTTTTTGTGGTCCAAATTTCAAAATCATTTAATATGAGCACCACATCACTGTTTTCTCCCTTGTTTACACAAAAATCATGATGCCACCATATTTAAAGTCCCCATATAAAGTTTAAACCATTTTGGCTTATATTGTAGTCTTACCCAATGTTATGCCTAGGTCACATAGCCGCCGGGCGCCGGCCGATGAGTAGTCATCGGCCGATTTCTAAATCGACCGGGCGCCGGTGACTTTTCACCGATGTCTTGATCTAATCGTGAGTATGGTCACATTAGTACAGGCATCGTACATCGTACGTGGAGTACCTTCTTCCCTAGACAAATCTAAATCTTCATCATCCACCAGCTCACGAGCATTGTTATTGTCTTTTTCCACCTGTCTTTCCAAGGCCTTCCTGATATACAGTATGGCCCGTTGGCCTTATCCCCTCTATCCTTAGCCTTTGGCATATTAACTGTAATTGAGACAGTGAACTTTCGTATTCAAATTGTGACCCTTGAAAATACTGTACTCAGAAAAACATTCAGAAGATTTTTAAAATAAATGATTTGTAATGGTATATGCATGAGTGAATATACGCATAAAAATGTATCACTCTATTCAATGTGTATGACAGACATACATGATTAATGTCAATATAAGAACGACTAGATCAACCCATCACCCAGCCATTCAAATGTGTGTCATTGTTTTACAGTAAGCCTAATCGTTCCATTTATGTTTTATAAAAAATCTCTCACAGTGTGTAGTAATTATAATTTCTTAACTCATTATTTTTTAAACCTTTATATCACTTTATAAGTAATCATTATTTATCAAGGATTTTAAGATTTATCAAACAAATCAGCACGCAAAATCCCAAGATGACCGTGCGATGCCACCGGGCGCCGTAAGATAATCGGACGATGGTCGGACGGGTAGGCACCGATGAGTTTGGTTGAGAGAAAATCGCCAAGACATCGGCAACTTTTATCTCCGCGATAAAACTCTGCCGGCGCCCGTACGATGTCTAAAAATCGGCCGATGAGTGGCGATCATCGCCCGGCGCCCGTACGATGCTCGGGCTCGCCGGCCGATTTTGAACAAAATACTCATCGGCCGGGCGCCGTAGTGAAAATCGGAGCCTATGTGACCAAGGCATTACCAAAGTGTGATATGTGAAACTTTTTTTTTAAATTTCAAAAAGTGTTTTTTGAAAGACTTTTTGTTCCAAAATTTGTGAATTTATTTAAAACTAACTTTTAGAGGTCACACATATGTTTTAATTAGCCACAATTCATACCAATGCATAGCATTTATCCTCCCATGTTTTTTGCCCAAAAAGTTAAGAAAATCGGTTCATAAGTAAGCGAGAAAAGAACTCATCAGTGCATGAAAACGGTTCCGAGAAAAATGCATTTCAAAATTTTAGTTCTCAATGGAACAATGATATCTAAAACATAATATTTTCTTCCTTTTAACCTGGTTAGACAATCAACATTGGTTTATTATTGAATTCTAGCATATTTAGAAAAGATTGACATCACAAAAAATTTCATTTTTTTTCAAAAAGTTTTTGCCACCTTAGTGACATCACTAATGTTTCAAGATATTTTTGATATGCTAAAACATTGAAGTGGCCCATTAAATATGGCATTTTATTATTGAAATAGTGTGTCCTTTGTTCAATCTTTGAATTGGTGTTAAAGAGAGAATCAGATATAGCAAGCAGGCTAAACGAAAAATTGTTTCAATTTTACAATATTTTTGGCTCATGTCATTCCTTGTCATGTCTATTTTCTAAAAATCACATAAGTGCATACTTAATTCAAGGAAAACTAAAGATTTTCACAATAATGTATTATTTTTCTATAAGAATGGTTACCATTCTTATTATTTGGGAGAATTTAAACATTTTTCACCCATTTTTGCACCTTGAATCATTAATAACTTCACCAATTTATAACATATTGTGAATCTTTTGGGAGGTTTTGTTTTTGATATTGTAAGGAATTGATTGGAAGGTCAATTATACAAGTTGCTTGTAATTTTGTCACCCCCTATAGATCTGATTCTGGCTTTCAAAATATAATCTTTTTTTGAAATGCATTAAGAAATATTTGATGATTAAAAAATTTCAACTTTATTGGAAAAATGGTGGGAAATTTGAATATTTGAGAAATCTCTAAAATAACTTTTTAAGTCATGACAAATAGTAAATGAATGATAAAAAAAATATTTTCAAACTTTAGACGGGGACTTTAAGAGTTATTTCCAAAATTAGTTAGAAACGTCATTTTTGGGCAACCCTGTACAATCATCTTATTTGTATTCTATCTGTTTGACCATCTGGTTGGGATGAGTGTTTGACCACAAAAAACAAACTACAGTACCCGGATGATTTAAGTATCCCTCACCATTGCTGCAGCCAAATGTGAGGAAAGAGATTGTATTTAGATGTTGTCCACGTAGTATTAAACAATGAAAAAGTAACACAGAGCCCAGGACAACACGAATGGAAATGCAATCACGTTCAGAAAAGTTCAAACATGAAAGCTCATAATTAATTTCAAATTTTATTGCATAAATTGAAAAGATACAAAAATAAAATCGGGAAAACTCAGGCTTTAATAGCCGTTACATATGCAAGCTCTAAAGGGGATGTCGAAGTCGTCATTTAATTTAAAAGATCTCTACGTCAGCAGGGAGGTTGCGATAACCCGGTAGCTCAATTTGGGCAAATGGCTTTGTACATTGGGGACATGTCACGATGATCCAATCGGCATCCAGTAGAGTCAGATCCTCTGGAAGTCGAAGTGTCACTCTTGCTCTTTCGTAGTTGCCAAGTGTGCTGTCGCTATACGAGTAGAAATTAACATAAAGAAAATTGAACATTTACATCGAGTTGTTTGTATTTTGTGGATTTTTTTTATTATATGTTATTGAAAACGTGTTCTTTTTGTTGTTCAACCCTTGGTCCTTGTGAGTTAAGTGATTTAAATAAATTAAATACGCATTACGTTCTAATTAAATATTGAAGATGTGTTTTAATAACACCTAAAATTCCAATCATAGAAACATATAAACTGATTCGAATCAATTACGTACTGTACAGTACTTATGTGTAAATTATACACCGTATTTAGTATTATATACTAGTTCAAACTTACTTTTCTTCCTCGACAGTCACCAATTCTCCATTGGTAGCAGTTAAACTATCTCCGGTTCCAGCATAGAAGTTGGCATCTGAAAAACAAGGCTCGTCGTATTTCATTTATATAAGATGAATCGGTTAAAGAGACATAACAATTACGTCGATTCAAGCGAGATTAGATTTTTATTTTTTAAATATTGCCCTATGATCTGTCTCACTATAGCATGGAAAGTCGATATTTTTAAGTCTCACCAAGGCCAGTGCCGTCAAATGTAAAGCTCTGAATAGTGACGATCCTCGCAGTGCGCAAGATGATTTGGGCGGCGTTCACCTGAGCGTCTTCAGACGTGAAGGCAGCAGTTGATAAAACATATGGACGTGGCTCTTCAAAGTCTTCAGGTATTGAGATATCCGCAAGACTGACCTATAAAAATAATCGATAACCTTTAAAATCGATGGAGTGTCAGGATAAAGTCAATCAATTGTTAATTGTCCATTTCCCTTCTTCCTTTAACTGATCTTTACAAATACCTAGGACTAGGGCACTCTCGATTCGGTCTGTGTGTGCCCTATAGGAAAGTGTACTTAATTACCTCATTCTGTTCGTCCCAAAGAGAGAACCATCCAAAGTGGTCAACAGATATGTGTTTCCTGAACGGAAATGGAATCAGAAGACCTTGGTTAACTGCAGTCCCCACAGGCATGAAATCACTGGAAAATTGTACAATTATATTAGAGAGCAGTTGTTAGAATAGAATTGACAACGAAAATTGGAAATAATTGATTTCTTCAGACCACATATATCACAAAAGGCAATAGGAGGTCTGGGTAAAATTTTAGACACATCATCAAATATCTTTGGCATTACATACTTTTGTTTGGAATGGTGTAGTTGAATTCCTTCTTTATTGGGCTCCGTCCCAACCCGACGGCAGCCAATGTAGAAGAAAGAAACTGGAAACAAACGGATAACGAGATACACGACGACTTTAATTACTGATAACTCTATAGAATTCAAAATCATGCAATCTTCCCATGACACCATACTCAAGCTGCGCGCAGTTTGTTTCGATCACAAACTGCGTGCCTAACAACATTGCATCATTTAAGTTGGAGTCTGTATTTTGAAACGTAATTTAAAGACATCTATCCTGCATTGTTTTCTTGTTCAATGCGTTCATTCTGTGGCGAATGTACGAATCTTGCAAATACTAGCAAAAACTATGTGCAAATGAATCTAAGTTTTAAAACATAAGCAGATTAATGGCATTTTCGTCACTGATTTAACGGGAATTTATACGTAAATCGATCTAGCACTTTAAACATAAATGACAAATACTTTAAACTCGTTTTATATTTAATTCCTTACGCATTTATCATGTATAATTCAAAATATTTCGAGATAAAATAGATAATCAGGAGATTAAAAAGAAATAAACGACAAACTGCGCGCCTATTTTAGCCAGAAATTACAAACCGTGCGCAAACACTATTAAAACTACATATATTATCATTGGAATTTCTACAGAGGCACGTGTAGGTGTTTTTCATATAGCTTTGGAAATTTTATGAGATTTTCATATTGAAAGTCAAAATGTATAATAGAAGTGACAATTAAGTTGGGAACGAAAGAATCTTTTATTTTCAGATCACCATCTTGGTGGATGGACTGTCATAGTGTTTCAATTATGGGGTTCTACTATTAGACACATATGTGCCTTTTACATATGGCGCTTACGTTTTCTAATAATACAAAACAAACTTGGATAGGCAAGTTTGGAAATATTAGGCACGCAGTTTTGGAAATACATGTGAATATAGGCACGCAGTTTGACAAGATCACGTTTATGGCGTATTATCGAAATAAACACAAACTATGCTGCTTTAATCAGATGGAGTGATCCTATATATTCTAGCATACACAGACACAATGGCTGAATAAACGGCAAATGACGATAAAAAGACATAGATATAACTTTACACTGTAAATTTTGAACACAGAAGTTACTTAAGACCCTTATATTGAGATAACTAGGTTTACATCGGGAAAAACATTGAGTACTATGAGTAAATTAAGTTCATCTTCACAGAATGGCACTATCTTTAGAACGAGACTAATCTTGTATTTTTCGTATTTTGGCTCTTTTTGGGAGTCGTGTCCTCCCTGTCTTGCATTTTGAAATATGCGCGCAGTTTGTCAGAGTTTCAAACTGCGTGCCTAGTAGGCACGCTGCTTTACATGGGCATCGTGATACTGTATTCAAATCGACTAACTGAAACTTTTACGTCAACGTTGCTACATGTACAATAGCAAAAAACATTATCGATATCAAAATTAATTTCAGTTATCAGAAATGCTTACATCCATTCGCGCCATCGAAGTTAAAGTTGTCAAGGTAGAGTAAGTTTGGCCCAAGTGCATAAAGAGTCCCTGTCACGTCATTGGATCGAGTCACCAGATCACCAATCAATGCCCCTTTGTAGTCACCAAGTTCAAAATCGCCTGAAACTGAAATACTTTGAGATGTTAGCACATCCACATACATATTAACCAATACAAATAATCATAATCATCGCTAAACGCTTTATTAATAATCATTTGGAATATGATGACGTGGTTTGTGATGATCGACAATTTTGCAGGGTGATTCGAGCATTTATACTAAAGAGAAAGAAATCGACTTGAAATTATTGACTTACCTTGGGCCTTTACGGCAAAAAGCTGTAGGCCTACTAGTAAAATAAAGAACATCTTCATTTTTCTGTAATAATTCCGCTTGTTTTGATTTGATATTTTTTTGTTGTTTCACCACTGTTGCGTCTGCTGTATTATATAGCCAGACTAACGAAAGTTCGTGAATCACCATTAAGCTGACAATAACAAGCTGCCTCAGGCAGATGACAGTGATACATAAGAGAATGATGTGAGTGTAGCAGTACCGTCAATAAAAACAACTGTCCATCAAAAGTAACCAACTCAAGGCTGGTATTTTATGGGTATGATGGGAACGATTGAGATGTGAACATCCTTTGCTGTTATGATCAGTCCAACGCCGTGTGTTTTGAAATATTGTTGTATTCAGTCATTCCCTCACCTGGGAACACACTAACAAAAACTATCTTTAGCCTGGGGAATTTATGATTCAGGTATGAGATCCTAAAAAACTATAGGCCAACATCCTCAAAAATGATTGTCGATTTTATGTTTATAGACACGACTTCCAATGATATTCCAGTACCGTAATGCCCTGAGATTTGTTACTAGTTCACATAGCAAATCCATCCGAGCAAAAAGCATTTTATCAAATAACCTCTCATTGCATTTTTGACTTAAATCCGACGATCAGTATTTGAGTTATCACTGGACAGATAGAAGAACGAAAAATGGCCTCGATACCAACAGATTCAAGTCTAAAATTAAAGGTTAGAAAGGATTTATTAATTTCATCAGTTTTTACTTTGGGACATCCTAGATCCGTTTGTAGATATTTTGTAAAAACGTGAAGACCTTATTGTGCACAGGTATGTATAATTTGAAGCAAATTAATGCAATTCTATTTGGACATGGTCAAAAAGTGAACTTCAACAGCAATAAGAATACCAGCTTTTTTTGAATTCCTGGCCAAACTTAATCTGAAAATTATTTAAGCACCTTGTCACATAGCCCGTACCTTGTACATTGTCAATTTCATGCAAACTTAGAATTTTGGAGTTGTTGCTACTTGAAATATAGCCAAAAACATGATTTTGGACAGTAAAATTCAGTTGCCATTTTGGAATTAAATGTGATATTTTCCAAGAACTTGTAGACAGCATCGTTAAACTAAGATCAAACATACAGACATAAGAGCTCATAGTTGATTAAAAATTTTATTGCATAAATTGAAAAGATACAAAAATAATATCATGGAGACTCGCTTCGAGCTTTAAAAGAAGTTGCATATGCAAGCTCTAGGGGGATCTAAAGTTGCCATTTAAAAGATTTGTACATCAGCAGGGAGGTTGCGATAATCCGGTAACTCAATTTGGGCAAATGGCGTAGTACATTGAGGACATGTCACTATGATCCAATCGGCATCCAGTAGAGTCAAATCCTCTGGAAGTCGAAGCGTCAATGTCGCTCTGTCGTAAATGCCAAGTGTGCTGTCGCTTTAAGTACAAGTAAATAGGCATATATTGAGACATGTGTGACATTTATATCGAGTCGTATGTCTATTGGTGATTAAAAGCACTTTTAACATGCTTTATAGATAAAACATATTGAACTATAAGATTGGTTTACTATATTCATAATTAGATATATTTGTGCAAAACTTTTTGAACAACCCTTGTAGTTCGACTTTTGATCTTTAGAAATGATTTAACGAATATAAAAAGTACTATTTAAGTATAATTTGCTTACTTTTCTTCCTCAACAGTCACCAATTCGCCACTCGTAGCAGTTAAACTATCTCCGGTTCCAGCATAGAAGTTGGCGTCTGAAATAAAAATTGTAATCTAAAAGACATTGGAATAAGGTATACCTTTCCGGGGAAATGATTGAAAACAAGACGCATAGTATTTAATCGTTATTGGATGGATCGTTCAGAGACTCATGTCGATCCATGCGAGATTCGAATTTTACTTTTTAAGGAATGTCGATATTTTTAAGTCTTACCAAGTCCTGTGCCGTCAAATGTAAAGCTCTGAATAGTAACGTTCCTCGCAGTACGCATGATGATTCGGACGGCGTTCACTCGAGCGTCTTCAGACGTGAAGGCATCAGCTGATAAAATATATGGACGTGGCTCTTCAAAGTCTTCAGGTATTGAGATATCCGCAAGACTGACCTGTAGAAAGAAAATCAATACGTATTCATAATTAAGACTAGTTGCAAGTAGAAATAATTTAATTACGTCATCAAAAGGAATATTAAGAATTTAAAGAAGTGATATCGTATTTGAAATCTACATGTGCAATTCATGAAATTATATCTAGAAATGTGGTTTAAAAGTTATTTATCAACTTTTTCTTTCCTTTAAAATTGTAAGTTCTAGGTCGAGTAAATTCCCCAAATCTATGTTATAAAAACACAAAAGCTGAAATATATCTTTTTGTGTTGGGCAGATAATATTTTCTTTTACAGGACATATTTTCATTCAGATAACACAGGGAGATATGCCAATTGCTCAATTAGTACAAAATTAGTACTAAATAAGCATTCTGGCAAAAGCACTCGCTCGTGAGCACTCATGTAACGATAAAATTAGAGCTATTTTATCACTCATCATATGAATACTTATTCAATACTAAATACTAAATAGTATTCGGCATATCTCCCTGTGAATTATCTGACACATGTGGGTTAAATATGAAAATACTAATAGTTATTACTATTAGTATGTTAGCAGTTTGCATTGTATTACCAAAAAGCCCTGACAAAGACAGGGGATACCTGTTCCATTTGCAACTTCACTGTAGCCTGTATCCCTTTTAAAGAAATACAGGCTACAGTATTTTCTTGTGTTAAAGTAGTGAAAGTATGCCTACCTCATTCTGTTCGTCCCACAGAGAGAACCATGCAAAGTGGTCAAGAGATACGTATTTTCTGAACGGGAATGGAATCAGAAGACCCTGGTTAACTGCAGTCTCCACGGGCGTGAGATCACTGGAAACGAGGAAATTGTAATCAGAGATAGAGTTATCTGAATAGAATTGACAAATAATTAATTTCCTCAGAGCGACATGCAACACGCCACTAAGGCCTGGGTAACATTTTAGAAAGATCGTCAATAGTCAATACTATATTAAGTATTCTACGTAATCTGCATCAAATAACTGTAACATTACGTACTCTTGTTTGGAGTGAAGTAATCGGAGTCCTTCTTTACTGGGCTCCGGCGACGCCCGGCGGCAGCCAATGTAGAAGAAGGAAACTGGAAACAAACGGATAAATAAATGTATGGGGACTTCGAGTGTGCAATTAAAAGGATAACTTTCGAAAATCATGCGATTATAAAAGAATACCAAATTGACTTATTGGAATGTAAATGTCAACGTTGTCTTAAGTACAATAGCAAAAGCACATTATCGATATCGAAATTATTTTAGGTTGTCAGAAATGCTTACAGTCATTTGCCCCATCAAAGTTGAAGTTTTCAAGGTAGAGTAAGTTTGGCCCAAGCGCATAAAGAGTCCCTGTCACGTCATTGGATCGAGTCACCAGATCACCAATCAATGCCCCTTTGTAGTCACCAAGTTCAAAATCGCCTAAAAATAATTTAAAGTGCTACAAATAAGTCATCCACATCTCCTCATAATACACCATATCATCACTCAACTCACAAGCACGTTTCATAATAACAATTATTTGAGATTGGAATGACGTGGCTTAATCAAATAATTTAAGATTCGCAGATAGCTAAGCAAGGTGTATCCAATTCCAGCAAACTAGAACACGCTATTTCATATAACCGCATTGCAATATACTTATCCAATGCACCCACGGTCGTTTTAAGATTTTAGTTTAACTAATGAAACCGATAAGCTGATCAATTTCATAGTTTAGTAAAAATCTATGAAATAGGGAATAATTAGTCCTTGCAAAAATTTATTTTGAAATTTACTCTCTTAAGTCACTTCGCATCTTTCAAGTGATGTTGTATAACATATTTTGCAATGTGTGAAAGAAGCATTAGACTTAATGCAATACAATGTGACTGATTCATTCCACTCGTACTATACTTAGCACTCGATGTTACGCATCTCGTGCAAAGTTTGGAACAACACTTGAGGAATGACAATCAATCCAAGATGCACCAGGGCTTAAACATTTTTGAATAAGACTAACTCGTATTAATCAACTTACCTGCATCTTGGGCCTTTACGGCAAAAACCTGCATGAGTATAATCAAGAGCATTTTCATTTTCCTGTTATGATTCAACTTGTTTTGTTTCAGTAAATTTTTTGTTGTTTGTTCACTACTGTTGTTGTCTACTCTATATATAGCAAGACTTACGAAAGTTCGTGAATCACCATTAAGCTGACAATAACAAGCTGCCTGGGGCAGATGACAGTGATACATAAGAGAATGATGTAGGTGTAGCAGTACCGTCAATAAAAACAACTGTCCATCAAGAGTAACCAACTCAAGGCTAGTATTTTATGGGTATGATGGGAACGATTGTGAATTGAACATCCTTTGCTGATATAATCAGTCCAAGCCATGTGTTTTGAAATATTATTGTTATATATGTGAGATGTTTTCCATTTCTAGACATTCCGACATTCCTTTACCTGAGAACAGACTGCGACTTATGAAACAGAAAACTGTTTACCCTGATAAATGTATGATTCAGCATCCCATAATAGAAAACAATAGGCCTACATTCACAATTGTCATAGTGATTGTTATTTTTATAGACATTTCAAAGAAGGCAAGTTATACCTAGATATGCCGCTGCCACCGGTAATTTTTATTTGATGAGTGGTTAAGTTACACGCATTTGGGAAAACTGGAACGTAAAAGAGTAAAAGTATGAAACACAAACGGGAATTGTTGTCCAACTCTCAATTGGTTCACACGTGGACTTATAACAATTATTTCACTCACTCATTCACTAGGCCAAATAAAGGCCGGCGAGTTGAAATAGTCGATGGGGACCATAGTCTTACACGTTTTATGTACAGTTCTTCAGATCAGTGCTAGCTTAACATCCCTATTATTGAAACAAATAACTAAAACCAAATTATATTTCATTCAACTATAATCATTTCTTTTTATTGCTTCATTCATGCTTTGTTGCACAATGTTCAATGAAACTGATGTGCGACAATGCCCCTTTCTCAAAAATAATATATTCTAAATCTATTTTATATAGATTTGTGTTCAATTTGTATTGCTTTATACAGTGTCAGTTTAAAGAGTACCTCTATGATGATTGTTATATACATGGAACTCATTTATGTAAAGAAAACATATCAACAAATGAACAGATTCTCATTTTTCATATGCCTCCATGTAGATATTGTAAAATACATGAACCTCATCTATATAGCAGAACACATCAATATATGAACACATTCTCATTATTCATGTATATTACAGACAAGGTGCCTCCATGTAGAGATTGTTATATACATGAACCTCATCTATATAGCAGAACACATCAATATATGAAAACATTCTCATTATTCATGTATATTACAGACAAGGTGCCTCCATGTAGAGATTGTTATATACATGAACCTCATCTATATAGTAGAACACATCAATATATGAACACATTCTCATTATTCATGTATATTACAGACAAGGTGCCTCCATGTAGAGATTGTTATATACATGAACCTCATCTATATAGCAGAACACATCAATATATGAACACATTCTCATTATTCATGTATATTACAGACAAGGTGTCTCCATGTAGAGATTGTTATATACATGAACCTCATCTCTATAGCAGAACACATCAATATATGAACACATTCTCATTATTCATGTATATTACAGACAAGATGCCTCCATGTAGAGATTGTTATATACATGAACCTCATCTATATAGCAGAACACATCAATATATGAACACATTCTCATTATTCATGTATATTACAGACAAGGTGTCTCCATGTAAAGATTGTTATATACATGAACCTCATCTATATAGTAGAACACATCAATATATGAACACATTCTCATTATTCATGTATATTGCAGACAAGGTGCCTCCATGTAGAGATTGTTATATACACGAACCTCATCTATATATAGCAGAACACATCAATATATGAACACATTCTCATTATTCATGTATATTACAGACAAGATGCCTCCATGTAGGGATTGTTATATACATGAACCTCATCTATATAGTAGAACACATCAATATATGAACACATTCTCATTATTCATGTATATTACAGACAAGGTGCCTCCATGTAGAGATTGTTATATACATGAACCTCATCTATATAGTAGAACACATCAATATATGAACACATTCTCATTATTCATGTATATTACAGACAAGGTGCCTCCATGTAGAGATTGTTATATACATGAACCTCATCTATATATAGCAGAACACATCAATATATGAACACATTCTCATTATTCATGTATATTACAGACAAGGTGCCTCCATGTAAAGATTGTTATATACATGAACCTCATCTATATAGTAGAACACATCAATATATGAACACATTCTCATTATTCATGTATATTACAGACAAGGTGCCTCCATGTAGAGATTGTTATATACATGAACCTCATCTATATAGCAGAACACATCAATATATGAACACATTCTCATTATTCATGTAAATAACAGACAAGGTGCTTCCATGTAGAGATTGTTATATACATGAACCTCATCTATATAGCAGAACACATCAATATATGAACACATTCTCATTATTCATGTATATTACAGACAAGGTGCCTCCATGTAGAGAATGTTATATACATGAACCTCATCTATATAGCAGAACACATCAATATATGAACACATTCTCATTATTCATGTATATTACAGACAAGGTGTCTCCATGTAGAGATTGTTATATACATGAACCTCATCTATATAGCAGAACACATCAATATATGAACACATTCTCATTATTCATGTATATTACAGACAAGGTGCTTCCATGTAGAGAATGTTATATACATGAACCTCATCTATATAGCAGAACACATCAATATATGAACACATTCTCATTATTCATGTATATTACAGACAAGGTGCCTCCATGTAGAGAATGTTATATACATGAACCTCATCTATATAGCAGAACACATCAATATATGAACACATTCTCATTATTCATGTAAATAACAGACAAGGTGCTTCCATGTAGAGATTGTTATATACATGAACCTCATCTATATAGCAGAACACATCAATATATGAACACATTCTCATTATTCATGTATATTACAGACAAGGTGCCTCCATGAAGAGATTGTTATATACATGAACCTCATCTATATAGCAGAACACATCAATATATGAACACATTCTCATTATTCATGTATATTACAGACAAGGTGCCTCCATGTAGAGATTGTTATATACATGAACCTCATCTATATAGCAGAACACATCAATATATGAACACATTCTCATTATTCATGTATATTACAGACAAGGTGCCTCCATGTAGAGATTGTTATATACATGAACCTCATCTATATAGCAGAACACTTCAATATATGAACACATTCTCATTATTCATGTATATTACAGACAAGGTGCCTCCATGTAGAGATTGTTATATACATGAACCTCATCTATATAGCAGAACACATCAATATATGAACACATTCTCATTATTCATGTATATTACAGACAAGGTGCCTCCATGTAGAGATTGTTAAATACATGAACCTCATCTATATAGCAGAACACATCAATATATGAACACATTCTCATTATTCATGTATATTACAGACAAGGTGCCTCCATGTAGAGATTGTTATATACATGAACCTCATCTATATAGCAGAACACATCAATATATGAACACATTCTCATTATTCATGTATATTACAGACAAGGTGCCTCCATGTAGAGATTGTTATATACATGAACCTCATCTATATAGCAGAACACATCAATATATGAACACATTCTCATTATTCATGTATATTACAGACAAGGTGCCTCCATGTAGAGATTGTTATATACATGAACCTCATCTATATAGCAGAACACATCAATATATGAACACATTCTCATTATTCATGTATATTACAGACAAGGTGCTTCCATGTAGAGATTGTTATATACATGAACCTCATCTATATAGCAGAACACATCAATATATGAACACATTCTCATTATTCATGTATATTACAGACAAGGTGCCTCCATGTAGAGAATGTTATATACATGAACCTCATCTATATAGCAGAACACATCAATATATGAACACATTCTCATTATTCATGTATATTACAGACAAGGTGTCTCCATGTAGAGATTGTTATATACATGAACCTCATCTACATATAGTAGAACACATCAATATATGAACACATACTCATTATTCATCAACATTAAAGACCCGTGTCTCCATGTAGATTGGAGAAAACATATATGATACAGAGAGAACTTATTAGTTCTAGCTTTGTTTTGCTGAAATAGGTTGCATGGGGGTATTTGCAACAATGTGTATTGTAAATGAATTTATTTCTTTATACAACTAAATTGGTCAATCAATGAATTGAGCTATATATATCAAAAAACCTGTGGTGAAACCTTTAAAATTGCGTATCTGCTCTGGTAATAAAATGTCTTCATCTCATGAAAATCGTGAAAAAAATCGTACCTCCAAGGCTGTAAAATTTTCTTACAGAAAGGAAACTTTTTCCATAACCAGGTTCAACCACAGTGAAAAACAAAGTCCTTGTAAAATATTCAAAATTATTAGTTGGCTCATCTTGCGTAATACATTAAAAATGTACCAATTAAATTATATGACCAACTGTAATACTTAGAGAGTCTGTTATGTTTCACTAACTGCGTCTACCTTTAGACAAGAGTGACATATCCTTAGTCTCTATTGTTCTAGATTGCTCTTTGCCAATTCCATAACTCCCAAGCTGGATAGGTCCATTAGATTTCATTTTATTCATGTGATATGGAGGTGCAACATCAGATCTGGTCTTATTTGTTAAAGGTTTTGATCTAGCAATATATGGATTTGGTGTGGTGGACTGAATCTGCTTCATGTTTGTGTGATTTTTAATTGTCTGAGATGGTCTAAGAATATTCTGAATAGGTGGCGCTTGGAGCTGATGGTGCTTTTGTTGACGTTTCTTAATGGCTTCTTGTTTCTTTCTTTCAATCTCTTCTGGCGAATACTTTTGACTTTGTTTGGGTTGGCTGTTTGACTGGCTACTAACGATCTGGGCTGTAAGCAAAGTTTTAAAAATATAATTCTGGTCTTGTGTCATGGTTGTGTCATAATAGTTAAGACTATTCTAGTTTCTAATTTATATGAAGTAAGCAATATGTGAGTAAATTTATTTATAACATACTTTAAAAATTTCAATTTCATTTAAGGTTGTCTAGGTGCAATCCGTTACCTGTCTGATTAACTAAATCTTCTACATATTTGCATATATCATATACAAACAGGTTCAAAATATGTCACACCTTAAAAAAATCTCAAAAGTATGTTTTGAAAACGTGAATGAATTGACTTACATTCTACTTGATCTAACATAGCAAGCATCTGATCTTCATCCATAAGTTCATCTCCACTGTCAAACATGCCATCATCATCTAAAATAATAATAATTGTAACCCCCTTATATAAATTCTTATAAAAAAATGAGTGACCTTAATTATATTTGTATTAACTGTATTATCATGTAACCTTACATTATAATGTAAATCTAAAACTGGAATAAAAAAAAAAAAAAAAATAATAATTTAATGATTATAATCAGTGGACATTGCATAGTATGCAGATTTATTGCATTTTAAAAGAAAATATACAGAAACAAACATAATCAGCACATTAGATTAACCATACAATTGCATCACATAGGATGGTGTCCAAAAGTCAACTGGTGTGAAATAACAAATTTCAGTGTGGCTTAATAATTTCATAATATGTCCTCTAAGATAACAAAAGAGCAGGCCAGAAATACTTCAAAATAGTAAATCAAATACAAGAAAGAGTTATTTTCATACTATGCCTAAAGAGCTTACACATTGAAATTAACAGTTGGAGTAATTCAGTTAGTTATGCGATATCGACTATAAATTAATAGTTTTGTGGCAATAGATACCTTGTTTCCCATGAGCTGAAGTAGTTCCCCTGGATGGATTAACTTTTGAGACATGGTTAGCTGTAAGGCTCTGCTCCTTCGTACACTGCATCGTAGCTTTGCTAGTCTGAATAGTCTGTTTACATGTAGTTTTGGGATCTGCATGCCCATGAAGCTTAATATTCAAGTTCACTGGCTGGATTGTCTTTGGCTTAGTTGTGGCGTTTGAAGTCATAATATTGCTTGATTTAAAATTAAATCGTCCTGGTTTAGCCAAACTCTGCGAAGGTACTGCTTTAGCTAAACCTTGTGACATAACTGGTGATTTCTTCTGTTGATTCGGTTTAATCTGTGCCCCTGGTTTAATACTTGTAGGCTTATTTAATGTCTGTTGTGGAAGACCAGGGGCTGGGTTTGTTAATGTGGGTTTAGGCTGGGCAGGGAATTTATAAGACAGGTCTTGTGTACATGGCTCACTGTAAGCCTGGCTGGATACACTGGTCATCTGACTGTCTAACATATCATCAGGCTCAGCTAGCTGGCACAACAAGTCATCAGTTAGACTGTCATTCCACAAAGAGTCTTTACTCTCATTCTTCCCATCTTGAACTACGTGGAGTGTGGGTTTTAGTGTAGTTTTCTGAGGTTCCTTATTCATAGTGTTTGCTGTATTGGGGTGTTGTATCTTGTCTGATTTGAGGGTTAGATTTGCCTTGTTAGCCTGGTTAAGCCTCAGTGATGTCCTACATGCGGACTGGGGTGTAGATCTGGGTGGGTTTGTAGGGAACCGTGGAGATGCTTTGTTGGGCACAGAGGTTAAAGTATGTGAAGGCTGTGCTCTAGCTCCTTGTTTAATTGTGGTCGAGACAGATGGGCCATTATTTGGTGAATTTTTAAAAGCTTGTAGCTTACTCCACGAGGTGGCTGCCATACTGTTGGATTTAGCGGTCACAGCAGATGTAGTAGTACAACTAACCTGGTTACTATGGTTACCCCTACTTTTGTGTACCAGGTCCCTGCTTGGTGCTTTTGTTGCGGTACTAACTTTTGTTAAAGGTTTAGATTGCACTATTGTGGATGAAGGCCTGGTAATTGTACAGTTTTTCGAACTAGGTATGGCTGCATTTGAAGTCTTGGTTCCTGATAGTGGGGTAAAATTTGTAGTATTAAGAGCACTTTGATTTATATTTGTTTCATCTTTTTCAGAGTTTTGTTTATGGTTTGTCAGGTTCAATACAGGTGCTGGGGAGTTATCCAGGGTGAATGTATACCTGGTACTCTTTACTCTTGGTTTGCTTGCCTCTGGCGTGCTGGCTGTCCTTCGTTTTAATGGTCTTGGTGTTTTGAATTTTTGGGTGGTTGTATCAAACAGTTCCTGGGTAGCTCTGATTAGGAAAGAATCATCATTGAATAAGTCATCATCTCCCCAATCATCATCAGCCAATGAGGTGTCAGCTTGCTCTTCAATGCTGGTATGTAACACTGCATCCGAGTAGCTGTAACTTTTTGTCTTTCTCTGAGAGCTTGGGCTGATACCTGCACCTCCTTTCCCAACCAGGGAGTCCATGTTCTCACTGGTCCGCCGAATCCTCTGAGATAACCTACAGGCAAAGATTTAATCAACATTATTGGTATGAGCAGGCAAAATGGAAACAGAGAGACCAATGTAAACAACTTCATAACTTGACTTCAACCTTATAAAATCGCTAAAATAGGGAATGGTACGGACAGGAAGAAATGAGTAGACAAAATTGGTATCTTCTCAAGCGTGGACAGTATTGGTAATTAATACAGGAGAAACCAACCAACATTGCTACAAAACAGTCATTTTAAATCATTTGTGAAGAAACAACAAACTAAATTAATCTTAAATCCCATAAAAACTGTAGTTTACGAATTCATTAACTTTGCTTTTCTACTGAATTTGTTTAAGTTACTGAAAACGCAGAATGAAATTCTATTTCCTCAATTTACTTTTATAATAAATGGTTGTATAGCTAGTTGTTCAGTCTAAGCCCCATCCATTAAACAAAGAGTTTGTGTTGGGAACTTAGTGTAAAATAAGACAGTGATTAAAGCCAAAAGAACAAATAAAGATAGCCCATACTTAACAAACTGTAGGGCATACTACACATTATGTCTAAGGCACAGTGAATGCCAAAATACAAGCTTAATGAAAATACCTTTCCAGATTTGCTTGGTCCATTGCTTCACCTTCAGATTCGCTTGCTGAAAATACAAATAATGAACGTCTCATTAAAAAGATGTTTTTCCACTGTGCCCTTATTAACAGAGGTAAATGACATCATATATTATATTCCAGGTATTCATACTTTCAAATATTTAGTGAATGAATCTACCTTGTAATATCTATATCATCCTTTAGAATTTTTTTTTAACTGTCAGTAGCAGTTGCACATATGCAGTGGAAAATGCACTGTTCAAGAATTCTCTTAATTAAGATCAAATCAGAACTGCATCCCTACCAATAAGATAAACTGATAAAAGAGAACTAAAACACATCTTCCACTTACTCTGTTGTATCATGTCTTGTAACTGACGAAGCAGGTCGCTGGACATCATTTCACCAGGTTTGGCCTTCTTCTGACCTCTGAAATATACACATCCACTCATGATAAAATATACGCAACATTTACTCTTGCAGCTACAATTAGATTCCATTAGATTCCATATATGGCACACACACAAACTTTTCAAATTCAAAGCAATACATCAATATTTATCATAACACAAGTATTGAATCTATGAAAAGGTAAATTAACATGAATATATGGCATTAACATGAAAAATGTCACCACCTGCCATTTGTTACAGTCACCAACTGCTGAACATCAACTGCTTTTGTTTTTCAATTTGAAAATTTATGCATAGGTTTGAAATAAAACAAGTACTTGCTGAATACCTTGTTATCCTTCTATAGGGGGCCTTGGTGTGATGAGACTTGCTTGAGTTAGGAGTCAGTGCCCTCTTGGCCAGAAACAGACCAAGAATGTCAGTCTCCTCATCTGTACTGTCCCCAGTCTGAACAACAAAAGAATATAATCTGTAACATAGGCTAACATTGTCTGATGGAATATATTTATTTCTATGTATTATGCATTTCTGTAGTTTACATAAGTAGGGAACAAGATGGAAAAGTTGTACTGACATTTGAAAGATGTCACTTGTGTGGTTTGAAGATATAACACATGTCACTTGTGTAGTTTTAAGATTACATGCGTCACTTGTGTAATTTTAAGATTACACGTGAGAAAATCTGTAATTTGGCCATGCATGTTTTTTTAAGTTGAGTTTGTATCAACAATCTTAACATTCATCAAACCCCATATAGAAGCTAGAAGTAGTGGTATAGTGAGCGCTTGAGTACTTGATTGGTCTAAGCAATTGTAGTTGATGTACACTGTAGTGACTGATATGTCATTTAAATATGACATGATTATTGAGCCAATAAAAGATATGTATGTTAGAAGCAATTAAAGTCTGATATTACTCATATAACTTGATATAACATGTATAAGTGTCTTACAGATTAATGGACAGGGCCTATGCAGACATCTAGGTAATATTGACTATGTAAGAACTCCATTATAGATCATTATAAGTTACTAAACATACATAGTACTAAATATAAATAAGAAAATCAAAGTGAAATACAAAAAGATATGTCAGGAAACATATATCAGTAATCAATATTTTGAGAGAAGAGGTACAGTGACACGACAAACAGGGAAGTTTTTACAAAGGTTGTATAGACCTACAAACATTTTGGCATTTGTAATGATTCAAACATTGAGATCATCATAACACAGACAGAAAGGTATTTTGTTGAGAGAAGATTCAACGGGGACAAACTAACCGTCTTAACTTTAGAAATTATTACACGCTACAGTAAAACCTGTTAAGTAGAATACTTCTATGAGTGGAACAAGTTTATTAGTAGTATAATTTCCAAACCATGTAAGCTCCCAATAACCATTAACTATATACTGATATACTTAATCAATGAACCTCTGAAAGTGGAACACCTCAAATTTTTGAGGAAACAAATGTTTTCTCAACAGGTTATACTGTATATTGATATTTGATGTGGCAAAAATCGTATTTATGATGAGTTAGAGTTTCAGCCAGTTTAATGTGTAGTTATTTCTTACCTCTCCAGCCAATGCTTTGGCTATGTTGGATATCTCCTCACTTTGTTCTGACAGCTTGCTCTGGCTCACTATAATGGTAAAAGTAGAGTGCAATCGAAATTGATTTAACTTCATCATTAAGTATAAGAATACTGTCTGAAACACATGTCTCAAAAATATTATTATTATCTGCAAACACAAAATACAGTGCTCTCAAGCACCACAATTCTGACCAAAGATTTTTAAAATATACCAATTTTTTTTCAAGTGGGCATAAATTGCACTTCAAGTGGGTGGTAGCCTATTTTCAAATCTCAAGTGGATACATCACCCACCAGTGTTTCAGTGCTGGAAAGATCACAGATCAATAGTCTTTCTAGTGGATGCAAAGGGAGGGGGGTGTTACTTACAGAACTGTATATGTCTCAATGCTTCTGGAGAATTGCAGTCCCAGCGTATCTCAGTATCATGGTCAGACCTGTAGGATGTCATCATTTCCTCCTTCAACATGGACTTCATCCTTGACCTTCTGGGAGTCTCCTGCTTTGACTGCTCCGTTTCTGGCATACTACAATATGCAGATTGCATAATCAACATTTTTTCATTAAAAAAAGTTTTTATTGTTGTTTATTTTAGGGCTTCATTCTTGACCTTCTGAGAGTCTCCTGCTTGGACTGCATAACATTTTTTCATTTAAAAGCTTTTTATTCGAAGTTTAATATATACAAAATAGAAAGGGTGAACAAGGAGCTTTCCAAAAAAAGAATGTTTTTCATTATTTAGACCAGCTTAAAGGCTAAAGTCTTGTAGTGTGTGGAATAGACCATACAATGTGCCACAGTTTCAAGCAGGTTTTAATACCTTCTGACCAATTGTATCTTCAGACTTATTCATTTCATGATTATGTAAAACTGACTTACTTTTTAACTCAACATGTTTCAAAAGCCATGTTCAACTAAAAGGTAAGTCAATATTACACAATCATGAAATGAAAAGTAGGAAGATACAAATGTATTTTTAAGTACAACATTAAATCAAAGATGATAGCTGTTTGTAACATTTATAGAAAAAAACTTACAGGTAACTCTGACCTCACTGGAAGCAGACTCAATCCAGGCATAAATATCAATGCTAGGTCACCCTGTACTTCATTTATTTGCTAGCACTCAATCTGACACACAACCACATGTAAACATGTCTAGTGGGAGACTGGCATATAAACAGGTATGTTGATTTTTAAAGGTAATGTGAAAGACTGAGTGAATATGTTTACATTACATTCAATGGTAAAAATCAACAACATTCAACTGACATTCACACTGTTTGAAGACTGCACATTCCATGATCACATTACAAACTGCACGCAATAAACTAGTGTGTAGCAAGAGAGATAACACTAAACTGAACACAATTATAAGCAACTGTGAAAACTACTGGAACACAATGCAGATGTTACGGCATTCAATTAATAAAATCTCTCCCATCTGCAGGGTTGGGACGGCAATATCAAACTCGTCAAAATGTAAGGAAATAGCTTTTGCCATTGCAAAAAGGTGTCTGGTCTCAGGAACATTAGATGATGTTATCATTCGTGAAGCTCAGATTGAAGACCATGGAGCCGTCATGGCAATCCAGCCAAACTTAAACGAAGGCATGGACTCCCTCAATGAGTACTTCCCAAAGTATTTGGCGAACCATAGCTATAAATGTTATGTGGCAGAGATGCATAGGAAACTCCTGGCATACATGCAGTACCTGACTGTAGATGGTGGTCACACAGTTGTGATCTGTGAAGACCGTGTTAAGGATGACGTTAAACCCCCAGAAGTGCATGAACTTTTGAGAGGCTACACTATGGACAAAATCAAAGCAAACAGTCCAAAGTTGGAAAACATTTACTCCATGAGGTTAATGGAAGACCCTGGAGGTTTACACGATATTGGAAAGCGTCGCTGGTCTACTTTCAGGGCTACAAACCTGACACCTATTGTCTGGAGTGGTGTTAAAAACACTCAACTGATAGCCCATGACAAATTCCTTGACATTATGCATGATCCCGAGACATGCGAGCAACTGTTTCCTGACAAACGCATTGTGAGTTTCTGGGAGGTGTTTGATACAGTGAAGGGGGTCGAGACTAATATAAGCCATATCTTGAACCAGTCATGGGTGTATGTGACCTACACAGACAACCCAGTCAACAAGGCAACTATAGCACTCAGTACAGGCACGCCTGCAAGATGTGAGAAAGGTCTGCGTCTTGACATTGATTTCTATGGTGACCGCTTGGATGACTTTAAATCGCACATCGTAGCTCATTGTCAAAGAGCGATCCACTATAAGGAGCACCACGAATCATTGGTCCCTGTTCTTTGCTTCCCAGCGATATTAGATGTTAAGCTAGTGGAAGATTATTGCGTGAATACTTTAGGATGGAACAGTGGTCCAATGTCCAAGGATAAACCACTCTTTGAACCCACTAAACTTCATGGAAACTAAATTAGCAGAATCAGGATATTAGTTTGAATATTAGCTTCAAATGATGAGCAAATAGCCCAAAATGTAAATAGCCTAAAATTGATGAAACAAATGTCTTGTTGAAAAAACTATTAATGTTTTATATATGAGTGAGGGAGATTACATCTTGAGATAGCCTAATCTATTTACACAAAACAAAAATACATGTAATACACATTTGGCAATTTCTTGAATATTAAAATACTTCTTTGTTTTTACAGAAAGTACCACAGTGGCAATTGACCCCAAAGTACTCCCAATACTATACACAATGTATAAAATTATATTTACCTTTTCATGGATCCAACAGATTTTGGGGAAAATGTCTCTGGAACAACATTTTTTGGAATAGAGTCTATCTCCTCCTTTTCTTTCTTCAGTTTCCTTTCTTGTAAGCAATGCCTCTCAGCTCTCACGTCTGAAATATTTTCTCTCTTTGCCAGCAATGGGGAGGTTGACAGTAGAACAATATCAGCATTCTCTCCAGATCTCTCGTCTTTTAATGATTCTGAAAAATAAAGTTGAATATATATAATATGTCACACTGAATTCCAAACTATTTCTCCCAAAATTAATGCATTTTTGTGGTGAGAGAAAACTCGGGAGAGTGACACATGTTTGTACAGCAATTAATACAAAGTAGGCTCAAATGTTTCAGTGTTGGCAATATATTTCTTCATAAATTAAAAATTCTTCTCATAAAAAATATATTTCACAAGACCAGAGAGACTTCAAAAGATGGCAGCACTGATAATACCTAAAGTTCTAAGTCAGAAGAAGTGAGTAGCTCCCATAATTCTTTGGTATTGGCTTGGTATTCATGAACATAATTTGAGCCAGGCCATGGGAAAAGGGGTCTTATCACAGATTTTTTTGGAATTTAGCATATTTTCCTCTTAATTTTGGGCACATTTTTGGCTCTGTAGCACAATTCTAATTTTAGTGATAGTGATAAGACCGTTTTTTATGTCGAAGCTCATTTTTTTCTAAACTATGGTAATAATATTTTAGTTACTCCATTATTTGTAGAAAATAATCATAAACCAACAACTAACATTCAGAGATCAATTTCAATGGCAAATGAGACCTCTTAATAAAATTGATAATCGAATGTGCCAGTACAAACAATCATCATTGGAAATCTCCCCCAACCTGGTTCCAAGTGATATACTTTTTGACTTTTAAAATGAACTCCAATTCAGGAAACAATAAAATACGAAATCAACTTTTATGTATCAACTTTGGGGAGGTGAGTACATTCTGAACTTAATGCAGTCATCATTGGAGTCACATGTTATTTTCAGGAATAAACAACTTGTTTCATCACACCTATAGCCATCAACAATGTACATTGACAAAATCTGCGGGTGTACACTTTAGCTGTATGTTATGCAAAAATTATGGTGTAGGTTTTAAAAGATTTATCTAAGGAATTTGATGAAGTATTTCATTTTTGATTTCATGTGCATGCTCTTGGCAAGACTTATTTTTTATTCCGTTAGTAGATACTGGAGCAGTGCTTGAAGTTTTTCTAGGTAATTCCATCAACATAATTGACCAGTTGGAAAATGTTGGTTATATTCACATGGATGTGGGTGGAAATACCTAGAAAAACTCATGCTCTGCTCGAGAATTTGTTAACGTAATAAGAAAATTAAAAGTATTGCCAAGAGCATGCACATAAAATTAAAAATTAAATACTTCATTATATTCCTTAGATAAATCTTTTAAAACCTACATCACAATTTTTTTGCTTCAAACAGCTAAAGTGTACACCCATATATTTTGTCACTGTACATTGTCGATGGTTAGGCATGTTCATATACATTTCTACATCTTTCACATTTGCACAAAGAGTGCACTAAGGTACCTAAAACAGTGCAGTGAATAACTTTTCTATAAGTTGTGTAAAAATGAGGAAATAAAGTGAATTCCTTAACTGTGTACTTTTTAAAAGTAAGTCACTGAATTTTCTCATTTTTCATACATTTTACAAACAAAATATTCTCTTCACTCTTCTATTGTGCATTAGTGCACTCTTTGTGCAAATTTGAAAGATGTAGACTGTAAGGTTTTAGTCTTCTTTTTAGGTTTGTTTAACTCGCAAGAAAGTCTGACTGAAGTCATAGATGGCAGTCAGAATTTCTTTGAACATCTTAGGTGCTCTAAATTTAGAGACGATCATGTGTAACGTGAAGCTGGAAGTCATACACTTCGCACATTAAGTCTGTTCCTCATTTACTTCATGAATGCTTCCTAATGGACTTATACAAGAAACCATTTCATATGCGATGATTACCGTACTCTAAACTTGCACTTGGTAATGATAAATCTGCTACATGCAACAGTTTTCTTGCATGAGGTCATCTGACATAGACTGTCTAACTCTCATTGTCAAGCGTGAGATCACAAGAACTAACTGATTGAAGGTTCAATACTTGAGAAGCTTTGGTTATTTTTGTGGATTTACATCTTTGCGGCATTATCAATGAACGCCACTGGACATTGGGTGAAAACAAAGTAGCCTAAACCAATATCAAAGTTTGACGATCAAAAAAGGAAGTGAGGCAATGCTCATTTTGAACCTTTCATGTTTATTACAGAGACAAGCATACTTTTCCATTGAAAACCATTGATAGATCCAGTATAAGCGTCAAAACAAGCTGAAATTAGGTAAATAAAAAAGGTAGACCACTTCTCACTCCAGCCTCTTTCAGTTTTTAGGGAATGAGCAATATAGATCTATTACCTGTTGTTTTTGCACGAGTTTTCCTTCGGGAAGAAGGATCCTTCGTCGACAAACGTGTCTTAGGTGGCATAATAAACCAGCTTGGCAATATATAAGATCGAGTTTTATGAGGATATCAGCGTATTCATTGCAAAAACCTGAAATAAACTTAAAAGTTTAAATCAAATATGGCCGCTTTTGCTACAGCGAAAGTACGAGCGTACAGTTTATATGTGGATTCGATATGTTCGCAAAACCTGAAAACATTATTCGTATCATTGAGCATATATTTTCCCAAATAAGTGTTATTTTTTTCTCAAGTTATTCAATATATATTGAGATATACTATTTTTTCCAATTAATGTGCTGAAAGAACATAATTTATCTCAAATTTATATTTTTTGATCCGGAAATTATGAAATCATTTTGTTCGTATTTTTGTAACTTTCTTAAATAGAAGTAAAAAGATCAGAGATTTAGACTTTAGATGTAGAGTCTACTGAACACACAGGCACAAGGACCTCTGTCTGCTCGGTAGAGTAAACTATAGCCGATGTATATCTTTTGAATGTAACACGTACATTAGAGATGTAAGTCTCACCAAAAGGAAGAAGAAGTCAACAAGATATTTGTACAGTCAGCACCATCTATCTAATATCTAATACAATAGTCTAATAACTGAATGATGAAGATTGATAGTGCTCACTTTGTATATAGTATTGTAAGGGCATCAGAAGGATTTGCCAAGGGATGGGGTGGGGTGACTTTTGGGAATGGATGGGTCCATTCGTGAAGCGCGCCGCATGAAGCACAATCTGGGAGATCGGGGGTATGCCCTCAGAAGATTTTAAAAAGACCCTTTCTGTTTCATTCCGAACATATCTCAGCACAACATTCACAATAATAAAAACAAGGGGGGAGGCGGTTGCCCCTCTTTCGACGCCAATGTGATGTTCGTACAACATGAAAGAAACTCCCGTTTCCCGCTTTTAGAAAAATTGACTTTTACTTAATATACATTTTGCTTTAGCTCTAGAGCTTTCAATTCTAGGCTGGGTTTCAAATTTAAAAAATCTTGGAAAGGGGGGGGTGGGGGGCGGTTGCCCCCAACGCCCCCCAACGCCCTCCCCCTTCTGACAACAAACCTCAAGAGAAGGCCAAGGGTCCTTGGTTTGATTCCAATATGCATGTATGGGGCAATTGATGAAGAAATTGAAAGAAAGTGTGCTACATTCAATTCCCCGCGTGGGAATCGAACCAAGGACCCTTGGAGCCGAAGTCTGATGCTCTACCGACTGAGCTATAAAGGCTTAAGCCACTACAGCTGGACTGTAGTAGAAACTTGCTATCAAGGGTCGTTACATTACATCTCCCCTCTCTTCTAGAGTCATTACAGATCCATGTAGTCCTGGTCAAGACAATGTAGCTTTACTGGTAGTTAATGTGCTGTGTTTATCTACAAAATTCAAAGTTCAATCAGATATCTACAACGATGCATATATACACATAGTTGATAATGACCTCATATACACGTTATGTACAGAATATATATACTGGATGAGCTCAGACCAATTTTTAGCTTACGGTATTGCATTTTTCGAATTATGTTAATTATGTGTTGTATATCATTTCTCATTGATTTTGAAAATAATAGGGTCTAGTTTTTCAGCCTCTTCGAATTATTGCCATTTATACCCCCTGGCTACTTTTATGAAGGGGTACTAGAATAAGCATTAATAATTTCTGTGATATCCCTCCAATCACATTAATATTTCTAGGGATCATGTATCTATGTATAACTAGTTACCATAACAAATCTAATCATGATTGGTCAAGTGGTTGCCATGGCAACAAAACTTAAGTGCGAAAAACTGTAAATATTTCAAATAAATCCATCAGATCTTTAAAAGGTAAATGACTGCTTATCTCTTCAGATTGGACCAACTGACATAAAGTTGACTTTAAAAACATATTTAAGGAGTTTTCAACAAGACAACATGATTACAAAGATTAGTTTAATGAAATCTACGACTCTAGTCCGTAGTCATATTTTGCCACTACCATTCACAATACTCAAAAGTGGGCGTGGCACTTTCAGGTAACAATCCTAAGTAACTTCTGTTATCTACCTCCTATCACATTCATACTTTCAGGGAGTATGTATGTGTATGTAGTTAATTGATACAGCAAGTTTGATCATGTTTGGTGAAATCGTTGCCATAGCATCACAACTTATGTGCAAAAAAGTGCAAACATTTTGATAGATCCACCACCAATGATTTCATATTGCACAGTAAGTTTGAAAACATATTTAGGTCGTTGTTTATAAGTAAGCATGGTTGAAATCATCTGTAAGTCAATGTTGCCATCTCAAGATTGATTTTTAATGTTAACAACTGTGTATAGTGGGCGTGGTACATTCAGGTAACAAAAACCAACCATCTTATTTAATAAGGCACTATCAGTATCAACTACCTGTATATCAACACAGTTAACACGTGTACATATAAGATATTCCATTTAGGTAAGTTAAAACTTTATTGCTGTAATGATGTCAACATCCATAATCTAAGAATTCATGTTATTAACTAAATAAGATGTAAAAATAATTTATTTTTTGTATCAAATTTAGCAATTATGACTAACAAAATGTTAATAACGTTTCTTTTTCATATTGAACGTTTAAAAGTATTTATATACCTACAAATAAATGGAAAATGCTAATTATATTCACTAACATATTATGTAATACTGTGTTTCTTTATTGATGAATTTTTTCATAATTTTCCTTCTGTGCAAATTGTATAGAAGCACCCATAGGTGACATAACAGATTGAGGTTATTGCAGATATTATTGAAGAAGTGAAAGGTGCAGGTTAGTGATTTTGATAGGTGCAGGTAAGTGATTAATTTAGGTAAGTGATTAATTCAGGTAAGTGATTAAACAGACACCAAAGTCATCCTCCATACTATCTATTCTGCTGGACACTCTGATAAACCACTAGTTGTTCGTTCTGTTGATACAGATGTTTTACTACTCCTGATGAAATATTCGAGTCACATAAAACAGAACTTACTGATGAATGTTGGAACAAGTGACAAAAGGAGAATTCTAGATATACATGCAATTGCAGCATCCCTTTCATCTGACCTCTATGAGGCCCTTCCAGGATTCCATGCGTTTACTGGTTGTGACTCAGTGCCTTTGTTCGCAAAGGCAAACTCCTACTGCTGTGCCTCATGAAAAGTGAGAAAGTATTCCTGCACCTGTTCATTTCTCTAGGAACAACTTTAGAGTTAACCAAAGAACAGATGGATAAGCTTGAACATTTCGTATGTCTTATGTATGACAAAAAAAACTAAGCTAAGGAATATTAACAAGTTACGTTGTTCTCTGTTCCAACAGTGGTACACCCCCAAATCAAATGTGACAATATCATATGAAGGGACAGACTTATCCCTTTTGCCACCATGCAAAGATTCCCTAATGCAACATGCACGTCGTGCAAACTACCAAACCTACATATGGAAGAGTGCTCATATATAGCAAAACCAGATATTGAAAATCCCAATGCTCATGGGTGGAAGGAGACCAACGAAGGGCTGCAACCTAGTTGGTCATCTCAGCCCATTATACCAAATGAGCTGATTGACATACTTGCTGATCAGATTGCTGCTGAAGCACTTGGTAAAGCAAATGAGAACATCAATGATGCTGATGAGTCCATCAATGCAGCTGATGTATTAAGTGAGTAAACTGATTTCTTTGCAGTCTATTAAATCAGTAGTTGCTTATGTTGAAGGCTTTGTGTACAGAAGTCTAAATAACTGACATATGATGAAACATGTCATGAAGTTACTCATTCAGTTACCTTTAGATATTAATATGTAGTTAAGATAATTAGTTAAGGACATAATGTTGTAAATGTAGTATGTAGTAGAGGTGTCAAGTATTAACCGGTTAACCGGTTAACCGCCGATAATGCCTTGACCGGTCTGAGTTTTATTGGGCGGTTAGTTGACCGTGTATAATTCTGTTATTTCCCGCGCTTATTTTGCATGCCAATCCGTTTGGTTTTATGGTGTCAGTTTCACGTAAGCTACTCATACATGCCATAAGTCCCATAACTCCTTACAAACATCCAATCAGCAACTTTAATCCCTGCCACATTGCTTTCCCGCGCTTACTTTGCATTTTAATCTGTTTGTTTTTCAAGCGTCAGTTTCATGTGAGCTACTCATACATGTGATAAGTCTGATAATTCCTTACAAACATCTAATCAGCAACTTTAATCCCTGCCACATTGCTTTCCCGCGCTTACTTACATAGAATAGCGTAAAGCTTGACGAACGTAAAAAATAAACGCCGATATATCATTTTTCCAATTTTTTTTACAACTTTTAAGATCGAAGATGAAGATTTCATTTGAAATTATAAGTTCAAATTTCCCGCCGGTTAACCGACTTTAACCGGTAAAAACCCCCGGTTAACCGGTTAATGCTCAAGCGGTTAATTGACACCACTAGTATGTAGCATAGGCATTAGAACTGGATTTGGAAGAAAAGCAATGAACAATGCAAAAATCAATCCAAATGAACTATATATCTATAAATCAATACTTACAGTACACAAGCCAAAAATAGTATATTAACAAAGCCATTCATTTATGTTACCATAGCAACCATTTACCATTAACTAATCATTCGAATCATGTTGTTTTATAGAAAACACAACTTTATTTTGATTGGTTTAAGAGATTAGTAGTAATTCACTTGTCATTTCGAAATAACTACATTTTTGCATATAAGTTGTGTTGCCATAGCAACCATTTTACCAAACATGATCAAACTTGCTGTATCAATTAACTACATACACATACATACTCCCCGAAAGTATGAATGTGATAGGAGGTAGATAACAGAAGTTACTTAGGATTGTTACCTGAAAGTGCCACGCCCACTTTTGAGTATTGTGAATGGTAGTGACAAAATATGACTACGGACTAGAGTCGTAGATTTCATTAAACTAATCTTTGTAATCATGTTGTCTTGTTGAAAACTCCTTAAATATGTTTTTAAAGTCAGCTTTATGTCAGTTGGTCCAATCTGAAGAGATAAGCAGTCATTTACCTTTTATGGATTTATTTGAAATATTTACAGTTTTTCGCACTTAAGTTTTGTTGCCATGGCAACCACTTGACCAATCATGATTAGATTTGTCATGGCAACTAGTTATACATAGATACATGATCCCTAGAAATATAAATGTGATTGGAGGGATATGACAGAAATTATTAATGCTTATTCTAGTACCCCCTCATAAAAGTAGCCAGGGAGGTATAAATGGCAATAATTCGAAGAGGCTGAAAAACTAGACCCTATTATTTTCAAAATCAATGAGAAATGATATACTACATATAATTAACATAATTCGAAAAATGCAATACCATAAGCCAAAATTTGGTCTGAGCTCATCCAGTAATAATGAGAAACTTTGATTTATAGATAACTGTGACACTACTGTACAGTACAAAGTCCATGTTATGGCAAAGTACAACATCTAGGACTCTAAGCAAGACTATTCCCCTGCAAAGTGCCACCAGGACCAAGAATAATGTCCCAGGGGCCTGTTGTGCAAATTCAGGCTGGAACATCCTTAAGGGGGAAGCAGGTGTATGCAAAGGAACCAAAGAGACCAGTGAACGCATTCTTGGGCATAAGATATGGAGAAGCCCCCATAGGTCAACTGAGGTTCAAGCCTCCTAAGCCTGCTGGCATATGGCAGGGGGAGAGGGATGCTACACAGTTTGGTAATTGTGTTTTCTCAGAATATTTTAATCATAATACTATAAATTATAAAAGGCTCAGAAACTGATAATGAATTCATTGTAGAAATAATTGATAATGTGTAATAAGTGAAAGTGATGTTTATTTAGTAATGAAACAAGTAATAAGTCATACTGAACAGTACATTTTCCATTCTTTTGTGGTCACCAGAGTATACATACAGTAAAACCTGTTCAAGTGGACACCTTCCATGGTACTTCTAACAGTGTTCCACTTGGAAGGTGTTGCACTTTTAGAGGTTCATTTAACAATAAGTCATTTGGTCTTGGGACTGAATATTGTTCCACTCACAGAGGTTTTCCAATTCTAGAGGTGTTCCACTTTACAGGTTTCACTGTACATACATGTACACGAATGTAGGTTGTATAGAATATAGATAGCACAACTAATTTGCATATAATAATAAGAAATCTTCTCTGTAGGCCCAGCCGCCAGTCAGAACATCAAAAACACCCAAGCTGGCAGCAGACCATTCCGTGTTATGAGTGAAACTTCAGAGGACTGTCTGTTCTTAAATGTGTGGACCCCAAACATGAACCCTAATGCTAAACTGCCTGTTCTGTTTTGGATTCATGGAGGAGCTTTTGTTGAAGGTAATATATATACTATTGGTAACAGTTATTTTGCATTGCATTATGAAGTTTGTATTTACATACTGAGTAGTTTCTTTGTTATTATGGTATTCACAAAATGTTATGAGGTTAGTGCCAGAGAAATCCAGCAAAAATAACCATAGAGCTAATCCACAATATAAAACTAAGAGATTAAGTAATTATTGAAAAATTACTGTGTGGCCATATTTATTATCAAATCACATTTGAATGAATTGTGCCTTTTTACATCAGAATTGACAACTATTTATGAAATGTTACCATTTGTGTTTTCTCGATATGTGATACATTTTTACAATGCAATTTTACTTTTGCAGGTACAGGTCAGATCTACCATGGCACTGCAATATGTAACTACCAAGATGTGGTCGTCATCTCTATCAACTACAGACTTGGAGCCATGGGTAAATATGACATACATCAAAGTGTCCACAGTTTTTTTTGAGTGGGTGTATAATAGACTAGATGCGAGTAGAAATGATCTTGATTTACGTCATTAAATATTCAAAATTCAATCAAAGTGATGTCATATTTGAAATCTACATGTAAAAATACATTTAAAAATATGGTTTCGTAAATTGTTTATGAACTTTGAAAATTTAATCTTTTTTGAAAATGTGACTTCTAGTTCGGGTTGATTCCCCATAGACCCCATATTATAAAATCACTGCATCACTGCATCATGTACAATTTATTATGTCACCACCACAAGTGGTGACATGTTGTTATACAAGTAGTTTCCAACTTTTTTGTGGACGATGTTCAGACCTTGGTGGTTGGCATTACATGTAGGTGTCTGCACTCTGTAACAAATGGCATTTTGCATGTTAATGCAAACATTTTATTCATGTTATTGTTACAAACAATTTTTAGTTAAAAGCCTTAACCACCCACCCACCAAACGAAATCAATTATATGTTAATTTTGAGGCTTGAGATTTTAATACGCCAAGTTATTGCCCCTATGTCTCTTTTATATCCATAGTAGATGGGATGCTAAATTTTCACTACAACCATGCACATCTATAATTCTGCAAGATAGTTCAAATAGCCACAGAAGCACTTTTTGTAAACTGTTAGAATGATACCTGTATTATAAACAAAGGTTCAGAAGTTGGGTTTGTCATAAAATACATGTATTTTGCTGTCAAGTGATTTTGAATGTTACTTAACATCACATGCATTAACTACATGTACTTGTTTAGGATTTTTCACAACTGGTGATGCAGTTGCCCCTGGAAACCTTGGTTTCCTTGACCAGATTGAGGCTCTCAAGTGGACACACAGACACATACATAAGTTTGGTGGAGACACGAGCAATATAACAATCAGTGGTGAAAGTGCAGGTATGAACATTTTCATCTTTATTAGCCCATGTCACCACCAACAAGTGGTGACATAATGTTATACTAGTAGTCTCCAACTTTTTTTATGGACAGTGCTTGGCAGTTGGTGTTCATTGTTCGACAGTCAGCATCTGTAACAAATGGCAGGTGGTGACTTTTACATGTTAATGCCTTGTTTAGGTTACTTTGGTCATGGGATGTAACCATAACCTTAAATGCCATCAGTGGTATATATTACATAGCCTGCCCTCAACAAGCACCAGGCTCCCTTTATTGCCTCTAAGTTCAAAAATAAAAAAATGTATGAAGTAAAATGTTTGCTCTTTGCAGGTGCTATGTCTGTAGGTTTCCTAATAATGTCACCTTTGGCAAAGGGACTGTTTAAGAGAGCCATCTCCCAGAGTGGGACAGTCACATACCCCAAGGACGCTTACACTTACCAGGAGATAACAAGAATCATAGATAGAAAATTGAAAAGATTAGGTATTATCAGCATTTATTTTTATGAGAATGATTAGTTAAGTTGTGTAAGTATATTGTATTATTTTTTGAATTGCAATGTAGTAAGTACATCAGCTATGGACCAAGTGTAAAATTTCTTCCGGGATGTTAATAACCTATTTATTTCATGAATACGAAATTGTATACGGGAATTTGATGAATAAGGGTCCGATTGAAAAAATGAAATTCACTTCTTTTTCTAGCAAAAACATCATTGTGTAGTGGTAGGTATTTCAGCAGGCCCATAGCCAGGATTTGCCAAGAGGGGTTCATTTTTTCAAAAATTCCAGGGGGGTCACTTCAGACAACTTTGGCCTAAAAATAATGTCCAAAATCACGTGAAAAGTGCCAAGTGCCCCCCCCGAACCCTTGGCTACGGGCCTGTACAGTCAAATTGAATAACTTTCTCTCCATGAGACCTTTCATGGCCTTTGATTTCAAATGTGCAAACCCCTCAATTTATTTATTTCAGGTTTTAAAGGTCAGACAAGTCAAGAGAAGCTGGACTTCTTGAGTGGAATGTCTGCTAAACATATCAACACAAAAGTGTCTTTATTCTTTGGTCCCCCAGTCATAGATGGCACATTCCTTCCTGACTCCCCTAGCAACCTCTATAAGCAGGATAGATACAATAAAGTTGACTATATCATTGGGTTTAACAGCCATGAGGGATTTCTAGTGACGAGGATGGTGTATGCGGGTCTTGGAATAGAGTTCAAGTTGGATGATAGAGCTACATTCAAGCAGTACCTACGGAGGCTAGTGTTACATAACTATAGGAATAATCAGGATAAGATCACAGATGCTATAATGGAGGAGTACGTCGGGGACTTTGACTTCAGAGATAGTGAACGTGCGACACAATTGTTCAGTGATATCTATGGGGATATGATCTTCATCTCACCCAGTCTTGCTGTAGCAAAAGCACACTCAGGTGAATATTACAATTAAAGGTTTTGGTTATCATAGAGTCACCACTTCCTGATTGATATTGCCTGTAATTAAGTAGCCTTATCCTGACTCAACCATTCTGGATCTGACCAAGCCTGATTTGGCCTGAACCCTCACTTTTAAATTTTTATGTCACCACCAAAAGTGGGGATACAATGCTGTTCTCAAATTTTGTGACAGCATTCGGTGGTTGGGGTTTGGAGTTTGGCGGCTACAATGACAGGTGGTGACATTTTTATTATATAGTTTTATACATTTGATAAAGGCAGTGATAAACCCATTTCCTCAGGATATGTCACGTGCGCATGCATTGCTTTTTCCAATGTGTCACAATATGAAATAAAAAACTATACAACCATAACTTATTTTATGAGAACATTCTATTTTAATCTTACTTCAAGTCTCTAGACCCCCTTTTTTACTTTACCCTGTAAATAAGTATGAGGGGGGGGGGGGGTGTTCACACAAGGGCTCGTTGTTAGACTAATTAAATTTTGATATAATTACAGCATGTTGTGACACCTATATCTACATGTATGACCATAGGCTGAGGGTCTCTCCAAAGCCAGAATGGATAAAGGCAGATCATGGAGAGGAGTTAGTGCTTGTATTTGGTGAGCCCCACCAAACATCCTTTCCTCAATACTTCACCGAAGAAGAACAAAGTTTGAGCCACACCTTCATGTCTTATTGGGCCAATTTTGCCAAGTCAGGGTGAGTGTGACTATCTGATTAAGAATATGAATTAAATGATCTGTCAAAGTAACACACTGCCAATCTCAAACTGCATCAAACAGCGCTGTTTTTGAACAGTGCTGGACAGCGCTGTAAAAACAGTTTTGTACTACACTGTTCAAAACAGGTGATGCTAGAATAGCACTTTACAGCGCTGTACATTAAAGATTTGCAGGGAATAATACTTACTGCATCACTTTTTTGAATCAGTGAATTCATTGAACAAGATTTACTTTCCAAGGTTTTATACTCTCAAATTATAATTAACTCTTATACTTGGAGAACTCTGAGGTAATTTTATAACTATTAACACTCAGAGTGACATGAATGGCGAAATGTTGATGACGAAGAATTTTTTATGATACATGTACAGTGAAACCTGTAAAGTGGAACACCTCTAGAAATGGAACATTTCCTCAGTAGAACACTTTTAGATGTACAAAAGATGTTCCACTTGAATAGGTTTTACTGTACATCTATTAACGGTTAAAACAGTTTGTAATCCAAAACTTATTCTCAATGAGTTGGAGATTAGAGAACCTTATAGTTCAAGAAGTAGTAATATGTCGTAATGGTATTTCAGAAATCCGAATGGTTCTGGTCTCCCAAAGTGGCCGAAATTCAATAAATCTGAAGAATATATGAACATTAACACAAACCCTCAGTCCAAGAGAAAGTACAATGCTACTAGGATGGCTTTCTGGACTGACACTATTGGACAGTTAGAGAATGGACATTTTTCAAAATATTGAATTATAACAGGAGCTTAGTATCATTGATCTAGCAATTTAAGTACCACAATTAAAACAGATATGATGAGATTTTTAAAGAATTGCCGATAAAACAATGTACTATAGTTGTATTGTAGCTCATTATTTTACTTAACAGTATTAGACAGGTTCAAGGGCAGCATTTAAAACTAATATATTAAATTGCTAATATATGGAACATTATTTTTACATGCTATGAATTTTTATGTTTTCTGTAATCTTTTTTAAATGTATCCTTTACATAACGTTCGTCAAGATTCTATTTTCCTTGTGTACAACACCAAATCCTGTGATAAAGCACCAGCCATCTGAACCATTGGTCACCCAAATAGAATCTCTATAAGTAAATGAGAGGTCCAAGCGAAAGTCTATCATAATGTCTACTTATTACTGAACGTACACTACTGAGTCAAGTATATAGATGTCATTGTGCCCATTATGTCAAGTGCAAGGTCACCCAATAGCATCTCAGTAGGTAAAGCAAGCCACAAGGAATCCAAGCAAGCCTATCCTATTAAAAATGTTTAATTCATTACTGAATGTACACAACTGGGTCAAGTTTGTAAATGTCAGTTTATCAAGTCCAAGGTCAGATCACTCAAAATCATCTCCATTTAATTAAAGCAAGCCACAAGAGGTTCAAGCAAAGGTCTATCATAATATGTTATTTATTATGAATGTTTATCTCTATCAAGTCAAGTAGCTGGTGTCAAGTTCAAGGTATTTATTCCTGTAAAGTTGCAATGTGACTGACATGTTCAAAGTCCACCATGTTTTGCAGTTAATGTTCACTTCTCTATTGAAGATATATAGACCAGCTATTGTACTTCAATTATGCAAGTATTAACAGGATAAAAAACAAATTGGATTGATTTTGACATAATAGGAATACAACATGCGTATAATGTATTCCAGTGTAGTTTAAAATGGATACATATAAATTACACCTGAGAAATAACTTAAGTCTAAACATACTTATTGAGAATATCAAAACATCATGTCTGTCAAAGACCCAATAATTGAACTAGACTCTGGGACATCTCTTAAGGGAACTATCGTCTATGCTGCCAAACCTCTTAGGCCTGTTTATGCATTCTTGGGTATCCCCTATGCTGAACCTCCTATTCATAAACTCATGTTTAAACCACCACTACCAGCAAAATTGTGGAAAGGTGTTAGAGATGCAAGTTCCTTTGGTAAGTGTTCTTTAAATACTTAAGTTCAAGATTATACACTATAGGGAAAATGTATGTGGGACTCTCTTTACTATTGACTAAATGTTTTCTTACAAATGCTGCAGTGCTACAACATAACTTTTAGAGTAAATGATTAATTGGCTTTAGAAAAGAGGGATTTGAATCTCATTTGCATTGGTAAACATCTTTGACATGTTTTGGCTGCCAAAATTAATTTGCATCACTAAGCCATATATTGATTGCGTTTTGGCAAGGATTAATGAGTATTGAAGGACATCACTGATATTCTTGCAGGACCTGCTTGTCCACAAAACATGAGAGTGACACAAAAGGATAACTGGCCCATACACATAAATGATGAAACATCAGAAGACTCCCTGTTCTTGAATTTGTGGACCCCAGATATAAGTACAGCTGCAAATCTTCCTGTTGTCTTCTGGATCCATGGAGGTGGTTATATACAAGGTAATTACATTTTACAAGCTTCAAAATCATGAGGTGGGATCTTACCTGGGCTTTCAATAAATCTCTTCTTTTGTTTTTTCTATTGTTTGTCAATTTGCTTTAATGTGAAAAGGTAGAAATCTAACCAGTAAATGCTCTGTTGGACGATTTTGGCTTTAAATCATATATCCTAGATAAACATTAAAAGTCTTAAAGTATTTATAACTCATAACATGGTGGAGCAGCAAATTTGATATTTTTTAGAAATGTAATCATTGTGAATTTAACTGAATTGGACAATTTTGGGTCCTCTCTAAAAGGTGTTATCAATTTTCATAGAATCTTGGCAAAAGCCAATTTCTTAGAGTATATGGTTTCTAGGTGTTTCTTAAGGTCTTATTCTATGTGTTTGATTCCAGGTTCTGGTCAGATCTACCAGGGCACAGCTCTCTGCAATTTTCATGATGTTATTTTGGTATCCATTAACTACAGACTGGGAACATTGGGTAAGAGTCTTAGACCCGGTGTAAAAGGGCAGGTGGTGCTATCAAATTTTGGTCCTACTCTCTATTGATTTATATGGTGACCTAATTACAATTATTTTCCTTTTTATCTATACACAGTGAGGGCCAGTAAGGGCCGTAAGGAAAGGGGACCATAATCCCCAGGGGACCATAATTTCTTCTACACCGGGTCTTAGATTACATGAATACAGATGCATTGTATGGTAGAATATTTCGAAGCATTTATACATTACAAGTAAGATATTGAAATTGATTAACATATCCCCTCAATTCACCAAATAGGCTACTTCACAACTGGTGATGCAGTTGCCCCTGGAAACCTTGGATTCCTTGACCAGATTGAGGCTCTCAAGTGGACACACAGACACATACATAAGTTTGGTGGAGACAGTAGCAATATAACAATCAGTGGTGGAAGTGCAGGTAAAATATTAATGAATAAAAGGTTCTTGGTTGATTTTAGTTTTTTCTGTCGTTGCCAATTGTGTTTTTCTACATGTACCTTGCTTTGAAATACTTTACACAATGTCTTATTCCTTGTCATTAATAAGTACATGTATGGGCCAAGGAGAATTGGCTCCCAGAATGCAACATTGATATTTTCGCCATATATGGGCATGTCATGATTACAAAATTCGAATTCAAACAGCCACCATTTTGTTCACTTCAAATTCTAATTTTGAATTTGGGTCTTATTTCTGAACAAAAAATTCCAAAACTTGATCGAGATATTGGTTCGAATCTTTTGGACTGTTTATTTTGAATTCATAGTCGGTTATAGATTCAGAAAATAACGACATTTTCATTTTTCCTGGGAGCCAATCCTCCTTGTGTATGGGCATTGCCAGGCAGGAGGCAGGTGAGCCTGGAGGTGAGGAAACTGTCTCACCACTGAAACTTTGAAGATGATGTCTAATAGGAGTTTTATCTTCACCTTGATATGCCTTGACAATGTTCAAACCCTAACAATGCCCCAACAATATATTCACCCTCAATATGATTGCAGAGATTCTTTTATTTTACAGGAGCTCAGTCTGTAGGTTTCCTAATAATGTCACCTTTGGCCAAGGGCCTGTTTAAGAGAGCCATCTCCCAGAGTGGGACTGTCACATACCCCAAAGACGCTTACACTTACCAGGAGATAACAAGAATCATTGATAGAAAATTGAAAAAATTAGGTAATCTGTAATATTTTTTTGTAATGGACTATTTGTACTATAAAGGTCTTTTGATTGATATCTACATTCCATTTTATCAACCGCTAGTCTGTCTATCCCTCTGTCAGTCTTTCCATTCAATAATGATTGGACAAATGAACAACATTTATCTGATCTAATGCTCTTTACCATTTTATGGGCTCCATACTGGTAACTAACAGAACAACATTGTAATTTTACCTCATTTTAGAGAAATCAGCCTTTTTGTATCAAAATATCAGTAATAAATAAAACAAGTACTATATGGTCTATATTGATGTCAAAAGAAGTTTTTCAAAACTGCTACACTGTAGTAAGTAAACTGAATCACCTCATATGATGTTAGAGCCTTTAATGAGATCACAAAATATGAATTTTCCAGGATTTAAAGGTACATCTAGCCAAGACAAGCTTGATTTTCTTAGTAGGATGACAGCCTCTGAAATCTTGACGAAAATACCTTTGCTCTATGGACCACCAGTAATAGATGGCGTGTTCCTCCCTGACTACCCTTATAATCTCTACAAACAAGGCAAATACAATAAAGTGGACTACCTTTTAGGGTTTAACAGCCATGAGGGGCTTCTAGCTTCACATATGATCTTTAATCAGATAGAATCAACCATTCACCTCAACAATGTTAGCGCATTTAGAGGATTACTTAGACGCATAGTGGGGCATAATTTCCGATACAATCATGACACTATTACTGATGCCATCATGGACGAATATACAGCAGATCATGATATCACTAATGTTCAAAGAACAGAACAACTAATGTGTGATATATATGGAGATATGGTGATAATAGCACCCACGATAAGTGTGGCTACGATGCACTTGGGTAAGTGACCTAGTGACGGAGCAAAAGATTATGGATACAAAATATAAAGTATATTATACGACCAAGTTTCTAGTAATTTCAGTGTCATTATGTGTAACACCCATTCTTTAGGCATACCTTTGTTCAGTGTCTTGCTTTACCATAAGGTCAATTTGCATTACCTAGACTATTCCAAAATATTGTCTTCACATGGATTCGTCTTTTGGACAAGTCAAGAATACATTTTGCCCCCATTTTGCCATTTTAGGTGGAGCTTCTTACATGTACAAATTTGATCACAGGCCTAGTTATTCCAAGGCACCAGAATGGGCAACAGCAGACCATACAGATGAGCTTATGCTTGTATTTGGTAAGCCTCACCAAACTGACCTCACCCACTACTTCACTGAAGAAGAGGCAGAGATAAGCCGCATGCTCATGTCATATTGGAGCAGCTTTGCAAAAACAGGGTTAACAAGTTTCTATTTCTAAGCAATCTTCCCGTTCAAGTTGATCACCACGGGTCACAGCAGCCCCAAAATGGTCTTAAAACGCCATATACCTAGGTTGATCTTTGACCTTGACTGGTCCTTGAAATAACTTGACCCATACCACTTGACATCGACATCAGGTCAATAATTCGTGAGTCACCAAAAGTCACATCAGCTCCCAACTTGAAGGGCTTTAATAGGCCAAATATCTAGATATAAACTTTTGACCTTGAGATGACCTTGACCAATAAATGTTGATGAGTCACCAATGGTCACAGGAGCCCAAGAAGGCCTTAAAACGCCAAATACCAAGCTCTTTGAACTTGAAATCAAATGAGCTTGACCCATAAAGTTGACCTTGACCTCAGGTTACCTAAGCATGGGTCGACAAGGGCCACAGCACCCCAAGGGTCAAGTATAATGCCACATACGTTGATATTGACATTTTCACCATGCTCTATCATTTTCTAAAATAGGTCAGTTTATGTGACTTTTCATGTATACACGTTGTTGTATTGAGGCTTGTTTTCTTATAAATGATTACACTACACTGGGTTTCTTTAATAATTTGTTTTTTGTTTTGTTTCACATATTGCATAGTTCAAATGCTCATTTTCATAAGAAAGTCGATTGTGATTTCAGGGATCCCAACACACTAGGATTTCCTTCATGGCCACAATTTAATGAGAAATACGGGGAATACTTGGCAATCAGTGGAAAACCAACAACTCACTCTAATTACTGTCAAAGTAGAATGCAATTTTGGACTGAAACAGTAAGAAAATTAGACCAGCGCATGGCCTCACATCTGTAGAAAATTAAATTCTTAGGAAACTATTGAATTAAATTCAGTAGTACTATACAGTACAACAATACCTTTCATATGACATTTGATACTGATAATGAAATCATCATTTTTTGGCTCACACAGTGAGCCTATGGGATTGACCAGGCGCCCGTCCGTCCGTTGGTCCGTCCGTCCGTCTGTCCGTCCGTCCGTCCGTCCGTCAACATTGGCCGCACAAATTAAAACTGCTATTCGGATTGAGTCATTTCCACATTCATTTTATGCATATCCATAATGCCTATATAACCTATCATCGCCATTTCCCAAGTTCGCCCGGTTTCCGAGAAATTGCGGATTTTGACGTCAAAAAGTCAACTTTTCTGTAAATACTAGACACTTTGTTGAAGTAGAACTTTCAAATAACTTTTAGTAGTTGATGTATATGCAACTTATGTCCTCTGAAGATTTCAAAGCTCTTGGAATTACGGTTTTTGGGTGTTTACTCTATAAAATTTGAAAAAAAGTAGGATCATTTTCAGGAAACTTTCTCATGTATAAAGTCAACGGCAGGTTTTGTGATTGACAAGATTCTTAAAGTTTGCCTTATACTTGATCATTTCCTGCAATAAATTACATCATTTATAGATTTAAGCATTCCCTACATATTTCTCAATATATGTCAGCATCAAATTTTTACCGTTTTTGAAATATTTGACGTCAAAAAACAGTAAAAATAAGTTATTTTTCAACTTGCTTCAATTTGACCAAATTTTTTTTGGAAAATCATCTACAAGCCAGGAGTTCAAATCTGACATTAGTTTCAGGATCTGACCTTTACTTGACCTTCAGTGACCTTCGAAAGGTCAAAAAAGTTGATTTTTCAAATTGATTTTTGGATGTAAATTTTGGTCAGCTTAATCACAAAAGACCTTACTGAGCTCTGAATAAGTAAAATTTTCAAGGTCAAAGGTCATCAAACTAGGTCACATAACTATGCTATCTAAGTTTCTCAAAGTTTGAGACTACAAATCCAAATCAATATTTTTGTTTGAAAGTCAGGATATAAATTCCTCTGAAGGTGCCAAACTGTGTGAGCATAGGACCGTGGGTCCTTCATATAATCGTTTTTACATAAGACATATGACACTATTTTCACATTATAATTTAGATGGACATTTGGGCAAATACATACATGTATATCTAAGATAGAGATTGTGTCCTCACAGATGATACGATTTATTAATGGTGTGTGTTTTGAGGTAACTGACATGGATGATATAGTATCAGAAATACATCAAAACCATCTAAGATAATGATTTTATTTGATTGTGTTGCCTCCGAGACTAAATGTCTGATTCTGGCTTTAAAAAGTATTTATGTACTTTCAGGAAACTAATATAATGCACAACATCAAAATCGCATATATGTAACACGTGAAATTTCTTAAAACGGCATATTTACTGGTGCCGTACTAGTTTTATAAAATAAATGTGAACAGAAAACACAACTTGGTATAATTCTTTTCTCTTTGACCCTAACGCCTCATTTACATTTGCTCTACGGCGGAGGTAGCTTCACAAAATCGATATAGAAGAAATCGACATGTACTGCTTATCCCTATATGTTGCATATTTCTCTCATTTTGGAAAGCCACGGCCGCCATACGGTTGCCGTAGATCAAATGTGACTGAGGCATAACTTGCCCCGTCTATTCCAATCACAGTTACAACACTGACTATCACTGCAAACCTGTTATTATATATTTCATCCCAATATTATACTCTTAACACTCTAGAAAACAAATGAGGTGGTGGGGCGTGGAGTAGAGAATTGATTTGTGTTTTAACTTATTAAATACCGCTTGACTTTCATTACATTCGGTTATACTTATTCCCAGATTGTTCGTTATTTACGAGAGGTGCGTAAAACAAAGCAAACTGTAAAGCTACATTGAGTTCCTAATTTATACGTCAAGTTCTTTTACTCGCTTCGTAAGAATATATCTCATATTATATTCTCTATTGTATTATATTATTTATGTTTTAATTAGACCTACGGATGTAAAGGAATTTCGAACACGCAATTCTCCCAAGCTATATCGCCATTATTAATCTGGTCTTTGCCAAGGAGTAACAATAATATTGGAGTCGTGGCGTTCTGAAAAATTACCCAACAACTTATAAAATATTTATCAGTTTTTCATCTTATGATTGCAACTACCTGTAAGACACAGTGGTTGGTTGTTTAATGTTACTTTTGGATCGAGAAAGGGGGATTCTGCTCATAGAGTGAAATTAGCAAATATAAATAGGACTACAATGCCAGAACTAACAAGACTCAGGGAACAATGTGAATCTAAGTAAAGCGATCTTCCCGAAATAAAAAACATGATTTGTTTCAAGAAAGTACTGCAGTAAGATATATGTCTCTTGATTGATATCGCATCAGTTAACTGAGATTGATTTGGAAATATTATTTTTTCTGAAGGATTTTAAGAACAATGGGATTATGTGACATAAATTGTGTGGATTATAAAAAGGCAAACTCAATATAAAAATGTTGTAATGTCACAAATTGGATTGAATGAAAAGATAAATAAAGCTGATTGATCGTTAAAAATCAGACATGAAGATAATCAGAAAATTTAAACCTCCAAAGACACCCCAAAAGAAATATAAACCATTATACAGAAACGGACGCAATGTGGACATCGTTGATAATATACTAGATATAACGTCCCTCCCGGGGAGTTCGTCATCTCTTGAGAGCGTTCCCTCCTCGAATGAAACACTCAGCACTTATGCCTCTTCCCCAAGGGATACCCTCATATATGATACTGATTTAGAGATTTCTGGTAAGTAGAGATTTGGTGGGCCAAATATCGTGCAGGTATGCTGACAACAATGTCAAATTATACATAGTTAATTTGATTTAACGGTGAGTGAAATGGTTTCAAAAAGTTGCTTCCACATCACCTCCAATAGGCCGACATTGGGAAAGATACCGTTAGGCTCTTTGCTGATCTCGAAATCAGGTGTTGCACTTTTTTTGCAAACAACAGTTACAATGAAAATACGTCAGTGAAATTGATAACATTACCTACTGTAGTATTTATTTCTTGATGCCATGTTAAATGCAAGTCTTGTATAGTCTGAAATGTAAAAAATGAAAAATCTACTGTAGATGAAGAGGACAACGAAAAGAAAGATGAAGAGGCTGAAGACAACGAACGTAAAGAGGATGATGGAACTCATTTGCAAAAATCCTACATCAATTTCAAGCGTGACTTTATGTTCACTCCCGGTGCAGATGATGACTCCATATTTGACGATCAGCATGAACATGAATGTGACATTGAACTCGAGGAAAAGGAGTCTGAAGACCCCAAAGAACTTTACCTCAAGGCTTGTACAAAATTCAAAACAATGGAAATCAAAAGGGTGACCAATTACCTTGATAGCGCTGAAATTAATCTAAAATATAGAAATATTGGACCAATGGGTGCAAAAGCTTTGGCTGCTGGTCTTGTGGTAGGTACACGTAACGTCATAACTGCAACCTTTTTAGTATTGACCCTTTAAAAATATTCTCCTTTTGGCTGAGATGCTCCTCATTTGTAGCATTGAATATAGACAGTAAAACGGGTTATCTACCAAATCGCGCCATCACAGTACAAAGCCTGTTGCACTAGTTATAAGGTACATGTACCAAATACAAAAAGAATGTACCATATTAATGATATGTCTAAAAGTTCTGATTTCATAATTCTGTGTTGGTATTGTTACAGACTAACATGTGCGTGAAGACATTGTGCATCAGTAACTGTGGTCTGGAGGGACAAGGTGCTGCTTATATACTAGAGATGCTCCAACAGAATAACACGATAACACACTTGGTTAGTGGCCTATATTATATACATATAAAGCGTGACACAATAAAAATGACACCCACCCACACAATGTTTCATAACTTTTTTTGTCTGTAGAAATTCTGACTTGTTTTTTTGCACATTAAAACTATAGTCAATTATGCAACTCCATAAGAAGTTTCAAATGACTAGCTCACCTAGATGCACATTTATGATCATTACAAAATATGTCGTCTATTCATTTGCTGGCATAACTGGATCTTATAAAAACGACACCCACCTTTTGTAAAATAATTTCGGAAATAAGTTATAATGATTTTATCAACGACAACTACATTATTTTGTGTTTAATTGAATAGACTTCATTTCTCTGAAAGGACAAGCCAAAATCATTAATATTTACAAAGTTATGTTACAAAATCTGAAACTCAACGGAGTATTGTCCTTTTGGTATGTTGGGCTTTCATTGATGATGATTACTTGATTACCTTTATGTTTCCCAATTGTTGCTGAGGTCTTTTGCCTTGTTTGTTTGCCAATTGTTGTCGTGTGTTTCAGGACATGTCTAGCAACCAGATGGGCACAGATGGCGCTATGGCTCTGGCAGATATGTTCAAGTTCAATACATCAGTTACACATCTGAATTTATCAGGTAAAATTATAAATTCAAATAAGCCTATGGATAAGTTTCAAAAGAATGAAGTTTTTACAGGATACGTTTATCGTCATCTGATCTTAAAATTGAACAACAGCATCAGTTACTACATGGACGGAAGTCTCTGAACTATCGTGGAGGCGGAGTATACTCTATGATGATCAACAATGCATTACACTATTAACACGCACGATTGAAAAGCGCTCAAACTGGTGTAGAAAATAACATACTGTTAATTGTTAAAGAATATAGGTTTCTCATAGACTTATCTGTACCTCTATAACATTGTTTTATTCCACACTCGTATAGACCACCAGTAAACTCAAACTTTGTTATGATCTAGCATGGTACATACACGTATTTCATTATGTTGCTAGAAATATTTTCAGCATTGCTTTCGCAGGCCCGTAAGACACTTTTCTCCAAGGGGGGTGCGGTTTTTAGCTTACTAAAGAGAATATAAAATTGTCATTTTTTTGCCGCGTAATCAAATCGCGTAAGACAGAGGGGGGGGGGGGGGGGGGGGTCAGTTACTCCCTATATTGGTTTGGAATTAACAAATGCAACTTCCAAACGTTCCAATTGTTTTGTGGGGGGTATGAGTAGTGGTCCACTCCCCCTAGACAATTTTACAGTTTTGAGATGCTATTTGGTGCTTTCTGGGCACTTTCAATGTGTAAGTTTCTAAGTAGTACGCCACCACCACGAGAATAAGAGTTGAGTGAATAAAAAACTGAGCATTCAGGGCCTAGGGGGTCTGGGGGTTCTCCCCCCAGGAAAATTTTGAAATTTGGTTGTATTTGGAGCGAATTTGCAACCATCTGGTACGCCTGTGCGATATGAGTCAATAAGAAAAATGTGAATTTTTTTTTCAAATTCTTTTAGGGGTGTCAAAGAGGATGAGAGGGTGAAGTGGGGTGGGGTGCCAGTAGGGGCGCAAGGGGTTGTCCCCCAGAAACATTGACCATATCAAGGTGCTATTTGATGATGTCTGGGCACTTAAAAAATGTCTGAGACAATACATGAAATTCAGAATATTTTCTTTTGTTTTGTGGGGGATGTGAGGGGTGGCTAACTCTCCTAGAAATTTTACAATTTAAAGATGGTATTTGGTGCTTCTGGGCACTTTTAAAGTGTATTAGTCAATAAAAACATTGAAAAACAATCACAATTTTTTTCAAATTTTGGGGGTGTCAAAGGGGGGAAGGGTGCCAGAGGGGGAGGTGGGGCTGGGGTGCCAGAGGGGGAGCAAGTGTTTGTCCCCCATATCAAAATTTACAATATCAAGGTGCTAATCGATGAAGTTTGGGCACTTTAAAAGTGTCTGTGCCTAAAAGTGCCTATTTCCCAAGAAAATTTTACAATTTTAAGATGCTATTTGGTGCTTTCTGGGCACTTTTTGGGGTGTTAAGGGGGGGGGGGGCTGCCAGAGGGGGAGGTGGAGTGGGGATGCCAGAGGACGAGTAAGTGTTAGTCTTCCAGAATCATTAACTTTATCAAGGATCGAGCTATTTGATGATGTCTGGGCAATTTAAAAGTGTCTGAGACAAAACACTAAAATAAATTTAGAACTTTCCATTGTTTTGTTTGGGGTGTGAGGGGTGGCCCACTCCCCCTAGAAAATTTTACAATTTTACGACGCTTTTTGGTGCTTTCTGGGCACTTTCAAAGTGTATGAGTCAATTAAAGAATTTGAGAAAATCACAATTTTTTTTGGGGGGGGGTCAAGGGGGGGGGGTCAAGGGGGGGGGTCAAGGGGGGGGGGCGCCAGAGGGGGCGGGGGGGGGGCGCCAGAGTGGGGGGGGGGCAAGTGCAAGATGCAAGAAACACTAACTATATCAAGGAGCTATTTGATGATGTCTGGGCACTTTAAAAGTGTCTGAGACAAAACACTAAAATAAAAGAACTTTCCATTGTTTTGTGGGGGGTGTGAGGGGTGGCCAATACCCCTAGAAAATTTCTCAATTTTAAGATGCTATTTGGTGCTTTCTGGGTACTTTCAAAGTGTATGAGTCAATGAAAAAAAAATTACAAAAAAAATATTTTTCAAAAAAAAACATTTTTTTTCAAATTTTTTTTGTGGGGTGACAAAGGGGGGTGCGGTCGCACCCATCGCACCCCCCCATCTGACGGCCCTGTTTCGTCTGGTAGATGGCACCAATAGAAAACCATAATGAAGCTTTTGCATTCATTTTATAATGATATACACCAGGTTATAATCCAATCTAAATACAAATCTAAATTTTGTTTTATAAATTCGGCCCGAAACGCTGCAACTAAAGTCCAACAAGTGATTCCTAGTGCTGTACGTTTATTGTTCTTATAGCCATCCAATTCGTGATTTTCTGTATGTACATTGTTCTTATAGACAACCAATTTCGTGATTGGGACGGAATATGGATCGCAGCTGCCATTGAGGTTAGTTAGAATAATATCAGGTATACCTTGTCCAATAAATAATTTAGTATAAAATCTCAAACCTGTCCATGATAATCTTGATTTTATGTTGATGACGATGTTTATTGTTATTATTTGAAGTGGTACTAATTAATTGAGAGATAGAACAGAATTGAATTATTTAGTCAGTATGAAAGAAAAGCATCGCATTAATTCTGGATAGTTAAGTTCTGAAAAATATTGAAGAAGAGCACAAACGCAACAAAACCCAAATTTTTGTAATTCATTTGAATGCCCCGGTCTACATTGAAGTTAGCACCTCTGAGGACCAATATGTTTTTATAATCCTCGATTTTACTTCATAATTATTACCCATGTATCATTGAATCATTAATTGTTGGATTAAATATAAATGTAACGTGATCATTGTCATGATTTTTTCAGTATTCAGACCAACTTAACTACTTAAATATAGCTCACAATGGCTTTAGTGAGGAAGGTGCAAAATTTATTGGACTTGCAATAGGTAATTAATTTAGATGTTTCAAGATTATTACCAGCAACGTATGATTTGTTTTTAATAGAATTGTACTTTATATATGTATATATTGAATCGTCCATCTTGTGTATCGTTATGTTACGATTTTGAGTAGCATTGTTTGTATATTAGATGAATATCTTGAATGTTCTTTCTGTAATCTTGTGTGTGTTACATTTTACTATTCCATTTCAGCCGGGAACAGCACTTTGGAGACCCTGGACATGAGTTTCAACAAACTGAGGCGCGAGGGAGCTGTATCCATCTGTAAAGCTATCAGGGTGGGTAGGATATGTTATCATTCAGTCTATCTAGTATAAAGTATTAACTGGTTTTACTTTGTTCATCCATTGTGCATTCTGAATTTGTCTATATACCTCAGATATAGTTTTGTGTAAATTATACAAGCAACCATGTCAGTTATATAGATAACACGTTCGTTCATAGTTTTGGGGTATTGGGGTTTGCCGTCATTATGACTGGTGTACTCTTAGAATATTTCATTTTTTGCTATGTTTTGTAACACTCGAGTCTTTTCCCTTTAGCACGTGTACTTACATCTTTATCTGAAATATTTATAGGATAACTTCTATATAACGAAGCTAGATTTATCTTGGAATGGACTTGGTTTTGAGGGGGCGTTGACACTAGGTCACTCCATATACGAGAATAGATACCTATTGGAACTAGACATCAGCAACAATAGAATAAATTGGGAAGGAGCGTTTTACTTTTCAAAGCACCTAAAACATAATGATAGTCTTGAAGTTGTTAAGGTAAGGTCGTGTAGTTATGAAGCAAATTCTAAGAGCAATGTGGGAGTAAATTGACAGTCTGTAATTAAAGGCATCATCTCCGAGTGCAACGTGCATGAATACAAATTATCTATTGTGAAAATCGATCCACTTATATCAAAATCAAATAAAAAATGAATAAAAGTTGATGATTGACGGAAAAAGATTATATCTGAGTAAGGGTACTGACTGGGTGACACCGAATATGATGAGAACTACTTTTGATGTAGATATTATCAAATGGTCAAACTACAACAGCAAATTGAATTTATCATTCCAGTTTGGTTATAACCCCATCACTACAACTGGCTGCCTGGACTTGCTGGAGAGTGTCACAGAAGAGGGGAGTGCCGTCAAACACCTTGGCTTAGATGTATGTGTTGGCCATCTGTATCTTTCTCAACCCAACCTCACATTTTCCGAAGTTTTCCATTACATTCAACTCCAAAGATATTTCCCCTAAGATCATGAATGGGATGGATATAAGCAAAGTGACCAAAGAATGAATATTTCTTATATCGTATAATTATAATAGTATCGTTTTACACTGTAATATATAATGTCACATTTTTGTGTTTAAGGTCACAAATCGTCACAAACGTAACATTTAGCAATTTTATAACCAATCAAGACAAGAAAGTGCCATGCGCATGCCATAGAAAGATTCTGATGCTGACCATAACAGACTCACATTTTTACAATTTTCATTTCTATTTCCCTTCTGTTGTATTCTAGGGAATACCTGTGAACAGTAAGATACTCTACATTGGGGAGATGCTAGCGAAATCTAGACCCTTCAAACTATCCTATGGCGATGTGGTGTCTGGTGACGACATGCTTGGAAAGAGATACGGTTGGTTGTTCAGTTGATTTAAAATTATTAATAGTACGTAATGTATTTTGAATTTAAATGGTCGCACTGCCTGTACGATCATTGTTCAGCAGATAACTCCTCAATTTTGTCTTTCAAATTGGTGATGCATCATTAGAGTGTTTTTTTGGTATATTGCATCTTCAACTTTAAAATTGGTTGTGATACATTTTAGAGCAACTGACAGCTGACACATTGTGAATCAATATGGCTCTATGTTTCACATACGCATTGTAAAGCTTCTTATTGTATCTTTAAGTATATTTTAAAGCTGTGTATGTTTTATTCATTCTTGCTTTACACAGTTGAGGAATATCGCAGAGGTGAGATATTTTAAACATGATTTATATAATTAACAATTTTATTTAACCTATATTCATTTTTTATGATTTTCTGAGTCCCTCCCTGTCTAATGCTTGTACACTCCCCAAGAGATAGTACGGACTAATGTAGAAGTATCATCTTAGATAATCGACCCAGAGTTGTTTTTAAACAAAAAAAATCATCGTACGGCAACTTCTTTTTTTATCAATCGGAGTTAAAAGAGATGTGGTGGTGAAACACCAGAACACCAGTCCGCGACTATAAACAATTTGTAATGGTGATCTTAAATGGTGGATGTAATTTGATTGCAGTTATGCGTGGTGACCCATTGAAGATCTTGCTACAGTATTTGGCAGACAAGAAGATACGCATAATTGATCTGTTCAGATCGTTCCGTCAGGATAATGATCATTGTATCTCTAGAGATGCATTCATCACGGGATTAAAGGTTTGTCGTTTATTTTGTCATGTTATTATAGTCTCCAACTGTTTTGCGATTGGCATCTGTTACAAATGGCTGGTGTATTCTCCGAGATGGAGTCTCCAAAAGAGTCCACGCTATAACAGAGGTTGTTAACTGGACAAGTCGGACCCAGGACAACTCGGACCCTGGACAACTCGGACCCAAGACATCTCGGACCCAAGACAACTCGGACCACTTTTTAAAATTATGATATTTATCATTATGTGTAAATAAATTGCATTTATTAGATGAAGATTTTTCAATTGGTAACCTTTCAATTAACTGATTTGATAAGTTAAGAAGTAACACCAGTAAGAGAATATTGAAGCTGAAGACCCAAGACAACTCGGGCCACTTTTTGAAATTGTAGTTAATTTAATTTAAAACAATTTCATTGAATTAACTTAATAAATGAATTCACAGTATATAATATATGTCAAAAAAACATTAAACAAAAAAGTAGAACCCCATACAATGATAAAAACCATCATTTCAAAAAGTGGTCAAAGTTGTCTTGGGTCTTTAGCTTCAATAATTTCTTAACTCTCATCAAAACATTAATTTAAAACAATTTCATCAGATTAACATAATATATGAATTCACAATATACGTATAATATATATCAAAATAAACAATAATTAAAACCAAATATAAAGATCATCATTTCAAAAAGTGGTCCGAGTTGTCTTGGGTCCAAGTTGTCTTGAGTCCGAGTTGTCCAGGGTCCGAGTTGTCCTGGGTCCGAGTTGTCCAGGGTCCGAGTTGTCCTGGGTTCGAGTTGTCCGGAAACGCAGAGGTTCACCCTGTATGTTTTGAGGACACATGTATATTTTCAAATTCTTCCCTTATTTACTAGGTTACCAAGACGTTATACTTAACATACTGAAATCATTTTTAGAAAGCTGGTGCTCCATTGGACGATACAGAAATGAGCACAGTTGTAAAGAAACTCGACCCAAAACAAGAAGGCACGATCAGTTTCCAGTAAGTTTCCAGTAACTATCATAAAAATGCAAAAATTCAAATATGATCCATATGAGTTTTTGTATCAAGATATGAATGAAAGAACAAACGCTGTCATATGATATATAATTTAGCGAGAATGTGTCTACCATAGTCTTATTTGTCAAAATGTTCTCTTTTTCAAAGCAGTATTAATTACTAAAGCCGGTGTAAAAGGGTAGGAGGTCCTATCAAATTATGGTCCTACTCTCCATTGATTTATATGGGGGACTGGGGGACCATCATTTCTTTCACACCGGGACTCATTTTTGTGCTTTGTAAATGTCATAATCCTGGCAAACGGCACGTCTGGCTACCTATATTCAGAACTTCATTTGTTCAGCACTTCGTGTAAGTGAAACAAAACTCCCAACGTGATGTGAACATATTATGTTTCAGAGCTCTGATCAACGGCGTGAAGAGTCAAATTATCGAAAGTAGAGAACAGAAGAAGATGAAGATAGCAGCTGTGAAGAAACAACGGGAGGATCATATGCGCATCATGAATCCTAAACTCCCGCCAATTATGGACGGTGTTGCCGCTACCCCCGGACCTGCGCTCACACGCACGGGGACAAGTCATTCTCTTCAACGCGCCAACACATTATCATCAATTGGTACCCCGTCCAGGAGTATGTCACCACGCAAATCAGCTGGAACTGTTCGCCAATCGGCTGGACTATCACGGAAATCAGCTGGAACAATGAGAAACTCAACAGTTGGTATGGGTTTCCGTCAGCAAACACTTCCTCCAGATGGGCATCAAAACAGAGCCAAACAGAATATAAGATTATTGAGGTCAAAACTGAAAATCAAGACCCCGGGATCACGTTTGTCTCAACTCGTACAAAAAATACGGGCATCTGAATTCTCCGCACGGGGTTCGGAAAAGATAGAATTTGAGGACTCAGCTTCGGCAATACGGTCGAAGAGCAGACTGTCTCCAATGCTCATTCGGGAGATAAGCTCATTGAGTCTAAAAGTACCCTTGATGGACGTATTGCCACAGGTGGAATCAACATCACTAGCTCCAATTGACCAGTGATGGACTTACTTAAACCACATCCTTATGAAGCAAACAACTGTTAATTAAAAAATAATTTTCATTTTGCAATGACTAAAATATGCAGAAAAATGACCTGAATTTGGAAGTTGCTTTGTAAAATTAAAAGAAAAATATATTTTCAACTGATTACACAAAATGGCATAACTTAAGTAAGTTGTTAAAAAAGTTAAGAAGTTGGCTGAACAGCTTTAACAGCAATGGTATTATGGGTGTTCATTTCTTGGTAATATCCACAATGAGGTTAAGTAAATTGCGAAAACTGCGAAATTCGGATTGATTTTGACCGTCAGATCTGTTGAGCCCATGGGACTTTTTCCCGCTATTATGCGTTTCACTGAAAATCTCACCCCAGCCTACGACGCCACGGTGGAAAGGACATTTATTTTTCATTTTAATAAATGTTCGTGGTGTAGGCAAGGTTTGTTTATTTACATTTTACGCTAATAAGTATTGACTTTTAAAACAGGTCTGTTTTTCAAAAAATGTTAATGAAATTTTGTCCCATTCACTTATTTGACATGTATAATGCATCACTATTATTTTTCTACTTTGAACATAGCCATGTTTTAATTGACTGACTTGAACTCAGATGACCTGCACGACAACACATAAAAGGAAACCTTATGTTTTTTCGTATTTTAATGAAACTTATTGAAGCGACCCCTCCTTATAGGCGAGTACTTTTATTTATCATATGGATTTATATATAGAACATATGCATTTATTTTGTGGATTTGTACATAGTTGGGCCTCAAAGCCAATAACCAACGTGTGTCCAAGGATTAGCTATTGAAAATCATTTGCCTCAAATCCGTGTTACTGGAGTGACTAGGAGAAACTGTAAAACTAAGTAATACTTTAAGAACTATCAAAATCAAGGAAGAATAACAAGGGAACATCAACTCAGGACATCAAGGTAACCTTTTAAGTGTCACCAAATAGCATAGCGACGATTTTGATACACCCATCGGTCAGTCGGTACTTATTTGGATGTTCAAGGGTACTCTAAGAGTGAAAAAGATTCATCTTGTTGCCATCTTGAGGAAGAGATATGTACCCCAACTTCATGGCATTTGATGTTCAGGATAAAAAAATTTCTAATGTACTATGATCTGGTGTTTGATATCAGTTTTCAGAAAAAAAACATTTACTCGATAATGATCCATGAATAAGAAACCATACCCGATATATAGCCTATAAAATGATGCAAAACATATTACTGAACACCCATGACAAATACATTACTGTAGGTTGATGGGGTTGAGCCAACCAGAAACATATAAAACAGTAACCTATATTTGATTGCAAATCGAGTTGATTTAACTCCATATGCAGTAAATGTGTTCTGCCATACTGCATCTACACATTGCAAACGAAATACTTTTGTGTGAGCGACGAAGATAAATATCTTAAAAACTGAGATACTTGCTCAACAAATTATTAGCATTTCGACAGTTCGGCATATTTCATTGCTTGCAAGCGTGGGACCTGTTGATTTGAATCATAAATAAAAGTATATATTTTAAATAACGTGGCAGAAAATAACTTGACGGATGTCACGATGAGCCTTAACCGTTCCGTATCAGAAGATCCGACGATAAAGCCCTTTATATTTACGTAAGATGTGAACCTCTGTTAATTATATTTTCTAGGCTTTAAAATAATACATCATTTCGAATGTTTCAAAGAATAGACAGTATGATATGTTATTCTAGTCGTATTGTCAATGAACGTGTAGATCACTTCCTAGACGTTAAGTGATAATTAATCAATGATGTTTGCTCATGAGATGATACAACACATGTCTCTGAAGCATTAACAGTTAATGGCTTTTTCCTACTATTAAATTTTCCTTTTGTTTTGAACATTAACTGTAACAATAATAAAGTTCGCCTTTTGTTTAGGAAATTCGTTCACGTCAGTTGCCTTTATAAAAACATGCTCGTTACTTTTGCATTATAATGTTGGACTTATTACAATGGAAAGTTCAAATGCTAAAACCAACTGAGTATACATAACAATTGGTTTAAGCCTCTAAAGAGGGTTACGATCAAATAGTTCAACAATGGTGTCGAGCGCCTTTAATGCTAAAGCTCAAGGGAATTGTGATTACATACATGGAAAATACACTGCCATTCAAGAGAAACATGCAGGGTTTATGCAGGAAGCTATGCTAGATGTTAATTTAGGAGTACAGAAACAAGTAGGTGAATGTTTCAGAAGCATGGATGATAAAGATGCGTTATTTTCTAGGATGAAGAATCCTAAGATATTTTAGAATCCAAAGATGTAGAATCAGTGTATTACAGGTGTATGGACAGATTTTTCACTTTATGTATTCTCAACATGATGTTTTGAACATTAAGAGTTCCATCAATTAATCAATCAATCTATGTATCACAAAAACCAATCAATTAATAGCTGGTCTCATTCAACCAACAAATTACTCTCGGAATTTAGCGTTAAAGTTAGTCTTGCTTGAAGAGTATGTTCATGTATGTCTGTCCAATATTAGTGTTATTTGGCTAAATTCAAAAAGGTCAAATAATTTTCTGTTTAAACTCTAAAATCTGCTAGAACCACTGTTAGATTTGTGGGACCAACTTTTACATACGTATCGTAGATGCAGTTGGTACGTGGTGTGCAATGTGCATATAGGTTTACAAGATGTCATCGTCGTAATATGTGTGTTTAATTTCAGTTGGTGACATTAGGTTGTATTAAAAATCATGCTCCTTATCTGTGTTGTTTTATTGGTCAAAGGATTCAAGCACATGACTTTGCAAGTGATTTATATCACACATTTCTTGTATGTTAACTCAAGTCTACAGGCCGAGGTTTCAAGCCGTCATATTAGAAACCATTTGTGACCAAATTATATAGCATGCCTATAGCTATGTGTGAATTCGAAAAAGTTAGTTGCCAAATATGATCCATTATTTTCTAACAAATATTTCAAAAAACTTTTTTAAATCAAGACAACCCTGATAAAATTTGTTGATCAGACCATTTAGGAATGGTATATAGCTGCAATAATTTTTATTAATTAATTATTTTACAGGTGTTATTTGGTGGCCAACTAACAGGAAAGACCAGAGCAAAAGAGAAGAATATGAACCCGATATTCCAGGAAGATGTTGACTTTATACCGTCCAAAATACTAGACAAAAATCATCAACAAGTAGACACGCGTGATGACGATGTATTTCATTCTGGTTCACCGTATGATCCTATTGATAATTTACAAAAATCACCAAGAAAAAGTGCCATGAAAAAGTCATCCATATTTGAAAAACAGATTTCTGAAAGTGAAGCCACTCAAAGTAGAAGTATTCCCATTGCACCAGCACCTCCGCCTCTGCCTAACACTTCCCAAAATTCCCAGCCCACCATCTTTCAAGCTTCATCCAACAAGCTAAGTCCTCCCAAAGCAAGAACAAGGAGCAGTATATCATTTACTAGCGAAACAATTGACAATGAAGGTAAAGGGAAACGGTATAAAAGCGAACGCTTGGATATTGGAATGGCTGGACACATGGACAAAATACGCACAAGTAGTGACTCGTTGCATGCAAACCAAGCATTTATACCGGATGATAATACAAATATCAAAGGTGGTTTAACAGATGATGAAAAGGCGAATGGTACACTTTTGGTAGGCAAAACTGACATTATTCAACCCGCCACCATTTCCTCACCTCTCAACCATGTTAATAAATCGCAAGAAACCAAGGTGCCAACTATTGGAATAGGCGTAATTAAAGTGCCTCCGTTTATGAACATAGCAAGTGTTACTGTAACAGATCCATCCGTTGATATACAAGTTAACAGAACACCACCAACTATCGGGGGGACACCCTCGTACAACACATCTCAAATAACTCAACTCCCGTCAACAGACCAACCCCATGTCGTCATGCAAACCAACGACATATACCTAGAGAATAACCCATTCCAGAATGGCCAAATGGCCCTAGCTAACAATAATGGGATAACTACTGGCAATACGGTAAGGAACTTGTAATAACCCAACCTTTTCTAAAAGTTTGGTTTCACTTATTTAAAGGGACAAAGTGCGTAAATTTGATCTCCATAGTATTTCCAATAGATAAATAAGTACCTGATCTTTTATTTGACACCAAAAACAGCTCAAACAGACCACATCAGAGTTGACACTAGATCATGAAAATTTTTTTTTGATCTATCAATTTATAGCAAGTTTTTAGCGATGCCATAGAAAGATGGCATTGTTGTTTGCATTAATTGTCCATTCATTTTCAACCATACGCCATCTTTTAGTCCAAGAGTTATTTAAAAACATACACTTTGTGAAAAGTGGTAATTCACTTCTTTTGATCTCTGAACTTCAAATGCTGTTTTCCAGGCGAGTAATTTTTTTCTCACTTCAGTATTGACCCAAATTAAAGTTTTTATCATATTTGATTGACTGTGTGAGTGACATGTCTCAAATAATATTTTGTCATTTTTTCCTTCTAAAATAAGCGCATTGCCTGTTTAAATGAGAATTTTACCTCCACTATTAGGCTCTGAGACTCCGAGTCTGCCGTTTGATTAATCCGAACATATACAAATACTGTAATTTTGGATTCTCTATTCTCGGTCACAATAGACTAGATGCGAGTAGAAATGATCTTGATTTACGTCATTAAATATTCAAAATTAAGTCAAATTAACTAAAACCTATGTAATTTAAGTTAAAGGGAATTTTCTACTATACCCGCCATGCTATCTGACCCGAGCGACCCACCTGGTGGTGAAACTGGTAACTACCTACTCGCATTTGCGTTATTCATGGAAATAGTGAAAAAATCTAACAATACGCATGAAATTACGCTGCCATTTTTGACTTCTTTGATTGTTTCATTGAATATCCTAAGTATGTAATGTATCAATCAATACGAGAATGTATATTCGGGGCCTGAAAAGGTGTAGGCCTCCCTCATCTTAAGCAGATTCAAGTTAAAAATCAAAGAAGTGTTATGTTACGCAAGGGCTTCACGGTCACCCAGCTCGCACCAGCTCGTGTAGCAGAATGTGCAGTTTCGGTTTGCACTGTGAAATAGGGACCCGTCGTCAAATCCGGGTCATTGACTCTAGTAAGATGAATATATAATGGCATTTGTTTTCCAGGGTTTCACAAAGAGCTCACAGAATGAACAAAATGCTCTTGAAGAAAACTCCCAATATAGGCGTCTCGTGAGCAAAGTGGAACAGAGAAAGCGCCATCTAAAGGCATGCAAAATCACGTGGTTTCTCATAGGACTGATTCTACTTGTAGTCATTGTTATAGTGATTATCTTTGTCCTCTTAAGACGTTATGGACGCATATGAGGTAGTTAAAGGGGGCACTGGGGCAGGGGATTTATGTGTCTTATACATGAGCAAAAAATTAATTGCAAACTGGAATGACATCATACTAAAAGATAATGTATTATAGTTTAGATACTTGTGAGGGCTGCCCATATAGTCATTATTGAAATTCCTTCCTTCGCTTCCATGGAAATTGAGCCCATAGTCTTGATTCTAGACCCCCCCCCCTATAATCTACTTCAATAAGTATTTTTGAAGTAGAGAGAGGTCTTGAATTCAGACTTTTGAGCCCGAAAATGATGCCTATCTAGGAGAAGGAAGCGCTTTCGAAAGCTGATCCCAAAATGAGGCCTGTATAAAAGATGTTCGCCCATGAATGCATTGGATGGATCGGTCTCAAATATATGGATGATATCCAATCATTTTAATGGTTACCGAGTTGATATCGACGATCTCCTAGTGTGGGCGCATGCAGCGAGATGGGGCATGAGTGGATTACAATATAAAGGGTGTCAAATGATATTTGTCCTCCCATAGTTGCATATCATAAACTAAGCTCATATGTTATATACCATTGGAAAGATCTGTTAAGCTTGAATAAAATGAGCCCAAGGCTTTTACTTGAAGCGTACTGGTGTAGTAATTACTAATTTAACGTCTTGCAGCCACCATTTTAAACCATCTAGTAAGTAACCTAAATCTTTCTTTGTGAATATAAAGTTTATAATTTGAATTATTTAAAATATGCCTGGTAGATCATATTTACTTCAGGGTTACTTCAGGTATTTAGTCCCTGTAAAGTCTTATCAAAAATGAATATTTGATTACGTCATTTTCTCCATGTAACATTGTATAAAATTGTTCTATGTATTTTGATAAAATAAAAATAATTCAAATAATTCTTTGTTTACAATCAATCTAATTTGTTAGGCCTACAGGGTGATCCAGTAACGTCAAAGATGTTGCTTGAATTGAAGATGAAATTTTCAAGTAAAGAAGCACATGTTTTTGGGAATCCATCAAACTTGATGTCTTCGGTTTAACTTTGTCTCAATTTTGTTGTTAGTTTCAACTATCATTTTTATAATTTGGTTCACTATGGTGGCCCGTAGCCGGGGACAGGTGGGGGTTGATATCTCCTCAATAAAAGTTTCACTAATTTAGTTGGGTTAAAAATCTGCTCCTTCTAATACAAATTGGGCAATTTAGATAACAAACTGGCATTAATGGTCATTGTTTTTTAAATTTGGGGCATTATTTTTATTATTACGAAAGGGGTTGATTTTTTGAATTTTTTTATGTGTGGGCGGTGGGGTTCGAGCCCCCCCCCCCCCTACCAAAAGCTAGCTACGGACATGCTATGGTAACAGAGATAACACCACTAACCATACATGTATTGAAATAGAAATCTCGGTCCTCTGAAAATAAGACAGAAAAATCGAGAAATAGAAGGCTCGTGGACCTTTCCTACGGTTTCCCATTATATTAGGTCTGATTAGTCAGTACAAGGATATCTTAGGACCGTACGTGGTAATACATAACAAGCGTAATTTACGTTTGAAGATACGTAATTATTGTACCGAAGCTTCCTGGTAAAACGCCCGCCTTTAATGTACGCCTTCATTTACATTTGCACCTACAAACACCTGTTATTGAACACGAGTACTGTATATCTGACGTCTGATAACGTGTTATTCACGACTTCGCAGCGGGCGTGAATGCAATCATCTCGCCCCATCCATGCCCCATCGAATCCAATGTGCCTCATTGAGTCCCACAATTTTCCATGTCGAGATCTTCCACTTTGCCCCCTGGAGTCTCATCGAGTCCAATGGAAATGATGTAATTTAGTTTTCATCCAAAGTCACCTGACATGTCACATGATCAAATGTCCCATCATGATGCCCATTGGAAAGAATGAACTTTGCCCTATTCTGGGCTTCATGGGGCAAAGTCCCTTGGATTCCCACGGAATCCCATGGAGTCCTATGGAGTCCAATCGGGCAAAGCCAACATCGTCCCGTGAGGTCCCACGCTAATCTATGGAGGTCCCATTGTGCCCCATTGGTGTATGATAGGCGGCTACGCAGGCGTTAACACACGCCTGCACTCATTGAGTAGATTCGCCAACCATATCTTACGCTATCTTACGCTAACGTCTTCGGATATTGATAATGTATCCTACATTAACAAACAAAGTCAGGGTCGGATAGTACGTCCATTTTTCAAAACGATGTATGTCAGAGCGATTGGAACTTTCTACTTTCTTGTCCTTTTCAATCCTATCACTATTACAGTCAATCCTATCACTGTGCGCCAGGTAAAGGTTCGGAGGGAGACCACTTGCATTTTATGTGACCTATCTTTGAATAAATATTTAAGTTTTTAGATGTTAAAGCAGAGGGCATACTTTTTTATATGTCTCTGGTTAAAGTAAGTTAGAATTACTGGTATGGGATGCATGTCTGATCAATATTGAACTTGAGAGTTTTACACATAGTACAGCTGTAACATAGCCAAAGGAACACCACGAATCAAAATTCTTTTTTCCATGCCCGTGAGTTTAAATGTTTGAAAATTTTTCACTTGCTACATACCGATTGAGAAAAATGTATCTATAGAATTGAACACACATAAATAAGGGTTATGTACTGGGAGGTTTTGGATATGGGCTTTATCCAGAGGGAGATATGCATATCTACCTGAGGGACCGTAGGGACCGAAGGTAGATGTGCATATCTCACGAGGGATGAACCCAATATCCAAACCGACCGTACATAACTGCTTTATCCTATACCAAGTGGAGTTTTCAGGGGCATATGACCAATAAACATATCATTCATATGCAAAGCCATTTTATTGCATTTCCACTACTTACCGGAAGCGGGAAGATATGCACCGAAGCGGGAAGATATGCACCGAAGCGGGAGATATGGCGGGAGATATGGAGGTTCTGGATATGGAAACCTCAAAATCAGGATACAGGATATATCTTACCAACTTATCTCCCTAAAACTCTACTTGGTATAGGATAAATAGATTTATGTTGTGGCATTCGTTGTGTTAAAAAACATGACATTTCAAATCTAAACCGTAACCAAGTTATATTAGTTTACTTCAGTAATAACTCGCTTCAAGAGTTTCTTTAAACAACATTTTCAAAAACCTGTATAGTTTAACTGGCTTATATTTGATATGTCATTTTAAGCTATTTGATACACACTTAAAAGTAAAAGCATATTCTAATACAACAGTATTCAAACAATTTACATTATATCTTTGTGATTCAGTGGAAATCCCACAAAACTTCTTCCTGGTTTGGCACGGTTTATTACCTTAAGCGAGGAGTCTAGGTCTTTGTAGACGGAGCTAGTTTTGAAGAAGCGACTGGTGAATACGTATATAGTTCATAGAATCAATTCAGAAAGGGAAGACTTGTTACATGCACGTGTCATCTGGACCTGGGTTAACGTTCTTCTGGATGAAGAGTCGCTCACGGTGACTCGTGGAGGTTCTCAGACGGATCCAAGTGATTTATGATTCCTTCATGTATATGACTGTAGCTGCATCGAGTCTTTCTAGCCCCAGAAAGGACCTCACTGGTGAACGGTTAGGAATAGCGACTTGTTTGTGATATGATCTGACGATAGTGTATTACATTTAAAGAACGCTGAACAGGCCGGACAGTTATAGGTGAGAGAGTAGCATTTAACTATTCACTAGTATATTAAACTCATTAGCTATGAATGTCACCAACACCATGAGTACAGATGGTGTGTCTGTAGAAGGAAATACATTTCACAATGTAAATATCACAACAAACGCGGAGACTGGATCTACGATGTCACAAATCTGGACAACAAACATGCCAAACACCACAGTCAATGTTTCTTATTATACCACTACAGCAACCACAACACCAGGTCCTGCAGGAGATGGAATAAAGGGGTGGCAGATTGCGTTGATTGTTATTGCTGTCATCGTTGTTCTCATTGCAATTGTTATCGCATTAATAGCGGTCTTTAGAAAGTCTAACCGGAGAAAAGGATGGATTAGGACATTCACACGAAGCACTGTAGTACATGCCCGAACTCAGTCGACAGAAGTACCTGATATTCGGTTATCAACGAGCTTGGATAATTTAAAACTACAAAACAGCGAAATTCACGACAAAGCTAGGCCGACAACAACCGAGAGTGATGACGATGCATTTGATATGTGTGGCTCTCGTGGTTATATCTATAAGAACACTCAAATTTTTTTCGATGGAAATTCTGACATTCAACCCGACAGAGCTTTGAATGACTTGAGAAAAAATAAAGCTAAAACCGTTAGGCATGAAGATGCAGCCATGCCAATTGATGAATTGAGGAGAACCTTTGAAGAGATGTCAATAGAACAGAAAACATCATCGTATCTTGTGACTCCAAAGTTTGCCATTGGCCAATTTGATCATATGGGAGGAACGCTTCAACTTCCAGACGGTACAGGACAATTGTATATACCAAAGGGGGCGCTTGATGCTCCTCACAATATACATATATACAGGGAATCGGAGGCTCATTCAAATGGGATTCCTGTTTTTGACTGTGGGCCTGATGGTCTAAAGTTTAAGGTACCTGTAATCCTCAGAGTCTTGTGTAACTCCCTGTCTTCTCAACAACGTAATGAACTATCAACCTTTGTACAAAAAGGAAATGATAAGGATTGGACGAACGTCACAGTGGGGGAAAATATGCCTTGTTTCTATGATGAGGAAACAAGTACAATCTTATTTTTCCTGAACCACTTCACAAGGATTACTGCCCTAAGTGAAACAAAATTGAAAATACCATCACTCGATCAACCAAACTTGAATGAAGACATTTCTGTTACAACAGCAGGCAATGATATTTGTTTAGGTGCAGAGTCCATGCCTCAGGCCCAACCCATCTCGGGTATTTTTGTTGTAGCTACATATGCAGGGGGTATTGACTCAGAACTCCACACTATGTCAACAAACATCTATATGATACCGATAGAGAACAAGCTCACTATTAAGGTAAACTTAAATCATCGTGCTTGTAATGATGCATCATACTAATATTTTCCTTTATCAGTTTTTCACTGTCGTGAAATAATTTTTTTAGTGTATACCTCAGTCCAAAAGAGGCTCAATACAAATTCTGGTCTTGCATATACTAGAACCAAAATTTTAAAGAATTCAGATTGTGCCACATTTCATCTTAATGAATGTCAATGATAATTCGTTTTTCTAGGATGTTGAACTGGAGGAAGCAACGTTTGATCATTTTCTGGATGGACCAACGCTCGAATTCCCTGCCGTTTATTCTGATGGAAATATCCTTCTGATATGCCAAAATATAATTGACTGTCTTTTACAGAGTTCAAATGAAAAGGTAACCATTTTCAGATTTTGTCTTTTGATAGAAAATAAACATACCATTGATAATCATATCATTGACAATTTAAAAATGGATTAACATATTGTTCTTATTTTATATTAGATGCATGTGATTATTTTAGGTCATCAGCATTCGAGCTTTGCAGTTGACGAATAAGCAGAGAGCAACTTTCTTCTTCAAACAACAAGGAAATGTGATCACTCCAAGAGCTGAGATCGTTGCGCAGCAAAATAGAGAGACTCTTCTAGATATACCAGTTAATCTTAATATTGACGTGGTTGCTGCTCAACGTAGATTGGTAAGTGAGAAAACAAGCGCACGTGGCAGCATTTTTACTGAAGGGTAAAATCCAAAGGGAATATTCAAATGTCACTAAGACGAAGGTCTTGGGCCGAAATAAAGATGGCAGCATGGGTAGAATCAGAGCTTTCTCTGTAAAGTATAAATAAACACAGGTTGATTGGCATAACCTCCTTATGCTAGGAAGGAACAGGGGGTCTCCGGTTCTAGATATTAATACTTCATATTCGATATGTATATAAGGGTTATGTACTGGGAGGTTTTGAATATAGTGTATATCCTGAGGGATATATTTATATCTCCCCGAGGGACCGAAGGGACCATGGGGAGATATAAATATTTCCCGAGGGATATACCCTATATCCAAAACCGACCGTACATAACTGGTGTATCTCATACTTGAGTGGGTTTAGGGTAGATAAAACCTTGTCCACCCTTTTCAAATGACAAGATAGGCCTATAGTAAAAGCACAATTTATATTTAACATTTTCGTAATATTCTTTTTGTTCAATACAATGAAATTGTAACATTTAAACTTTGAAAAATTTAAACTTTGAAATTTAAAAATGTTAAAAAATTTTGATTTTTAAACTTTTTTAAACTTTTGAAAAATTCCCGGGAGCGGGATGGATATATTATATCTGCCCGCATTTGGCTTGGAGCGGGACATATACAATATATCCTGCCCGCTCCTCAGATTTGATATATATTCCCGGGTGATATCTACCCCAAACCCACTTAAGTATGAGATACACCGTCATATTCCATACTTCTTATTGTTTAGACAATCATACTGATATTTTTTCGTGGGCTCCGTATTCCATATATTACCAACTCCCCATATGTTTGTACTCATATGAAATACAATAACTAAATATTGAATTTGTCGATGCATGTCATTATAGAATGCATGTTAATTTAACATATTGTGTCATTTCCAATTTTCCATGTAAAGATAAAGTATGGTAGTGTTATGTTAATGCTGTGTCTTATACTATCTTTTATCTTTAATCTTATATTACCTATATTTAAACTTATACTCTCTCATCTGTATTTCAGGAGAGGAAATATGGTGTAGGGCATGATAATAGCAACGATCCTGCAAAGATTCGTGCTTTCCTAAAGGGCCAAATACCCATGGTTATTCCGAGAATTCAATCGCAAGATAGTCCCATTGAGGAATTGGGTGCGTGTTCCCTACCACCAGGCCAAGGAGAATGGATTGACAACCATCCAGTGCTTATGAGATCAGATCTTAAAAGTGAGAAAGGAGCTTGGCGCTCTAAAAGAGAGGCTACTGAGCACAATGAGTTAACTGCAACCGAACATGACGACAGAGATCACCATGGCAACCTGATAAGACCAAATGAAAAAAAACCAGCGCAACATGATGATGTGTACAAGGACATAAGTGGAGATCCTACTTCAGATGAATTATATGTTGGAAAACGAAAAGAAGACAATAATGGCAACAGTAAATGGACACAAATTATTCCTGAGAAAGTTGGTCAAATAAGAAGCATTGTTGTTGAGGAGTCGTATCCACGAACTCCATGCGAGTCAGTGTGCACAGAACCACCAAGTTCTAATCAATCCGCGCCACGGGCCCATCAGCCATCTACAATGCAGCTGGCAACTATAGTAGACGAAACTAAACAAACGCAAATGTCTTCAATTGAGGATAACTCTCGACGTGAACCGAAATCATCTTCAATGATGAGCGAACCAGCTTCCAATCCTATAGATAATAATGAGGGAAGTGATCAGCAGAACAACAATACACTCGAATTGCAGAGTTTGCCAACTAATTGAATATACACTTGAAATACTTCGATAGAATTAATACTATCTAGTAGCATCAACGAAGCACATCGTTGCCAGCAGGGATCTAAATGACCGACGTATGTTGATGACTTAGCCTGCGGCTCCTGCGACTCTAGATGTTAAATCTGAGTTACATTTAAGTTTAAATGCAAAAAAAGAAACATTAATAAATTATATATTAGATATATGATGTTATAAAGTTACAAGGTACACTTAAATAAACAAACACTTACTTACTCACTCACCCACTCACTTCTCTTAATTACTTACTTCTCTGACTTATTTACTTACTTCTCTTACTCACTTCTCTTACTTATTTACTTACTTACTTACTTCTCTTACTTATTTACTTACTTACTTCTCTTACTTATTTACTTCTCTTACTTATATACTTACTTACTTCTCTTATATACTTACTTACTTCTCTTACTTATATACTTACTTACTTCTCTTACTTATATACTTACTTACTTCTCTTACTTATATACTTACTTACTTCTCTTACTTACTCACTCACTTCTTTTACTTACTTACTTACTTCTCTTACTTACTTACTTCTCTATACTTACTCACTCACTTCTCTTACTTACTCACTTACTTTATCTATCCATATATAGGAAGGGAGGGAACTACTCAGAACAGATTTCACATATTGTTTCATCTTTGTATTGTTGTGCCGCTAATGTTATCAATTTAACAATGGCATATGTTACGTAAATGAATAATGTTTGGGAAGTATAATTCGACTTGAGGAAAAGGATGAAAGATGACGTGCATGACCCTGACAAATATTCATAACATAAACTCTCTGTTGCATAATGGTGTGTTTGTAAAGAATAGATTAAAGATCTACGTATATCAATAATCGAACCATTCTGTTATTCTGTTTTATGTAAAGACCAATTCAATTTAAACCGAATATAAAACACAAAAGGTATTCTGTCACATTGTACTCTTTTTGTCTGAAATCGGTGACACATATTGAATCAATGGTGTGCAATTACCTACCGTAGTTTATTACTTTCCGTCTGGTATTGTCAAGGGCATACGGCATTTCAAAATAATATAATTAAATGGATTAATCGTGTTGTTAAACTACAAAAAAAGGTACCAAGGGACCAAAGAGTCGTAATTCTGATATTTTTACAATTTTTATTATTAATGAACAGGGATAAAAACTAGAATAATTTATGTCCATACTGTAACAGTTCTCTAAGGAAGAATTGTCATTGAATATCACTGAGTAATGGACTCGACAAAAATCTAGATTGATCTGAAATCACCACAGTATGAATATCCCATTGAACTAGCTAATTTCATTACAAACATGGGGACGTATACATCTACTACAGCTGGGACGATAGGAAATACTTCAGTTGAAAACTATCTAAATTCGACAATAGTAGCTATAACTAACGCATCCGTTGAAGACTATTCCGAATACAAAATATCTGTCAGCCTGTCGAAATATTTGTCACCTGTTGTGATTTTAATTGGACTGATCGGAAATATTCTATCACTTCTCGTAATGAAATTTACAAGTATGAAGCGTACCAATTCGTCCTTATATCTTTCTGCTTTGGCGATATCCGACATTGGAGTACTCATAGTTGGTCTTGGACACAGGTGGGCTGTTTACATGTTTGAGTTTAACATTTGGGACAAACATGAATGGGGATGCAAACTTCAATTATTCTTCACGTATATGTTTGTTGACCTGTCTGCATGGATGTTGGTTTGTGTCACCGTTGACAGGGTCATTCTTGTGTATTTGCCACTGAAGGCCAAGTCGATCTGTACCAAAGGGAATACCACGGTTAACATATGCATCGTTACATTATTAATTATTGGAGTGAACTGTCACTGGATTTTTTCAGTGGTGAAAGGTGGGGAAAATCAATTTAGTTGTCCTTACCAGGATGGATTCAAAGAATTTCATGTTAAATACTGGCCATGGATAGATGCATCTGTTGCCTCGCTTGGACCGTTCACCATTCTAATTGTTTGCAATATTTTGATTGCTGTTCAGTTGTTTAAAGCAGGGCAACTGAGAAAAAGGCGAATGAACGTCTCTAATTCGAAGCAAGACAACACAAAGAAATCGGTGACAATTATGCTCGTGACAATATCCGTTGTGTTTCTCTGTTTGACATCACCAATCGTGTTCGAAGTCATGAGAAAGCTAGCCAGACGAAATAACGAGGAGGAAGTCCCGACATTGGCTGAAAGGGCACGCGAAACTCTCTTCTGGGTTATTGTGAACATGCTGATGTATCTTAACAGCGCTGTGAACTTCGTTATGTACTGCCTGAGTGGAACGAAATTTCGTGAATCGATGCGAGAATTATTCTTAGGAAAGAAGACAATCTTCAGGAATACGAATTCGTTAAGAGGTAGCATAAGTCAGAGCGGGATTCGAAGGCGATCAACCGCAACATTCCAATACCCAGAAGTTGACCAAGCCTCGGGATTTCAAAGTAAGTTGTATTTATAAAAGTTCTAGTATTTTGCTCGGTGGATCTAAGAAAGACAGGTAGTTTGTATCGTCATCAAAACTTCACTTCAATCATGGCCAATTGCTTCTAAGGAGGTCGAGCTCTATGGCAGTACAAGATACATATGTCAATGGGCTACCTAGGCCTAGTCATTAACAAAGCTGGTATTGAAAGATTTGTTCGCTGTGACGGAGCATGCTATTTTTGATAAAAACACTAAGAAAACCACACAATTTATTTTTAACTCATATGTTTCGTTATACCAAAGAAAATTAATTACTCCATGCAATGGATATATCATTTGCGCGTAACTTTCACTTCTGTTTGAAGTCCAATAACGCTGGGACGAAAAGCTATTGAAAATGGCGCCGGAGTATTATACTCCAAAATACACCAATATTTGTTTAACTTTTTAATGGCCCGATATAGAGACACGATAATATTTACATATGTTTTCAGCATAACTTTTTAATTATTTTATAAAAGCAGTTGCAAATGTCAACTGCGAAACTGCTCCGTTACAGCGGACAAAAATGTGAACATTATTTTTATAAAAAATTAAAAAGACCCAATACATCAATATCTCATTAATACATTCGGGGTTATGCTGAAAACATATGTTAATATTATCGTGTTACTATATCATGCCATTAAAAAGTTAAAAAAGAAATTGTACATTTTAGAGTTTGATACTTTTGCTCCGTTTTCAATAGCTTTTACTTATTAACTGTGGCGTCCCACAGGGGTCTATTCTAGGGCCTATTCTATTTATCTTGTACATTAATGATATTCCTGACAACCTGGGTGGCCAGTGCTACATCTATGCTGATGAAACCTCTTTACATTTTAAACTTGATCCAAAAGACCCCACTAATGTTGATGATTCTGTTAAGTCAAGCCTAGAAAGCATTGAACAATGGTCAACTACTTGGAAACTACAGTTTAAACCAGAAAAAAGTCATGAACTGATATTTCATAAACCTAGAACATGTATTAATGATATCAGTCCATCTAATCTTAATAATATGGAAATAGTTAGAGCTGATTCCCATAAACACCTCGGTTTCACGTTTGATCCCTGCTTAACACACAAGCACCATATAAGTAATATCTATGATAACGTAACAAAAATGTTGAATCCATTTAAAAAACTCAAAAACAAAATAGGATCTAGTCATTTGGAGACAATCTTCAACTCCTTCATATTGCCCCATTTTGATTATGGTACCATCATTTACAATAGCTCTTCCAAATATCTACTTCAAAGGCTCGATAGATTATATTATAAAGCTGCTATCTACTGCTCAGGTTGTATTCACGGGAGCAGCACAGATAAAGTACTAACGCTACTTCAATGGCCATCTCTTGACACTAGAAGAAAAATGTTTATAAACAACTTTATGTACAAAATAGTACATGGTCCTAACCCTAAATTTCTTGATGACATATTTGATAAGTTCAAAAAACCAGAAACTCGAAACTTGCGTAACACTGATGAGTTCATTATACCAAAATGCTCTGAACGGTACAGAAATTCAGCGGTACCCTCTGCAATCTCCAACTGGATAGCCCTGCCAAATACATTAAAGAGTAAAGCTACTATCCAGAATTTCAAGAAACATCAAAAACTGCTTTTCAAAAATCCAATAAATGTCATCACAACCAGCAAACTGAACCTCACAAGGAGCCATGAGATAATAGTAAATAAATTCAGGGCCGACTTTTTATTTAAGGCCCAACTATATGCTCATAACTTTAGCAATATTGACAACCCAAACTGTTCATGTGGACATCCACAAACAGTTAAACACTTCTTTTTCCACTGTGCTCATTTGACACATGCCAGGGATGAATTTAATCAATACCTGAAAAACCTGATCCCTGAAATTTTTGACAGGCAAATCTCTCAGCATAAATATCTTGAAGTTCTGAAATATGGCTCAACTGAAATCTCTATCGAACTTAATTCGAAAATGATGACCAGGCTAGCTTCCTTTATAAAAGCCAATATATGATTTTCCCTCCTTAAACATCTTTCATCTCCAGTAACTGTTTCCCATGCCAAGCAACCCCCCACACAACCCCAAAACTACTGTTAACATTGCTCCTTATATTATATTTCATCATGGGCTTTCAATTAGAAGGGTATGCAACTCTGTGTAATAACATGAGACCTTCAAAATGAACAGTGCCATGCTTCATATTTATGGTAATATTTCAAAAGGTATTAGATAATATGTCTATGTTTTAGTATTAGTTTGAATAAAAATCAATTTTCAATATGATTAAAGCATAAAATATATTCAATATCATGTAAAAGTAAACTAAAAAGACCAATAAGAATAAGAGGTATCAAGATGTTCTCTTCGATTATTGCATTGTGGGTAATTATTCAAGAACACATTCCAATAAAAACATAACTTGTGGGAGAACGTTCACTTTCTTTATTGCCATAATTATGATGAATTCCATTTTTTATTAAATTATCAACATGAATGAAGGTGATCGTGTTTTTATTTTTGAGTTATCTCTTTAAATCATCAATAAAATGTACAAAATAAGATTTTTTGGGAATGTGTACATTTTCCAATTTTGAAAACCAAGGCAATGCTTATGTATGAAAAATGGGAAGTTTCCTACCCTTCTAGTTGAAAGCCCATGATTTCATTAAGTTCCATCAATTGTTCTATAATGCCATGCATGTATTTGGCGATTGAAGATTTTTTAAATGTTATGTAATGAATGAGGATAATTAATAAATAAATAAAGAAAAAAAAGAAAAAAAAATTGCTTTTACTCCTAGCGTTATTGGACTTCAAGCAGAATTGAAGATTACCCGCAAACGATTATATCCATTGCATGAAATACGTAATTTCTTTGGTAAAACGAAACATATGAGTTAAAAATAAATCATGAAATAGTTCTATTAGTGTTTTTATGAAAAATAGCATGCTCCGTCACAGCGGACAAATCCATCGATACCTGCCTGTGATCAAATGACCATTTCAATAAAAAATGTACTCGATCGAAATAAAACACAAGATAATGTCCCATCTTCGTTCGCTCGGCTCCCGTCGGCGAACTCAGTGACGAGTCTGACCGGACCACTGAGAGCCGTGCGATGGCTGTGTTCATCGCCGGGTCCATTGCAACCACTTTTTTGAAATAACTCAAATTCTGGAGTTCGTGAACATAAGCCAAGGGAAAAGTAATAGTAAGGTGTAGGTTATAGAGAAGAGACAGGTCCACAAGTAAGATTGAAAAATCTTCAAAATTTTTTAGTCTTGCCTAATTCTCCTTACTGATAACAAATTGAATTCCCAAATCTCTCCAAAATCTTCTTCAAGGTGTTTTTCAGACTTATATCATTGTTTTTTTCAAATCTTTATCTTACAACTGCATATAATACTGCAAATAAAAGAAATTCACTGTAGGGACTCCGACTCGCTTTTATTTTTACTCAGTTTTGTACGTACAAATCTAAAGATGGGCCTTGCACAATTTATTCAACTATAAAATGCATACATGATGTTAAGGATGTAAATGATTTATTATTAACTTTATAGTCCATGCAGCTTGAACCCGGGAAAATGGTCTATAGAGATACGTTAGTCGTTTCGTTTAGTGAATCATAATTACTTCCGGTCTAAAGAGTTACAAATTTTGTGTGATTTTCTCCGGGTCCTGTTTTAGTTCTTGAATGGAACGTCGCCGTTTGTTTTACAGACTCAGTGAATAAGAACGAATAATACAGGTCAACGTGAGTATATGGATTGCGTCATCAATCCATGATCTAGGTAAATAATTATAGTCAGAGATTACCTCAGTGAGTGAAACATTCAGCCCATGGTAACCAAAAGCACAGGGACAAGAGTTCAACCCTCCACTCACCCTGCGCGCAGAGTCAAGTTATAAACTTCCTATAGACTATATTACAGTTAACAGCCCTGTCCTCAACCAATCAGCGAGTACTATAGGTGGGGAGCAGAAAGAATTACTATAGCTATGAAAATTACATGCTGTCACACATGTAATAAATTCTTACCTCAGTGAATTAAGTGCTCTGTTTTCTCCGTCATAGTAAGTCCAAATATAGTGGAATTTGTGTCCATAATGACAAATAAGAACTTCAAAATTTAAAGTGGATATTCACATGTTAATGCCGACTCTTCAAATGTTGAGGTGATTTTGCAGCCCGATTACCCCTCAAGGAGGATTGGCTCCCAGAATGCAATATGACACGTGCCGCGTGCCAGCTTTCAAAATGCCGTTGCACCATTTTGAAACCTGTCACGAGTAAATAAGGTTAACTGATGTTGCAATCTGGGAGTCAATCCTCCTTGGATCACAAACATGGCGATTGATGAAAACATTCGTTGGATTTGGTAGGGATTTATCCATCATTTGCAGTTATGAATCTTTGGATTCATTTATTGTGCTACTTCAAGTGAACGGGAATTATTTTTCTACCAATTGGGAGAGATTGAGACACAAAACTTTTTAGCTAATTGTGACAACTTTTGATGGTTGAGGTTTATTTATGTTCCCCACTTTACATGTAAGTTTGTGATATCACTTGGGTAAATGCTTATTTTGAAGTTTTCATGTTTCTAACACAGAGTAACATACCCTGCTCTTGAAGCCATACAATATAAAATAAATTGAGTTACATTTTTGTTTCAGATTTGCTGTAGACTTGATGTTACATGTATAAAACTGTGCAGATATAAACTCTGGACTATACAAGTGTCAATGCAAAATAATTCACCATGGGATAGGAAACGTGCAAGAATCAGAGAACTTAATTACAGGTCAACTCAGCATTCAGCATTGGTTTATATACATGAATTAACAATTGGTATAAGAGTAGACTGTCTTGGATTTAACCTACTTGGAAATAAATATACTACGTCAGTTTTCCATATCATCATTGATCATGTCAGGCAATGATACATCTCAACCGATATGGCCACCTTCTAATTTTGAGCTCTGGCCACTTACAAGGATCGCTGCACTAGTTGTCAATGGAATCCTTACACTGGCATTTATCTGGTTTCTCGTTATAATTCCAATAGCACACTTTGGAAATCAGAAAAGGAAACTTTCAACAGTGATGATAAGTGACTCATACGCAAGGCGTTGGGGATTGATTGTATATGGAAAGGACGTCATAAGATTAATAGAAAATCAGTTTACCTTTGATGGCTACAGAATTTGCTGTTTTTGTCTCCAGAAAGCTCAATTTGAATACAAGGACATACTTAGTGTAGAAGCTGTGAGGAATCCATTGTGGCCATATGGATTAATATGGGCATTTTTCAGCAGTTGTCTGTGTGGGATTTGGCTTCATTTCTGGCCTTGTATTTGGTGGACTTGTGATTGGGGGTATTATGATGGCCAGGGTGTTCGTGGAGGGATATGGTTCGGATCATGGGCACTACTTTTTATTCTTATGTGTTTTCGTACACGTACAGCTATACTGTTGATCAAGTATCAGTATCACAGTGAATCACCTGTATGTGAACAATACATTCATATCAAAGGTGGAAATTGCTATGACACTGAAAATGAAGAAATCAAGACTCTTATTAATAAAATCAATGCATTTAGGGATCATTGGCGTGATGTGGACAATAACAAAGAACACCCATCCCTGAGGGACTCTTAGAGAGCGCAAGATTATGCACAAAAAGCTAGCCTAGTGTCTAACATTTAGCCAAGGAGTACAAATTATCTTATGTCACTGCTGCATTGATAATTCCAGCCGATAAAAAATATTACTTTTTAATGTCTTCAATTTAAAAATGTAAAATACAGTTTAATATAGAATTTTCAATAGATTGTGTTTGTACTGTCTGTGATATCTGACCATGGACAAGAATGTGACGAATTACACTTGTAAAACTCTACCACCGATGCCATCTTTATATCGGCCCAATACCTATTATACACACATACTATGCATTAATATACATGTAGTATAGTATCTGGTGTCCCCAGAAAGTGAGACACTCTTTGACAAGTATTTCCCCAGCAATGGTTTAACATAATTCATTGAAAATATGTACAAAGTGGCTTAAGAGTATTATCAGCAAGTCTAATGAATACAAAAGAGATCAGTTTCATATTGTTCGAGTACTGACAAATTCAAAACACCATGTCAGAAAATTCAATATCAGAGCTAGCATTGAGGCCTTCAACGTCCCCGCTCAGGTGTTGTCACCTGTTAATCAGACGGTGTCTTTAAAAAAGGTTGTCTGGGTGTAAGGTTTATTTTTTCTTATTTCATTCTTGTCTGTATCTAAAATTAGTTTTATCCAAAGTATTAGTTTTGAAGCCGGGATTATCGATCCTTCGAGTGCAAGTGATAAGGCTACTACACTGTTTCAAGGAGAAAGGATGGGTTAGAAGAATGATCATGAAGGAATTTTTCGGGCAATAAGTATAGGCCTAGTCAAAAATAAAAATGAACTATATTGAACATGTATTAACATAGGTTCTGGACCGATATAAAGATGGCAGCAACAACAGAATCCAGTATTATCTTTTTCTCACACAGGTACTATTACCATGCCATCTTTATTTAAAAATTATTTCTATAGACCTTTGCTTATGTTTACGGGGATCATGTCATGGGTTACTATATTTGCACATACATTGTCAGCCATCTTTAGATCAATCTAAAGATGGCTATGTGCAAATATAGTAAATCATGGGCATCGATATCATTGGAAGAAATGCATACTTTAAAATAGCTCCATCTAGACTGAAATAAGTGACTTTTTCATTGATATAGGATATTTTGACATACCGTTTTAATTTACAATTCGAGAATAATTTATGACAGATCGTCTATATATTTGCAGACTTGTTTGTCTGTAAAATTTGAAGAAAATTCATATCATCGATTGCTGAGAAAATACTGATTGAAAAAGTGTCTCACCTTTTTGGGAACACCCGATAATTATTTAAAACACGTCCACAAAAAATAATTCAAAAATGTCACAATTGAACTAAGGCAACCGGGCGGGGGTTGTAGCTTCCCAAAATCGAGACAAATATGCATCAGCAGGATGAAATATACGGGACATGCAGTAGTGACTATGTATTGCAAACCTGCGGCCGCCGTACGTAGAGCAAATGCTTTTACGCAACATGTCGTTAGCTGTAAGTAGAAACAAAGCTTGATAGAGCCACTAATAAGATCAAATGTCAACTCACATCACAACTGTATATTATAGACAGGTCATCGTGGCATAAGTTCAATGAGACTGCAGACGGACTGGCAGTTGGTGCTTTGGAAAAATAAAATTCCATCAACTTGAGGTGATGTCAAAAATCGAATGTAGATATGAATTTTTTAAAGTCCCCGTCTAAAGTTTGAAAATATTTTTTTATCATTCATTTACTCTTTGTCATGACTTAAAAAGTTGTTTTAGAGATTTTTGAAAAATTTTTCATTTCTCAAATATTCAAACCTGCCATTTTTCAAAAAAAGTAATCATCAAATATTTCTTAATGTATTTCAAAAAAGATTATCTTTTTAACACCAATGCAAAGACTGAACAAAGGACACTTCAATAATAAAATGCCATATTTAATGGGCCACTTCAATGTTTTAGCATATCAAAAATATTTTGAAACATTAGTGATGTCACTAAGGTAGCAACAACTTTTTGAAATTTTTTTTTCGATGTCAATCTTTTCTAAATATGCTAGACTTCAATAATAAACCAATGTTGATTGTTTAACTAGGTTAAAAGAAAGAATATATTATGTTTTAGATATCATTGTACCATTGGTTTCTATGAGAACTAAAATTTTGAAATGCATTTTTCTCGGAACCATTTTCATGCACTGATAAGTTCATTTCTCTCTTATTTACGAACCGATTTTCTTTTTTCGGCAAAAAACATGTTATGAATTGAGGCTAATTAAAAGATATGTGTGACCTCTAAAAGTTAGTTTTAAATAAATTCATTAATTTTGGAACAAAAAGTCTATCAAAAAAACACTTTTTGAAATTAAAAAAAAAATAAACTGAAATTTTTAAACGATTTTTTTATTACTTCTGATAATTATGAAATTGTAAACCAGGTGGCTCATTCGGGTCAGATAGCTTGGCAGGTATAATACAAACTTGAAAGTTTGTTTTAGTGGTTCAATTTTCATATCAGCCACCCTTATGTATCAAATAGTTCTTCAAATTGAAATATGTCCAGTAAAAGAAAATATTATCTATCCAATTCAAGAAAATATATTTCACTTGTGATTTTATAACATGGGGTCTATTGGGAATCTCCCCTAGAAGTCACATTTTCCACGCCCTGTGATCTGACAAAATTGATGGGGGGGGGGGGGGAGTTAAGCGATTTCTGCAAGGAAATTCAACTTAGAGAGATTTATTTTTTCAAGAGAAAATTTACAATTTAATTGCTAAATGAATAGGCATATGGTACGTACAACATGGTAAAATAATCTTTTAGGATTTTCTTCAGGAATCGATACGCTTCTCATGCAGTCATGAGATCAATTAAAAAAAGATGCTGGTTTTTCAAAACAAGTTTTCCATATGTTGTATAAAGATTAATCGAAAAATAATTGGAGGGGGGGGGGGTTATGGGTGACACTCGGTCGCTGCGCTCCCTCGGTCAATGGATCATATTAATTAAGCTTACCCTTCGGTCAATATCATATTTTCCCTTGGAATAAAACCCATATTCAATCCCTCCCAGTAAATAACGTATATATATGTCTCTGCTCAACACAGATGTTGGCCAGATCGTTCTGTAGTAGGATCTCTTAGGCTTGACATTGAGCTTCTGCTACAAAGGAATCTGGCTGGGCTAATGGTCAATTTATTAAGGGAACATGGGGCAAAACGGCCCTGTGGGGCAAAATGGCCCATCGAAATATCTTTTGAACTATAAAAAGATGGTTCTTCAAAAGTCACATAATCGAATTTTGAAATTTCCGCCACTTTCTCGACGCCCACGTCTCGCTTTATGTAACTGCGTAAGAGGTAATTCTACTTTTCACTCTATTTTTTGCAAATTACCCCTCCCACGAGAATCTCTAAAAAATTCGAGCTTCAAATATTAGGCTAATTAAAATGACGTGTACTTGAAAGTTCACATGTCTTTGGGGCAAAACGGCCCACAAAGGTTATAACATACAAAAATCTTGTTACAAGAACAATTGATTTTCAAATATAGCGATTTTAACATTTGGTTTGTACTTTATTTCCTTCCAACACATATCGAATGACTAGAATTATGGTAGGGGTTAACACCCTGGGTATAGTCTGTCACGTGACTTCATGGATGACGTGTGCGCGAGTGATTCGCATTTTCTTTCGCTTGAGGTTTGTAATCACACTTTTTACATGTTTTAAGATTTTGTATCTCTGTGAAACTTGTTCCGTACCATCAATGTCTGAAGACGATCTAATTCACCAAATATCTCATCCAAGCGTGTCCCGGTTAAAGAGAAATTCGCACTTTTGTGTCTCGCAAAATGACGTGTGCGCGAGTAAATCGAATTTTACGAAGGATGGGTGCGCGAGTCTAAAATATTTTTATTCACTTGAGACAATTCTGCAAGCTAAGGCAGAATACAACTCACGTGACATTTGTTTTTGTCATCTTAAAGTAGTATGTTAAAGAATAGTTTGCTATTTTGTAGATGTTTCATGTATGGCACATACATGTCTACGTTTAATGACAATAAATGTTTTGAAATAGCTTGTAGGGCTGTCCGGCATTGCAGGTGAATTAAAATTTGAACCAAAAATTGAATCTAAAAGATTCAGCTGCTGGGGCAGATGACTTAAAAGCTAATATTATTAAACAATGCAGCAATAATTTTCTAAAACCTCTCCTACACATATTCAATAGCTCACTCTTACAGGGTGTTTTCCCAGATAAACTAAAAACTGCTATAGTTACCCCTATTCATAAAAAAGATGAACTTAATCTATTTACCAATTATCGTCCTATATCAGTTCTACCTGTCTTTTCAAAGATCCTTGAGAAACTTATGTATGTAAGGATGAGTAATTTTATTATTAGATTTGGAATTTTGTATTTGAATCAGTTTGGATTTAGAGAGAAAAGATCTACTTACATGGCAATTTTACAATTTGTAGAAAAAATTAAGAAATCTGTTGACAGCAATGAATTCAGCATTGGGCTTTTTCTAGATTTTTCAAAAGCATTTGATACCATTGATCATAGCATACTGTTACAGAAATTGGAATTTTACGGTTTTAGGGGACCTGCTCTAAGGTGGGTCTCTAGTTATTTAACAAATCACAACCAGCGTACTAAATATAATGATAAAATTTCATCTTTCAAAACTATCAAATGTGGTGTTCCACAGGGATCTGTCTTAGGGCCCTTATTTTTATACTCTATATCAATGATATCTACTTGACCTCTCCAGCACTTCTCTTTGTTCTGTTTGCTGATGATACAAATATTTTAATCAGTGGTAAAAACCTTAATGAAATTAAAGATACTTTGAATACTGAATTAAATAGTATCAGAGATTGGCTTATAGCCAATAAACTGTCACTCAATATTAATAAAACTAAGTACATATTATTTACTTCAAAGCAGAAAAAGGTAAATACCAGGAACTTAGAGATATTTATTGATGGTAAAATTATTGAACGAGTAACACACACTAATTTTCTTGGTTTGGTTATTGACCAACATCTTTCATGGAATGAACATATTAGTAAAGTCAAAATGAAAATATCAAGGATAGTTGGCATTCTGTACAAAATTAACCATTTACTAGATAGGAAAACCTTTATGAC